TACAATCCAGAACTTAATTTGATTAATGAGGGAAAAATTATACCAATGGTCTCAACAATATACATCATTCCTAAATGGTCACCACGGCTTTTTTTAAAAAATGATCTTTCATTTCTTTCATTGGACTCTTCCTACATGACCAATGAAAGTCAGTTTCAAATTATCAGCTCAAAACTTGTTTTTATTCAAGTTCCCGAGAAAATTTTAGAGTTTTCTAAAAGTTAAGCAGGAGCGATCAATTTCAATATGATTAATTATTTGCCATTGCATTGATGGAATACTGGCTGGGATGTTAAAATTTTTTTTTTTTTTCAAAATGTTGCATTTAGAAACTGATCGTTTAGAAAATAAGTGGTCTTTCAATGAAAGGGAGCATCGATAAGATGGTAGAAGTATGGTTTTTTTTTTTTCCCCTTTTGCAAGAGATAAAATTTGGAGTAAAGATCAAAAAATAAACATTGAAGTGTAAGCAGATCAGAAATGAACCGTTAAAGGCATAATTTGAAGAATTAGAAAAAAGTGCAGGAAAAATAAGCAATTAAAGTTAGTTATATAATAGTTGAAATTCGGAGTTCAGTTCTTTTTTTAAGTTGTTAAACTATCTGCGGTAAAAAAAAAAAAAAAACTATTTAAAAACTCTTTTCAGTGTTTTATTTTATACGAATGCCTTTTCAATTTGATCTGCGAGCAGTTCTCCTTGTTCTAATTTTAATTTTAACGTTAACGTTAATAACTACAGTAAATAGTTGTTATGATAATTTTATTTTTGACAATTTGAAATGCAGCGATCTGTCTTAATTTCATGCTATTTTCATCTTTTTTGATGATATTTGTTGATATCACAAGCAAAGAAGACAATTTTCAAATATTATTTTTCAGAAATTTAGCATTCAATATTAAGCGGTTTATTGTGTGAAAACTTCTCAAAATTTGTGAGTCAGATATAATTAGTCGTTTTTTAATCAATGATTGGAACAACATTTCATTATTACTAATTTTTACAGCAATTTATTGACATAAGAAGGATGTGAAGTCGAAGTATTATAGGATTTATATGATTAAAATAAAAATAAATTGAAGTAAGAAAGAAATGAAGTTAAAGTGAATTAATAATATTCAATTATATTGAAGAATGAATGATAAACAATCAGAAAGATAAGTCAAACGGTTGTTGAAGAAATAAACATTTATTGTTAGTTTTTCTTCTGTATTTGTCCTTCAACAAAACGTCATAATACCCCAAACCTCATTTGTTTCACTTGACAGTCACTTTCTATTCCTTACAAAATATGTCAACAACTGGTTCTTAGACAGACAAAAGATTACAAAGTATAATCACCGATCCGTCTTCCTTCTATCATTTCACGGATATGATATTATTGGTTTTTTCTCTTTTTTTTGCAATGCCTATCGAAATGGATAAAAATTAAGCGAAGCGCAACAATTCAAATGAATTATTTAATTTCGTATGGTCAGTGTAGTATCATAAAATTTCATTTGCACACTTTTACATTTCAAAAGTGACTGCAAATATACAATGTATTATTATATTATTTGAATTTTATCTTCTCATACCATTAAGTGATAAATAGAAACTGAAAATAATCCTTTCACAGCACTAGGATCTAATTTTGATGAAATGTTCTTTTATTCGAGGTGTTTGTGAGTTTAGAATTACTTTTTTATTTCAGACTTCTTTTTTTAACCAATTAAAAGGATCTAAGTTAATGTATTATTTCACGAACTCTATTTAAATGAAAACATTGCTTTGTATTCTAACAAAATGTATTGCAAATAATGCATTTTATATGCTACAAGATTTGGTCAAGAATAATATAAATTTTGCGAAGTCATTTCTTCATAATTACTTTTTCATTAAAAATTTTCACATCTACCACTTATATTTCAGAAATAGTTTTGAAATGATTCACAGCTTTCCTTGAAATTTGCTAAAAAAGATTCTCGGTTAATGCAGCATTCAATTATAAGTGTTACAGTTACAAAGAGACTTGGGACTCAGTTTTTTCTGTCTACTTAAATTTAACTTTAAAGGCATTGAAATGCACGCTTTCATGCCTACATTATAAAGCTCTGGAAATCATTAAAGATGGCAGATGTGAATTAATATAAAGAAAGATCAGTGTCACTTATCAGTTACTTCCACTGGACAGATGTTTTATCACTCTGCTCTGATAGGCCAATTTTTGTTCAAGCAAGAGAAATTAATGAAATGCAAAAGTGAGATTTATTAAGAAAAGATTTTAGATATTTTTTTTTTAAATCTTTGATTCTTCATTTTAAATCATAAATCATTTCACTTGAACTAAAGTTGAATTTTGAGACAACTTTACTTTATTCGTCCTGCTCTAAGCGTCTGAGATTGCATACATATTTATTAAAAGTATCCATTCATAGGAAAAATTAAGTTTTAATTTTTAATTCAAATTTTTTTAAAAGTAATTCTTGATATTTGATCAAGAAAAATTCGTATGGAATTCATCAAATAATGCATGGTTTACCTTGCAAAAGTTCATTGGAAAGAAAGACTCAGAACAAAACAACGATACATTGATCTGATCGATCATAAAGATCATCTCACTCACTAATTAATCTCTCATTTTTGTTGCAATTTTATCAAAATTTCAACATTTGTCAAATTGCTTCTCTTTTTTTTAAAGAAATAAAACTTCACTGAGAGCAACCATCTTTCACTTTCTTTCTAAAAATTTAAGAGTCTTTAAAATATCGTTGGCAGTCTTTTCCGAAAAAAACAGAACTTGTTTATCTAAAAATTATTTATAGAATTGTTTTTTAAGATAATGTCTGGAAGAAGCGGTAAGTGGTGAACAGAGCGCAAGTGGGAAGACTAAACATAAAAGTTTTCCTTTATTGGCAATTTATGCACAAAATTTTTTAGCTCTATTATTTAATTATCTCTTACTCCTTTCACTTAATTAATTTTTTGTCAACTAAGAGGTCAGTTATACATAGAAATTTCAGATTTGCAGAATGTATGATGCATGATCGAAATGGACGAACAATGTAATTAATTGTAATAAAATGACATAAATCATTATTCAGTTATAATCTTGCAGCTATTAGTGTATTAGTCTGATCTAGGTGAACCGTTAATACTATTATAAAAGTTTATATTTTTTTTAAATTCCTTCAATTTCAATTAGTCGTAATTTTTTAATACATCACGCAAAAAAAATTTGCTGTGCTTTTTTTGCATTTGAAATTTTTATAAATTAAATTGCTTCAGTGATTTATAGTCTTGTTTGTTCTCAATACGCTTTTCTAATACATATTATGACACAATCGTCAATTGAATTGTCAATAACTAACACAACTTTACAAAATTTAAATTGACTAATGAATTATGTTTTTTTTTTTTTTTGAAAATCAAATGAATTATATATTTATTAGTTGGACTGTATTCGATAATTTGTAACTTTTACTGAAGCAATCATTTTCTTTACTTTTGTTTGAAAATATCAAAGTTGCAGTAAGATTTTATTTTTAAAGGGATTAAATAAATCTTTAACCTATCGGATAGTTATTCCGTATACTTAATTCATTATCGATTGACTTGTTTCTTTCACTGTCTTACCATCTTTCTTGCATTCGAAAATTCCCTCAATTTCAGTTAGTCGTTATTTTCTTTTAGTATATCACACAATAATATTTTCATCTAGAACTTCATTTTTAGAACTGAATATAAAAAAACTAAAGTAAATTAACAGTATTTAAGCAAAGTATAAGTTATATGCGACCAATAAAGGAATTATAATGTCATAATTTGATTACTTCATATTCAAATAAATGAATAATGATATGAGTAAGAAAGCAGTCCTTTGGTCAGGATTAATAATAATAGGAGAATGTCCACTTATTCTTTATTCTACATTATTTTTAGTACTTTTTACCTTAGAAAAATGCTGAAAAATGATTAAAATATCAAACTATCCATATCAGTATGATAAGCAATTTATGAATAATTAGGACATGAACTGTGATAAGCTTCATTAACTTTATTCTATAATTACCATATTTATTTAATCAGCGATGCGATAAATTGAATCATCATCCAATTATTTTTACTGCATTATTGGCTACAGATCATGACAGATGGCCGATTTCTGAATCGATGGGAAATGGTGATTGGTGATTGGTACAACTGCGCTTTCTCATCTAATCCTGTGTTTGACCATATAAACATCTTTTATGCTTTACCGATCTAACACTGCTCACCATTCCCACTTATTAGTACACAAATATTGAAATGCAAATTTTTGATGTTATGTTATTTGAAGATCCCATCTAAAAGATTTCATCTGATCAGCAAGTATGTTAAACTTATAATAACCTTAAATTCATCCCTTCACTATCATATTTTCTCTTTTTTCCTTAAATCTTTAAATTGCTTAAATGAAAGTATCATTTTTTGTTTGTAATTTATTTGCTTCAATATTTTCAGATATATTTAAATTAAAATGACAAAAATTTTATTGGCAACTGATATGATTTTATGATTAAGCAAATTATGTTTTAGCAAAAATAGAGCAATTCTAGTGGTGCATTTCATGAATATGAGTGGTATCATTTATGGAAACAGTAGTATTTCACCTATAAACAACAGAAAATGAAAATAAGCACAATTCGATTTGAATAAATTTCATTAATTTTATCTTCTGTAAGTTAAAGTAGTGAGACAGATAATAAGAAAAAAATTTGCATAACAATAAACAAGAGATTTCATTAAATGAAGATAAAAAGTTTTTAGGCATTTTATGATATTTTTATCATACTTTTTAAGCGGTTATGCTTCTTCTGTTTCTGAATTTCACCGAATTCTGGATCTGTTTCATTCTTAATTAAGTGCTTCCTGATAATGTTATTATGGAAAAGGAAATACTTAATTTTTACTTTTTTCGTATTAATACAGTTACACGCATTTGAATATAATTTTACAAAATTTTGAGGTAATTTTTCAGGCTATGAGTATCATCTCACGATCTCGGTGGCTCAGATGTAGAATTTGGAGGTTCTTTACACTCCGAACATTCTTGATCTTTATATTTTGTTGTATTATTCTTGAAATTACTCTCGGTCTTCCCAGTTATAAGCAGGTAGTACTGTTCATTGACCATTCATTTTTTTACTTAATTTTCGAAAAAGTCATATATAAATATTAAGTTTGCTAGTTTAAAATAAGCAATGCCAGAAATTGGTCGATCTTTTAAGTAAAAGAATCTAATTAAAGGAAGTCAATGAATCATTAAACAGAAATGCGAGTAAGAAAAAGGAAAATAGTTACAAAATTTAATTCAGGAAGATGATGTACACACGGAATATCCTCGAGATTTTGATAGCAAAGAAGTAATACACAGCTCATTTCAAACGGTAAAGGATTTGCAGAAACTAAAATGGAATGTTTGTTACGCTATTTTCAAATTGCTATAATGAATGCATCTATTAAGCTTCTCATGTGAATTATAACCGCGCTCTGGGATTAGATCTAAGAGAAAGCGGTAATCGAGTCATAGTTACGAGATATCCCGGATCGTACAAAGTAGTGGATCGAAAAAGAATCTAGTATTGACAACATTTTTAAGCCACAATAAGTATGAAAATTAGTTGTTTTTAATGCAAAAGTTCATCTTAATTTTTAGGAAACATCTGTCCAGGAACTGGCTGAAAAAAAGGATGACCGGAAGTCTAAACTGGAAACGGTAGCACCGTTTAAGCAGTCATTAACATCACTACATTCAGTGAGAATACAAAAGCAGGATGAAGCGCAAAATAGCACTAAAGCTTCTTACGATGTATATCCATTTAGAATTATAATTTCGTCTTAGAATGCTTTCTAATTTCTAGTTCAACTGAATGAATTCGATATTGAAAATCATGGCATTATTTTCTTCTTTTCTTCAGTTGTCCGACCTTAGTCGATTTGTAATTATTTAATAAACCATAGAAATGTGAAACGGGATTTTAGATGCTGTTAACGAGCCTTAAAATTTCTTCTTTCAACTAAATAAATATTTTTGTTTTCGTTGTTTTCTCATTAAAAATAGCGTTCATTCCTTTAAAATTTGAGTTGCAATAAATTTTTATTTATCGTCCTAAGTTTCCAGGAATCATTTTATGCAAATAGGATTATTCATTTTGATTTGAAAGGTGCTGCACCAAAAATATCATATTTGAAGGAAGTATTAAGGCTTATAAAAGCGAATGGCGCTACTGGTTTGTCTTTAGTTTGTTTTATCGAAAATAAACATTCTTTTTAGCTTGAACTGTTCGCTTTATCGGTATTTGATTTCATGCTATAGTTTTATTGTTTATAACTTCCTTCTTTAGATTATCCAAAATTTGCTTGAATTGCATAAGTAGTAATTCCAGACTAGTGGTTTAGGTTGAAAAGAAAAAAAATTATATTTCAGGAATTTTGCTAGAATGGGAAGATACATTTCCATTCAGTGGTATCTTAGCAGAGAATCGTAATAGTGATGCTTACACGGTGGAAGAAGTTCGTGATTTTTTGGAAACAGCCAAATCACTCAAGCTTGATGTTATACCGCTTGTGCCAACTTTTGGACATTTAGAATGGATTCTTAAAGTTGAAAAATTTAGGCAATACCGACAAAACGACATGTTCCCACAGGTACAGGTTGCCTTGAACCAATTAAATGTATATTTAGAATGATAGCGTTAAACTCAACTAAATTATCTTTAGTTTGTTTCAAATATATTTTCATCTTTAAACGTAAGAATAATGCCATCTATGAAAGTTAATTACAGGTCATCTGTTTAGCAGATGATGATGGTGTTTCAGTAATTTTGGACGCTATACGGCAGGTTGTCCAGTTTCATCAACCATTCGGAATAACGTATTTTCACATTGGTGCTGACGAAGCTTTCCAGGTTTTTTGCTTCATTTTACATTTCCACTGGAAATTTTAATTCCACAAAATTTAAACTTGCAAAACTGTGATCATCAGACAGTCGTTTTATGCATCTTAAAAGAATCGATTGAACCATTTTTAAATGCATTTTTAAGTAAAATTCCATCAAATGATGCTTTTCAGTTCGGTGAATGTTTGAAAGATCGTCGATGGCTTAAAGAAAATAAAAATAAGGGAAAAGATAATCTTGCAGCAATGCATTTAGCAAAAATTGCAAATTACATCAAAACTCTAATTCCAAATGTCAGGTAAGAAGGTGATTACCTTTATTTCAAACGCAGCTAATTTATGCTTAATAGCAACAAAAGTTCTTTTTTTTTTTTCATTAACATCAGAAACTAATTATACAGGAAGCATAGATTCCAGAGTGTTAGCATGGTACGATATGATTAAATTATTTGAATCTTCATTGATCGAGTTCTATCATCTGGATCAACTCTTAGAAGTGGTGGTTTGGGATTATTCCGAAACGTTGCAGCAGCAAAATGGTATAATCTTTGAATTTATTTGTATCGCAGAATAATGCTTGCAAAGTATGTATCATAATTACGATAGACAAAGATCCTAGTGAAATATTATCTCAGTGAACTTTCTTCTAAATATTCTTTCTCAAAAATTTTGGGAATCTTCTGGAAAATTTCAGAGACTTTTGTTAAAATTATTGGCAAATGCGTATTTTATGAAACTTTAAAGATTTTTTTGATTATTTTGCAAGGTAAAACTAATCTATTTTGCAAGAGTTCACATGGAATTCTCTGGCTGCAAAATTCCCAATAGTTTGGGGCTCATCCGCTTACAAAGGAGCCAATGGACCATTATCAGCGTTTTTGGATTTGAAGCATTATTTTCGAAACAATAAGTCATGGATTACACATCGGAAAGTAAGTTCTTTTTAATGTTCAATAATAATATTTACATAAAATTCAAGATCTAAGTGTTAATCAATGTCAAACTTCTAACTACTTTCTCAGTGATGTAGTAACTCTATAGATGAGTGCGTTTGTTGAATATTATTTCGCTACCTGTTTTGAGCTAAGGTAAAAAAGATCCCTTTTGATGCTGAAAAATTGAAAATTTGAAATTGAAACTGAATATTAAATAGCTTTGTTAGAAAGAAATTACCACAGCGGAATGATTAGAATTTTGTAGCAAATCAAATTTAAATGTTTTGATGAGAGCATTTCTTCATTGCAAGCAGCAAAAATGAAACAATTAAATACACTTCAATTTATGAAATGAAAATTTAAAAAGTGGGCTGCAGAAGTGAAGATTTATTAATCTAATGCTAGATGGATGACCACTGTACACGACATTTGCGCTTATTGAATTCTAGAATCATTAGATATTTGTCAAGACGTTCTTTTTTGGGTTACTTTTTTTCTCAAAAAAAAAAAAAAAGAAACATAGCATTGCAGTTCTTCCTTATTATTTCTAGCTGAACTATCTTATGTGCACTTCTAATCTTTTAATGCTTAATTGAAATTGCCATTTGCCTCACTACAATAGCTAATGCAAATAATCTATGGTTAATTATAAACATACAAAATTTTATTCCTACTTTTAATATTTTCCTGTTTCCCTTCTATTGCCATGCAAGTCTAAATTAAATTCAAGATCTAAGCTTATGATCAAAATTCAATACTAAAACTGAATTCAATTTTCGTAGCTATGTGAAGTCGCCAAATTACTAGAGACAATCGATACAACCATTTTAGTAAAGCAGAGAAGTGTAAAAGGAAACTGTTAACATTTGAAATATATTTTTGCTAAACTTTAGACATATGGCACATTATTTCGTACATTCCGAGGTTTAATCATAACCGGTTGGCAACGATATGATCACTTTGCAGTATTATGCGAACTTCTTCCGGTAGCACTTCCATCAGTTGTGTTAAATCTTCTAGTAAGTTAGTACTCCATCAAAAATATTTTCAATTCAAAGTTATCAAAATTTGAATTAGAAATACTTAAATTTTAAGACCTAATCTGAATCAACATTAATGGATGAAATGTACGCATTGTGACTGTGGAATGTTTTCTCCAAACTTTAAAGCAAGTTGAGAAGATACTATCTTGCATGTGAAACAAATGACATTTCTTAGATGCTTATGAAAGATAGGAATGATTGGGCAATCTAAATGATCTCACTCAACATTTTTTAAAAATTTTCATAATTAATTAAATAGAAAAATAATTAAACAATTAAATGGAAAAACAATTAACTAACATAAATTAGACAGAAAAAAAATTTTATCCACTCAACTTTGTAGTACTTTTATGTCACTGAACATTTTTCAAGATGGCTGCGTCTGCTTTTTCTTTTAATCTCAATATTATGACATTTGCTGCCATTAATTTGTTCAGGTAGCAAAAGCAGGTGATAAACTTTCTACTCAATCGATAATTAAATCTGTCACTGCTGCACTGAATTGTACATCAAGAATCTCATTAGAATACATGCATTCATTTGATTCCTGCGACTTCCCAGGTTTTTTTATATATTTATAATTAATTCGATATCAAACATGTGTTTATGAGCATTTCTTTCTTATTAATCTGAATGCATTATATGCATACAGGTGTACGACATCGGTTACTAAAAATTTTAACCTGATTTTTTGTGTTAATTATTTGTGAGATCAGCATTATCAAGCGATGACATTGTCATTGGTGTAAAATAATATCAATTGGATTGATCTGAATTAAAGAATAGGAGAATTGAGATTCTTTATTTTGGTCATCTTATCTACTGCTATATGAGAAGGAGGAATTACAGGTGTTGAATTATTCAGTGTTATTCATTCCTTACGTAATCATATCAAAGTGATCAAAAGTGAAGTTTTTGAGAGTCACCAGGTAAAAGGTTGGCTCAATCGATTCAATGTACACCATGGTTACACCCAGTTGTGGTATTTGCTGCAAATGAAAAGCATCATTGAAATGCATATTAGTGACATGCTTAATTTGGTATGTTATTTTTCTGGCACAGCATGAAAAGTTAGTAATTTTGGAAGTATGCATTTTCATTTCTGGTTTGCAAAGAAGAAAACGAGGACGGACAGGTGAGAAGAACGAGTTAATAAGAAAATAACGGAAAATATTTTATCCTTTGGAGAATTTAGAATTTAATTATAAACCATTAATATTCTTACATACATATTTATTTATTTAACATAAAAACCATTTTCAATCTTAGACCAAAATGATCCAGTCTTTGATGCAGCCAATTTTCCGGAAAAATACAATCGATGAATGGCTATATGAATATACTGATCCGATTATAGAGCAATTGAGGGAACTATTGCAACACATTTCTGAACTTAAAATGCGACGAACATTCACTGTTAGAAATTTTGACATCAAAAGGAAAGAGATGCAAGCATCGTAATTTCATCATTTTCATTTTTATTTCTTATAACTCTTTCTCTCTCTCCTCGTCCTCTCTTCCTTCGTAAGTGCTTTCTTTCTCTTCTTCTCAATATCAAAAACTACCTGTATCATTTTTTAACAGAAAGTCATTTCTGATTATCATTACTTTAGTTTAATGAATTCAGTATCAAGTTGGATATGGAGCATATCTTACGCAAAAAACCTGAAGTTTTAACAATTTTCTTTTTCTTTTTTAATTTTCATCGCTGCTTTATCATTTATCAGCTTTCAATCGTATTAATCGGGTATTTGTTTATTAAACAGTTTCAAGCCTTATAATTTTTGTTTTGCTTGGCATTGATTTCTCTTTTGCCAATTTATTTTATTTCATAATATTGCTCCATTTTTGGAAATGAAACGAAATTAATTCATTAGTATTATTATTGCTATTATTACTATTATTATTATTGTTATTACTATTATCGTTATTATTGCCATTATTATTATTACTATGTTACTATTATTATTATCATTATTATTGTTATTATTATCATTGTTATTACCATTATCATTTTTACTATTAATAGTCATTTTCATTTCCCATCATCCTAATTAGATTTTTCATTTTGCAGTTGCAACTGAATTTTCCGCTATTTATAGTCCGCTAGTGAAAAAACGATGTTGAAAGTTTGACAAACCGAATCAAAGAATCGTTACTTCATAAATAAATTTTTCTTAATTAATATCTCAAAGAAATTATTGTTACTTTCCAATTCGTTACTCGAATTGCTTATTTTTTTCCTACCTCCAATTAACTCTTTTTTAATCAACTCGAGAATTCAAAAACTATTCGTTTCATCCAACGTTAATTGCAGATACATAAAGAATTTATTTCAAGTAGGAAATGCAATAAATTTGAAACATTTTTTTTCTTTTTTGTAATATATTAACAATTGTATTAGAGAATCTATAAAAATGTAAAATATAATGTGCAGTTTTTGTTCACTGTAAATCTCTTTCTTTTTGTTTAAATCAGATTACATTGATGTTACGGTTCGGGTTGTCCAGATTTCCGGAAAGTTATTCAAGTACAATCTTTTTAACATTTTACTCAATGGGGACATTGTCGAATATTTCGCTTAAATTATCTCAGTTCGTAGCAATCAGTTGTCAAAAGTTTTAATGTTGAAAATACCACAAATATTGCAATAGAAATAGGGGTCATCATGTGAATAGTCGTAAATTCAACTTTGTGCTTGAAGAGAAAAATTTTCATGGATGCAATCATTAACATATTCTGGATATGCAACACTTCAGAAAGTTTGACATTTCTTGCAACAACTTAATTTCAGCACCGAAGGTAAAATGTTATTATCGATTGATGTTGTTCAAAGATCTTTTTATTTGTGTTTCAAAAGAAGAAATTGAACTTGACTGACTCACATTACATCAACGGTTCACTTTTAGAAGTTTACGTCATTACAGATCTGAAATTTTATGTCATTAAGTAGGTCTGAAACAATGCAATTTTTAGTTGGACTGTTGGTAGTACTTTCCATCCATTTTATTCCGGCAACAGTCCATATCGTATTTTAAGACATTCCTTTCCCAGAAGTAAACCACAGGGAATATTTTCGGTATATGCTTTGACACTTTAAGTGTAAATGCATTAAAATTAAGAGATTGCAGTTTACATTTGTTTTCAATTATTTTGATGTTCACATTGAAATAATCTTTGTATTTTTAGTTCATCTGAATTCTCTTTTATATATATATATATATATGTTTCATTTCTTGCATTATTTGCATTTCATTAAAAATTCCTGAAAATAAATGCTTGTGAAACAAAACTTCATTTTCTTTTTCCACAGCAATTATTGATACGGAACTTTCCCCTAATTTTTAATTTTTAGAAATTTAAGTTATATATGGAACTTTCCTCTAGTTTTTAATTTTTAGAAATTTAAGTTGCATTTCAACTTATATCAGATTAATCTACAACTAAATTTCTAGCTCTATCAGATTAATCTACAACTAAATTTCTAGCTCTATCAGATTAATCTACAACTAAATTTCTAGCTCTATCAGATTAATCTACAACTAAATTTCTAGCTCTATCAGATTAATCTACTACTAAATTTCTAGCTCTATCAGATTAATCTACAACTAAATTTCTAGCTATCTAAATCAACAAGCAAAATGATTTATTAGCAGTAATGGTCACAACTTATTATGCTAACAAGTATAAATTAACTGTAGGAAATAAAAGAAACTTAGCAAGAATAGATAACATTTTGATCGAGAAGAAACACATTGCCATTAGTATTCTCAAAGATCGATTCTGAAATGAGTCACGAAAACTTGTTTTCTCTCGAATGTTTTATTTTCTGCTCATTGCTTCCTAGACGCAGACCCCGCTCGCTTCATGTTTTTCTTAGGTTTATTCTAGGATCATTTGTCATCTTTCAGTTTTTGTCTTTATGATTCATTAAGACAAACTGCTATTATCATTATGCTTGGCCATTATAATCAGGCTATATAGAAGATTGTGTGCTTAGGCAATTAGAAGTTTGTAAGATCATTCAATACTTTAAATGACAAATTAATTGTCTTAAATGACATCTTATTAGTCAAAGAAAAGTCAATCGTAGAAAAATTTTCTTTCAGTAAATGAAATAAATGAGTGATAGAGATAATAAATGCCTATCTACGGTCACTCAAGCATTCTGGAACTTCTGATCTATGACAGTTGTCACCTAATGTAATACATGTTGCTAAATATCAACATAAACGACCATACTTGGAAATTAATTAAGTACTAATAGATTAAAAAAGAAATTTTGAAATGAAGAGTATTGGCAATTCCTCTAAATATTTACGAATTACTAGATGGAATTTTATTACTGCTTGGTATATTGGTGATTTTCTCATGATTTTTTTCTTCTCTTAATTTCACAGCATTTCGTTTTCAGAAAGTAAACATCAATCAATGTGAGTTAGTTATCAAAAAAAAAAAAAAACTGGAAACGGGAGAACACCTTTTTCTATTTCCACCACTTTCAACATTTACAATCATCGGCGGTAATGGAATTACACAGACAATGGTCCACAAGCGCACGCTCTGTCAATCCTATCTCAACAATTAACCCTTTTGTTTGAATTTTAATACATATTTTCTTTTATCCTAATTTCATATTTTCTTCTTTCAGAATGCTTAAAGTAATTGCAATAGTATTTTTTGTACTGACGACAATTTGTTACGCAACCGTCAAATGTCCGCCAAATAAACGTGGTGAAGTGCTGACGTGCACGATTGCATGTTGCAAAAGTTTGGATGTTACTTTTGAGGTAAGCTTCATGCTTTTACAAAAATGCTAAATTTTAAAAATTATTTTTATTGTCTTTTTTTAAAATAGGTAGAGAAAACTCATTTAAAATGGTTCAAAAATTCAATAACAGCGGTTGTTTTGTCGCTTCGATTTCTTTAGACATTTGCCTGTTACTGTGCTTAGATTCTTATATTGCAATGATCTTTTCCAAACCACATTTCAAGTTTTGAGGTTTTAGGCTCAAATATCTGTAAAACCTTGCAGTACGCAATTAATCAAAATGGGTAAGCTTTGCTAAAACTTAAATTTATCATTCAAATGATTTAGATTTCCAGGATTATTTCTGTTGTGGATTGGAGGACAATGAAATTGTTGTTCGTGATACGACCTCAGGACATGATCGATCACAGCGTTTCATTGCTTATGGCAGTATTTTTCAGTATGCTATGAACGTTCCAAAACATTTCTTGAGATTTGAGTATATTTGGATATCAGTTGCTGAATAAAATTGGAAAAAGTGAAAAAATCATTTCTCTAAAATATGATATTTTTGTCTGAGAAATTTGCTTGTTAACATTTCCTAGCCCAGAATTAAAATGTGAAGTCATTAAACTAATTATTACAGACACATTTTTCAGAGGTAAGAAACAACTCAAATTAGGTTTGGCCAATTCTTAAAATTTTCAACTATTGGTCGAAATAAAGTTTGTTTCAGGATTGACTACACATTACTTATTATTGGATTGATCATTAGCATAATCCTGAGTGTTCTTTGCTCACTCTTCTGTTGCCTTCTTTGCAACGGATGTTGGCTTCATCGACGACGTAATCCACAGTTGTACGAATCCGTAAACGATACCGGATTCTATCCATTATGCTGTAATCTCTTCAAAAATTATACCTTTAGCTGATTAAGTTTTTCCTATATTTATTAATATTTGCTATCTTTTCTAGGCGGATTCGGGATTCCGATGGGAACGATAGTATTCAGCACGCATCCACCACAGTTTCGAGATGAATCAGAACTTTATGGTGGATCTTCAGCGTCCTCATATGCTAATCGAAGCCGAGTCCGATTTAATGACGACGGTACTCCACGTGGTGTATTGAAAGGCAATTTTAATACATATCCAGGGTCATGACCTTTTTCTCAATCTTTTGTTTTTTGTGCTATTTACTTTTCATTGTCACAAATTATGAATTGTTTTTATTTTAATTTCATTTGAAATTTCATTTTTTAAAGATCGTACATAATTATTAATAATTAAATGCTTACATCTTTACAGTGTCACATGCGATGTCTATTAAACATAGCGTTTTTTGCAAAAATAAAAAAGTTAAAGATGATTTTATTCCTTTTTGTCGTTTGAAAAGGCTTCTGAAATATTTTTCGAGTTTTTGAATCCTTTTTATGTAGCTAAGATATTTCAGAATTTTTTAGGCGTAGCACTACTAAATGATATATTTTCTTATCTGATGATTTTCAGATTTTCTTCCCATAGTAATTCCAAACACTCATTTTACTTTTGTTCCACACTAATTCTCTCTACTTTTATAAAAAGCACTTATAAAATATATTTAATTTGTTTTCAAATCATCTTGGACTAATGCACAAAATTAACTCACCGCTGCTCGACTGCACTTCACAAATTTAGAATTCGATTAACATTTCGAAAAGAATTGAAAATTCATTTTTTTTACTTTTCTTTCGTCATTACAGGCAAAGTGTTATATATTAAAACCTGTGATTATGGCATTTTTTGCCTGAAAAAATTTTTGTGAACAAAATAAAGGCACGAAATTGTTTTTGCATTTGTTATAGATAATGAGATCGATTTTGCAGAAAATAAAATTTGAAAATGTGTGCAATACTAAAACTGTTGTTCAATTATAACTTTTAGATAGGCTTAAAATTTAAATTAAGGCAACTTTACCTAAATGGAATAATTCGATCACAAAAAAAATTATTGTTTGCTCCTTGCTTTGAACGCTTTGAATGCAGGTGCCTCGTCAAGGTTAGACAGCCAAACCAAATCTCTGTGAGTATATTACCTGTGTCCATTAAATTTCCATCAACAGTTGGCCATAATATATTCCTGAAGTCTCTTGCCAGATCTGTTATTTTTCTATAACAAAACATTTCGTTCGTCTTTGATTTCACCCATTTATTGCATCGCGGACCAATTTGCTTACTCACAGTTTAAATACATAAATGGCAGATACATCTATGACTAATCATACCTCCTCAATCCATTTCTAATCTCAGTAAAGTGATTCCTACGTTTTCTGTGCTAACGCAAGCCTCAAATCATTTTTATTAACAAACAACGGTGTTTTCGGAGTGAAACTGACCTTTGATCTGCTTTAATCACTGATAAGCGTTTAGCATTCTTCTTCAATTAACTTATATTGCGCCCAAACATTAAGGAAAAGAAATTTTTCAGCCAACAAAACAGATGAAATACCAATTTCACTTAAAAATCATTGCTATTAATTCATCAAATTATCAGTGATATTCCATTTGTTGAAGAGTTTGTTCCGCTCTCTCTTCTAATTTGTGTTTACCACTATGCTTCATTTCTGGAAATACTAATGAACACATATGGCTGTAATTATTCACATATTGTCAAGATTGCACTTTAAAAGGTTTAATTAAATGAAAAAAGTGGTTATTGACATATTTTACAAAAAAATGTAAGCAAAAGAACTTAAATTTAAAAAGTAAAAATGAAAAAATTCAAGTTTTGTATGCAATTAGCTTTCAATATCTCTTTCGTATTCAAATATCGATGATAATCTCGAAAAGTTTCAAGTTCATGATATTACTGTTACTCACGAAACTTTCTATTTATTATTCCAAAAGTAGCTTATCTTTAAGCTTCAGATTTAATTCCATACCCTCTAAACAACAAATTTCCATTGATAAAACGATTTTAATTGATTCAAAATAAGATTGAAACAAAAATTGATCCTCTTGCTATTAGTTGGCAAAAGTGAAAATATGTAATTCCTAATTCTCAATTAAAAACGAATTAATTTATTAATCATTTGTTTCACATTTTAGAATTTGTATTTTTTATCAAACAGTTCAATTTCTGACTACCAATAACGATGTTTATGAAAATTAAAATCAATTATGACTATTTATTTCAGACTATTTTACAATTATCATTTCGAGTAAATTCTAATTTAAGCGCTTTTCTGGGAAGAAATCCCTTCGCTGGAATTCAGTTCATAAAAATTTTAACAACCATTTGCAAGCATTAATGCATTATAAAAGATGAAGTTTTTCTCTCTCTCTCTCTCCCTCTCTCTCTCCCCCTCTCTCTCTCTCTTTAATGGACATCATTTTCATGATTAAAACGTCAAGGATGCCTGAGCTTTTTGGTTACTTTTAAAAGCTTGATTAACCCTTTTCATATCATTTCATCGTGAATGGAAGGACTATCAACTATTTAGTCTAAGGAACTAACATTAATTCCATGTGCTACTGAAACTTACTTGAATTTATTTCTCCGTTTACAATTTTATGGCTTTGATTCGTCTCAAAAAATTAAGACGCTCGATATGTTTCAAATACTATAATTTTCCGTGATTCTAGGAATTGTTAATTGTTTTGGGAAATTTTGAGGGTCACAAAATGTTGCATTGTTTTCGATTTCAAAGAATATTTATTCATAGTCTTGAAAGCAGAAGTAGAATCTTCGTAAAGATTTTTCAATGAAGGACAATATTTTTTAACATCCATTCATTTAAAAATGAGTAAATTGAAGTTAGTTGGTTGGATAAGAAATTTCGGTTTAAATTTAGATTTTTTTTCACGGAGACCTGAGTGTTTTTTGTATCATTTCTTTATTTAAAATTGCTTTTTTATCAATTTTTTTCTCAATCAAACTGAAAAAAAAAAGAATTGAACTTATTTTCATCTTCTGTTCTTCCTTATGATTTATTCATGAGATATTTAACTTTTTTTCTCATCTTCTACATTCATCTGAAAATTCGCACTGTTTTCAAGAGATTTTAGCTTTTCAGTGTAATCTTTTTCAATTTTAGGAGTAAATTTGTTGCAGAATTTTTAGAGACAAATTCTGATGCTTTCTGTCTTTTTCTGATAGTCTATTTGATATAAAAAACTGATTCTTTGAAATAATTCAAGGAAAAGGCAATTGTGTATGGATTTTCTTCTGCTCACTTTTTGACATAGAAAGAAAGAATAATCTTTAAAGAGATTGTTTGAAATTTGAAAGAAATGTTTTTCCCTTTCAAGAAATTCTCTCCTAATTGCAGTTGTTTTCCATTATTCCACTGCAGCTTATTCATTCGCTATAAATGAATTTCGATCAAATTGTGATGAAATTTGTTTTTATCGAGAAATGTTATTCAAATATTAGCAGGAGACGAGAGAAAGAAAGGGAGTGAAAAAAAGAGATGAAGTAAAATTGATACAGATTATTTGTTTATTTTCAATAAACCAAGTAACTATCCAAGAAAATGCGCACTGTGATTAATGAAATATTTACAATATAACCAATGCTTGGTTTATTCACTTTTAAATTTAATTCAAATAAAACTCTTTCAGTTCAGTTCAAGTCAAATATTTTATATACTTGGCTATTAATAATCTATTACAAACATAAAAATTATCAACATGTCATTTTAAATGATAAAATGGAATTTAAATTCACCACTTTCAGAGTCTTTCATTTAAGTCTCAAAATTGCATTCGTAAATTTTCATTTACTTAAATACTATACAAATGCTCAATCAGATTCGATTTATATGAGCGATGTCAGTCACTCAGTACAATGACTTTTGTCTAAAATTAAATGATTTTTCAAGACAAATTGTCTTCCTGATTTACTTGAAATCTAAATGAGAATAAAAATTTGCTCAATTTCTGCTTCTAACTAATATATCATTGTCATTTCCATATTGAAAAAATCGCGATAGTAACTTTTACCGTAAGTTCACAGATATTGGCTCTGCTTTAAATTCATTATTTCAAAGTAATGGATGTAAAATGAAATGAACTAATATTGAAATGTTACACTGTTCATTCAAATGGCTACTATATATCTGGTTGTTAGTTTAGTAATTTTAAATATCGAAAAAAAAATTGTTGGCTTTTTCAAACAAACTGAAAAAAAATGGTGGAATTCCTCCGGATGAATAATTCAATACCAATTTTTATTTTCTTTGGTTTCAAATTTCATTTTAACTAAAAACTTAAGTTTCAACATTTGCTTCCTTGAATTTTTTTTTGGAAGAACTGAGATTATCTTCTTATTTTTGTTTTTTTTTTTATTTTTTTTTTTTATTCCTGCTTTTTTCTATGTACTTTTACAATTGCACTGCTTTATCACTTATTTCCTACATTGATGATAATAGCATTACTTCTTTCAATATGCAAATATTGCTGAAAGTTTTAGGAAAGTGTTAGAAAAAATAGTTCTAAAAAGTGAATTTATTGCAAACTTCCATCTTTAATGTGATTCACTTTTGTCGAAGTTGTCCTTTCTAGTAAATATTGTCTAAAGTTGAGAAACTTCAAACAAGAGCGCTCATGAGCGACAACTGAGCCACAAAATCGAACGATGAAAAGAGAATGGGAATGAAAACGGTAATCATCTCTCAAAATTTATTTAGATATCAAACATGGCGTTGAATTAATATTTCCGAAATACATGTAAGATTGAACTGATTCATTTAACACTATAAAATGAATGACTCATTTCGGTAACAACGATTTAAAAACAGTAATAACGGAAAGGTAAAAGAATATGGTAAGTAAGAGATAGTAGAATAAATTAAGAATAAATGGATTTTTGGCTGCGGAAAAAAAAAGTCAAAATATAAATGACCGATTAAAAAATGAAACCATTTAATTAGAATGGTAGATGAAGGAATAGCTTCAATTTAAAGAAAATTAATAAATTAGAGCAAAAATACAGAATTGAATCGCATGTTCATTAAATTAATTTATTGAATAATGCTTAATGTAATATAGAAATGCTTTATATAAAGAGAATTATTCTCAAAGAAATAAAATTCAATAAACTATCAATTAATAGCTATTAAAAGACAAAAATTGCTTAATGACATGAACTGATTGTATAGAAAGCACAACAATTTCACGCAGATATAAAACGAATGAAAAGGCGCTATTGCTATTTTGTGCAAAGACGACATTTCGCATCCTTACTCTTTAATTAATCTATTTCTCATTTTTTGTTTTTTTTATGACTTTGAAACAATTTCCTGAGGTGACTCTTTTATTAACCTTCACTAGCCATATTGGTCATTAGATTGGTAGACTAGAAAAACATTTTGCTAGCTGACATTTCCTTTATACCTTAGGCCATTAACAATTTTTGTTTCGTTCTCCATTATCGCTAGGCTACGTAATATTTTGTTGTAATAATAATTGAAGTTGGTAGTGTTAATATGGATTACGATAATAACAATATTAATATTAGTGGTAAAGATAGACATTTAAAGATCTGTCTGTCCACTCGTCTAAATTCAATTTGTTTCTCTCACTTCCATTCCTCCACTGTAATCAATACGCCACCGAGTTTCTCTTTACACTTTTTTGCTTACATATACGTGCCGTTTCTGTTCCAATGTTTATTTTTACATGCAAAAATATATATAATAAGTATGGTGACAGCAGATGACAACAATAAACCAAAATTCGAAAATTATACGAATTGGAAAAGACTTTATTGTTGATTGGAAATTATTGCAGTTTTCAAGTTCTAGGATCGCTCCATTTTAAGAAATAAATTGTTAATTAATATTAATGATTCATTGATATGCTTGATCACTGTTCTTCATAACTCGTCAGATGGCAATTGTTGAATTGCTTTAATTTGTCTTTTCATCTGATCCTGAAAGGAACCTGAAGTGATGTTTATAACAAAAAATGATGGGAAGAGTATTTTGAACAGCATATTTCGCTACTAATGAAATAGCATAGCAATTAAATGAAAAAGCCAACAGTGTAGAAAAAATTCTAGAAAGAGAACATCAATCATTAGGTTCCCATTTACGTAAGTAACTGCACTGATGGATGCTTTATAATTAAACACCAATTAGCATTGAATATTTTAGACTTATTTGGCTTAATATCATATTTTTTTTTACAACTGTTATCTCCTCCTATGTATTTTGAAGAAATAGCTTTCATCTTTTGTTAATAATCACTATCAATTGAGTAAATAATATGGTTCGCTATTTGTGTAAGACTATTATGATTGCGATTTAAAAAGTAAAGCAGAAGTATTTTCATTCACGAATATACTGCCCATATCGCAGGGGAAATCAAGTATCTCATTTTTGGTTAGAAATAATTTTTATTCCGTCAAATTTTTTGTTTAATTGATTAATGAAATATCTGTTATTATTTTTCTTTCGCTCAGCAAATACATTTCTTATCTTTTAATCATTTCAGGAATACATATTGGTGTGCTTTTTTTTTGCTTTTACTCTTACGTACAAGGTAAAAGATACCAATACTAACGAAATGGGCAGACAGAGAAGTGAATAACTCGCAATGAAAATTTTTTTAGTACGGTTCTTCAGGAATAAAAAATGCTTATCAAAACTTTTAAAGCATAAAGTACTTTGATTATAGTTTTTGCTTTCTTATTTTTTAATTTTGAATTTAATGCACTTTATAGTGAAAATATTTAGAATACCATCGAAACTTTTGCTGCAACCATTGCAAACTTCAACAGTTTAAAAATTTAATTAAAAAATGTAGCTAAGTAATGGCTTGCTTTATAATACAGTACCAGTCATGTTATTAGCATCATTTCAACAATTTTAATAAGGAAAAAATTTTCCAATGATATGACTTATCTAAATACAACTGGGAATTAGATATTTTCTCTGGAAGAAATTCATGATGGGAATTGATATAGAGGAAGGTATTCCTTTCATCTCTTCAATATTTCGTCTCTCAAAGTTTAATTAAATTTCTCTATGCTTTACTAAAAGGATTTCCTTAGAATACTTCAATCATTGAAAATTAGAAATTCTAAAAGGAATTTCGTTTAACTTCGTTAAGAATTAGAACTTTTTTTAGTGCTAGAAAGTTTGAAGCAATATGAACAAAATCAATATTTCATTTCAATCTGGCGTGTTCAAAGAAATAATTGCTGTAAGAAATGAGAAAATTTCATTAAAAGAGCTTCGTGACTTAGCGACAAAATTCATCCAAAAAATTGTTAGTTCTTGCTTTATTAGATTTCATTGAAAGTTTGCAACGAAATAATGTTGTACTGGTCACTTATGATATTGTAATTACATTTCTTTCCAAGGTAGTAAGTGTCCAGTGAGAATGGACTAATATTATATTCAGAATACTAAATAGCAATCATATTGAAAAGACCGTATCTTTTGCTTTGTGTCGTCACTTTTTTAAATCTCAAATTGGAGTTCTAATTGACTGAAGAAATAGATCTTCAAATATCAGATTTCAATAGATTGTTTTGTTGATTCCAAGTTTTAACACAAAAAGCCAGTACACATATCTTATGTACATTTAGTCTTTTTAAAAAAAAGTTTTTTTATTCTGTTAATCTATTTAATAGTTTTTTTAAACATCATTTTTTTCTATTTTATCCTCTTTTTTCATTGAATTTTCACTATTTCATTCTCTTTTTTTCTTTGAATTTCAGCACTCAAAGTGTGGTTTTAACAATGTGTTATCCGAACATTTGTTGCTATACATCCATGATATCAATACTGCCAATATTCTGCGGTTGATCACTACAAATGATAATATTTACGATGGAATGCTAATTGAAGTCGTAATTGCTTGTAAGTTTCATATAATTGTTGTTGAAGATTATAATAAAGATTTCCGCACTTTGGTTTGTAATTTAATTCGTCTGACTTGCAATTTTCTGTTCGAGGAGTTTTTGTTGCAAATTCAGAGAAATTTGAAAACATTTGGCTATTTTGTAAGCACGTAGTATTTTAATCGCTAATTTAAGCTTGTACTAAAGTGCGATTAAGTTGCATGGACGAATAATATGAAATTTTCTACACTTTGCATCATACAACTTTTATTTAGATATAAGAAATACTTAATGAAAATGATGCAATACATGGGTAGATAATAAATACTGCTAACTTTAACATATTAATTTGCTCTTTAAATAACAAATTTCAAAAGTCCTTTTTTTTTAATTTCCATCAAAGCTCATTTCAACAATGAGTGAGGGTGAGCATGCAAGACATAATTTCAATTTTTGAAATAATACATTATTTCATCTTTTGCCAACCAATTATTTTCTATTTCGAATAGTCATTCAGTATTACTGATAAAATTACAACAGTTAGAGTGATAACTGAGCTTTCTCAATAAATCCGTGCCAATATTCTGTACTTAATACCTCATTTTACTCAGTGTTTAACCTTTTCCATCAACTTCACCTTGATATTATGTCACACTTGCTGTTTCACATAATCACTTAATATTACTACCAAAGATGTTACTTTGTTTACTATCAACTTAAATTTCACGCTTTATTGCCACAATAATGTTTCAGATGACAAAAAAAAGAAGCCAGCTTATTTAACAATTTATTCAATAGATATTGTTGTTCTGCAAAGTTCTAAATTTTACATAAAATTCATGGAAGCAACTCTTTTTTGTTGTTCTCCGATTACTTTTCAAGCTTCCTTACTATTTCACCTACACTTCTGCTTGCCAAAGACGATGAAAAACGATAATTCTGAATTTTTCAACTTTTCTTTTTCAAGACGAGTTAAAAAAAGTGAATATGAAAGTTGAATAAAATAACATTGTTTAATGTAAGCTCAATGTCATTATAGTGTCATTATGTCCTCTCTTAAATGAAAAACAAGAAGTTTGTCATCTTTTCTCCTAAGCAAAAGTAATTTTCTAAGCGAAACTCTCATTTCTTCCCTATGTTTATGTGTTATCCGTAAGAATACTTTTTAAAAATGAATCATTAATTTTTGTAACCATACTGTTTTACCAGAAAGTTAAGAAATAAAACAAATGATAAAAAAATGACAAGGTTAATGATAATAATTTTAATTTAGTATCATTATCTGAATTCCAACTTCTATACATTTACGTAAGAAGTACTGCGCTTAATAATAATGATTAGACGTCAATTGCTCGTTAAGAATGCAAAACTCAAAAGGAAATAAGTAAAAATTAGTCTGATGAAGTAGTTGAGAAGAATATTTGGTATAACAATAATTAGACAAGCAACTTACCATTGGTCATTTTTGACCACTGACCATGTATGTTTGAATGATATCATATTACTTTTATGGAAATGACAAATTCTGAAAAACGTTGAAAAATGCCTAAAAAATTTTCAGTTCTTAACATATCTGCTGCTTGCAAATTGTATTCGAATAATCTCAAAGCCATTAATTCATTATTCATTTACCTGTCAAAATTAAAAATGAATACCATTTTGAAAGGCTTGAGCTTATTGCCTATATTATCTACACTTTTATCACCATTTTTCCAGAACTGATTAATTAGCTTATTATTAAGAAACACAAATCGCAATATAGTAATTAATAACTGATAAGTATCAGCTTGATAATTATATATATTTGTTGCATCCTTCCAACTTTTTACTAAATCATTTTCAGCTCGTTCCTCTTATCAGCGTTTCATGATGTACCATCATGTGCTATCTGTGCATAGTTACAAATCGCCAACATTTTGCGATTTTTGCGGTGAAATGTTGTTTGGACTAATGAAACAAGGCCTGAAATGTCGAGGTTTTTATGCCAGCAAGATTTTATTTCATCAATATAACTTTACTGATAAATAACGGATCAAAGAGATTTAATGGATAATGGATTGATTGAATGTGGCAATCATTAGATAAGAATTTCAGGTTGTAAATTGAATTATCACAAACGATGTGCTTCCAAAATTCCAAATAACTGTAATGGCTACAAACAGCAATTGTCACAATCTCATCTTCTGTCACTGGAAGATTCTACTAATAAGGTTGTTCCTTATCAAAGTAATCCAACTAATTTTTTCAGAAAATTTGTAATCATCCAAAAGATTTCTTGACGACATTCCCATAAGCTTACTTTAATCTAAAGCTATTTTTGATATTTAAAACAGTTTTTATGCTAATTTTGTTAAAGCAGCAAGTAAATCCACAAAAATTTTCCGTTCTAAGTATTTACAAAATAGACTACAATTTTTTGCCAAAGAAATTGTCATGTTACCTCTTTCTTTTTTACTGAAAAAGAAAATTAGCATGATCAATCAAAAACCAGCAAACTATTTTGCAAAGTCCAATGATCAGCTGTTCAGGTCAAATTTATTATTCAGGTGTCACCAGACATATCAATAACAACTGCAAATGACATCAGTTGCTGCAGTCGACCAACTTCTCCAGTTAGTCAAAATGTTTGTTTCTTTTAGACCTTATCACTTCTATCATATCGCTCAACAAATAAGATATACTACCACAGTTATTGGCAAATATAAGTGATTTTAATTTCATGGGAAATCCGATTAACTCAGATGTCTCATCTACTGACATTATATTTGTGATGTATCTCTCCTTTATTTATGGACATTTAATTGAAAAGGAAAAATTCTCATATGCGACTTTTCCTATTATCGAGATCAAGTAGTTATCAATCAGTCATTCATAGTTTAAACTGAAACGAAAGAGAATGATTCTCATGAAAACTTAATGTTTTATTCTGATTACCGTTATGCTTTTCTCCTTTGTTTCTAATTTCCAACTTCCATCACTCAATTTTTCAACTTGAATTCATTTCATTCATTTTTAACTATCTCAAGAATTTGATTTTAATTTTAGCTGAATATTTAAATCTAAGGGATTTTTTCAGACTTCTAATCCACAGTAAAATGCTATCTAATTTGCTTGTTCTAGAAAATGATTAAAGAATATAATCCTTGAGATGTTGTGATAGAATATTCTAAGGGTAAATTTATAAAAGAATAAGAACGGGTGTTAATTCATCTACGCATTTGTAAAGCTATCAAAATATCTCGGATCAATCCTTTTCAACATTTTTCTTTTTTTTTTGTTATCGATCATTTGATCTCTACGACTTGTGAACAGTAATAACATGAATTATCAGTAACATAATATTTTCATTCTTGATGAGTGATGGCAAAATTATTATACAATCTACTTGAAAATATGAATTTCGAATAGACACTTTTTAGTTTTTTTCTCTTATTTAGACAACTTGAAATCAATACCAGTGCAAATCTGAATAAGAAGATATTTACCTCAATTAACTTCAGTGATTTCTTACACTTAGATGTTTTAATAAACAAAATTAAGGCTTTCTAGTGCACATTATTTACCATTTATATTTTTAACATAGAAAAAACATTTTATCAGACAAATGAATATGTATATTAGCTGGTAAAATTTTGGTGAACATATTTTATCATTTGAAAAGTTCATCATGAAATGAGGCAGGCATTGATGACATAATCTCACATAGTTTGCATTCAATTTTAACTTAATTTGAAATTATATTTCACAAGTATTTTAATTTTTTTTCTAATTCTGGCAATTTATGTATTTGGAATATGGTAGTGCAGAAGTCGCTTCATCAAATGATAGCAAATATTTTGGCTGTCTAGAAGTTCAGTTTATTAAGAATTGAGTTACAGAGAGGAAAGTAACGATGAGAGCAAAGTATTTAACGAGATATCAATAGTTAACAATAATTGAAGATCTATCTGATAAGATTTGATTTAATTTTAGAATAACTATAACACTAAAATCTAACAGAACTCCATTAATTAATTGAACCTTCTTTGTGCTTAATTTTTTATTTATTTCCTTTCCAACTTAACTTTTTCCTCTTACATAAGAATAACTGTTGTTTATGTATATTATTACCCATACCTCTACAGTAACTCAATTTTCTTCCTCAAAATATTTCCGCTTTTCTCTGGATGACACAATTAAGTATCGATCAACTGAAAATAGGATGCTTAAGTCAGTTGCTGCAATTGTAAGCAATGAGCATTGCTAAAATCTTATTTTTCAATAAATCTTTCATTGGTTACAAGTTCATCGTTTGGCCTTCCAATTATCATTAACGATTTGAACAAACTTTTGAAATGTGCTCATTCATTTTTTTTTCTTTGATTTCATTTGACTTTTGACCTCGCATGTTTGGTGAAATATTTAAGTCAAAATTTGGGACGATTATTAATTATAATTTTATTATTGTATTTCACTTTATAAATAATTAATTTTGCAGTATCTGAATATCTTAACATCCAAAAATTTCTTTTTCCCGAAATTTGCATGTATTACACGAATAGCATTTTAGAACTTTTTACAAGTCTCTCTGCAAGAACGCAGCAGTAGCTGGAGCGGTCGATCTCCTTGGATGAAAATGTTCGAATCTATATGGATTAAGGTTTGTTTGAATCATCCGATAATTAATTCATGAAAATTAGCAGTATGCTTGGAAATTAAGGAATTAATCTTTTCCTGCATGTTTAGATACCACACACATTTCAAGTGCATTCGTATAAGCGACCAACAGTATGTCACTACTGCAAGAGGTTATTGAAAGGTTTAATACGACAAGGATTACAGTGTCGTGGTTTGTTAAATTTGATAGAAAAAATCGAATTCAACTTTAACCAACATTCGATATCAGAAAATAATATGATAGAATCGAAGGATTATTAATATGCAAAACATTACGCTACGTAATCACAGCATAGACTAAATATATATTCATATCAACATTTAATTGAACTGGTTCAAATTAACAGTAGCATTATTCGATCTAGATTTTCATTTATGCTTTAGCTAAGACTAATTAGTTTTATGACTCAGTAGTCTAGATAAAAAAAAAAGACGAAATTTAAAGAAGTCAAACCATATTTTAAAAATCCCCTTTTCTCATAATTCATTTTAGATTGCAAATATAATTGTCATAGAAAGTGCATTGAAATGGTTGAAAATAATTGTCACGGTAGTGGTACTATAACGCAGAACACAGAATTTGGAATGCACGATAAAGGTTATAAGTTTGAAAAATTTTAATGCTAAAGAAATTAATTAGTCATTTTAAGGAATATCTGTATCAGTAGTATTTTCATAAAATAAATACTTGATAAAACATCTCAAATAAATCTTCTTAGCACACATTTTTTGAAAAAAAAAAAAGAAATTTGATTTTCAGAATCTATAAAAGTTAATTTTGGTGGTAGCATGAAGAATCTGCGGATGTTCAGTGTTCCATGATTCAGAAAATCACAATGATGACAATATATTTCTTTTAAAATTCAAAATTTTATGATAAAGATTTAGCCGTAACTTCATGTCAGTCTGAAAAAGTTTATAAACACCGATTGCCCTGCTATTACTTTCAGTTAAAAAAATTTTTATGTGAGGCTGCAAAATTTCCAAATTTCAAATGATGAATTACAGATAAAAGATTGACAGAAGCACTTCAAAATTCTGATAACTCAACGACAACGATAAATTCACATCGTGGTAGGGCTCAAACAAATCCAAGTGCGCCCCTGCAAGCAACTGATATCAAAAATGATGAGCAAGATGTATCACGCAAGGATGACATTCTCACCGATTCACAGGTTTATGCTGATTTTACATCCTGATATTAAGGTTTGGAAGCATATCGATTTTCACAAAGTTAACTGGAATCCCGATAATCATCCATCCAATTTTCCGGATTTGGCATTTTTTCAAACCGAATGATCAAATTAAATTACAAATAGGAAATGAATTCAAAGACACCTTTGTTCTTAATCAGACCATTTCATTTGGATGATGAACTGTGCTCCTCTTAGCCAAAAAGAAGCGATGACTCATCGACCATCCGTCAATGACTCATTCCAAGCCTTTAAAAGAACTTTTTTCTCAGTACTCAGGAAGGTGTTCCGATGGATAATAGTGTAGTGTTAACTAACTGTAAAGCTTGAATCTTTCGTTATCTGCGCATACCCTTAAATATGTTAAGTTTATGCTTTCACTCGGCAGCATAAGCTTGTGTGATAACAGATTGAATCTGTTGTCTGTGAGTCGATTCTTCAAGAAAAAATTGAATTTAAATATTTTAGCCGAATCCTTTCATTTGATGCTATTGCTAAATACAGCAAACAGATGCTTTGTACTTTAGAATATTCCGTTGATGCGAATTGTCATGTCAAAGAAGCAAACTAAGCCTTATAAGGCCAAAGTATTGCAGGAAGGCTGGATGATGCATTACACCGATCTTCAATGCACCGTCTGTTTCATCTTTCCCATTAACTGATTTCTTCTAAAATATTGGAATTCATTAAAATTGATTGACAGACGGAATCCATTTGGACTAATTGACTAATTTCAATCTTACTTATTTACCTAAATTCCATGAATTATTATTTTTCTTAAACGTTTCTGTTGCAGCGTAAAAAGCATTACTGGCGTTTAGATACAAAAGAAATCATTCTTTACAAAGACGATTCATCGACGAGGTTTTATAAAGTTAATAGTTTGAATTTTATTTTTTAATTCCAGAAAATCGGAAGAAAATTTTGGCTTAATGTTTTAAAGAAATTTAATAAAATTTCTGGTTTTTGAATCATATAACTTGTCAGGCTTATTTAATAAAACATATTTTGGACAATTTTGAGAAATTGTAGGAAATTCCGCTAAGTGAAATATTGGATGTGAAGTACACTCCGGATCAAAGTCTTGAAAGTACAGCTCATTTTCTGGAGATTCGAACTCGAAAATTTGCATACTACATGAGTTAGTCAATTTCTTAAGCATTAATATTACTTTTAATATTGTGAATCAATGAAAAATAGAATTTTGTGCAGACCTATTTAAATTTTGTTTTTTAATTTGAGAAAATAAGAAGAAAATTTTGGAGAAATTTAAAGAAATTTCATAAAATTTCTTATTTTTAAGTCTTTCCAGAAGTTCAATTTCTGAATAAGGTCAACTCACAATTATTTTTTTACATTTTTTTTTCTCATTATCAATGATAACCAAAATATCTCATTGATTTAATTTTCTCTGCGAAGTTTTTTCCTCGCTTCTTACACGTACATTTTTTAATTTTTTTCTGGCTAATGTATAAATTTTGTTTTTTACATATTATTTTCTTACCACTTTGGAAATTAATTTTTTGAAACTCGAAAATTTTTTTTCAAATTTTCTTCGGTTCTTGTTACAAGCAAAATAAATGCCAAATAAGGACGAACACCATTTTTTTTCTTTTTTTTTTTTTTTGAATCCTTTTTCTATATGACTTGTTTTTATTTATTTGAAATGTTTTTGAAATAAAAGATGAGTGATAGTAATAGATGGTTTAAAGCTTACTTCATCATTTCCATGAGTTAATGATTAAATATAGAGGGTATAATACCTTCTACAATTTTTTTTAATTGTTTCATTCCTGAAATGTTTTAATGGATTATATTATTTTACTAGTATCAAATGACTTAATTCGATAAAACTGTGACATGTGACTTTAACCTTCCCCTTATTTCATATTAGATATCAGAAAATGAACTGGAAGGAATTGTTCTATAGTATCTACATTGAGAAAAGATTTATATTCCATTACATATTTAGTGAATCAAAGATTACTTTTCTGATTAGATATCTTTCTTTCATTTCAGCGTTTTTTCCAAAATTTTCTCTCACTTTTTATTTATACAAAGAATTTTTTATGATACATTCTTGCTTTATTCCATATGGTAATGTGTCTTTATATACAATTTCTTCAATTTCCAACTTTTTCCACACTAATAACTTATGAATTGAGTGAAATGAAGTGAGCTTTATTGCTGATAATATATTTTCTGATTTAGCTTTTCAAATTATGGAAATGGTACAACGGGAGAAATTATTATACCATTAATTCTCATAAAGTTATTCTAGTCATTGATTCGAAGTTTTTTCATGACAAAAATTCTTATAAATAATGTTATAAATCAAACAAAAGTTATGTTCTTTAAGGCATTTCTACTTCTTAAATATTGGTGCAGGTACAAAGATTACTTTTAATAAAACCATGCAACTCTTACTGACTACTCTGGTCATCTTGCCTTCACATATTTTTGTTATTTTGTAGTCGATTTAAACCAAGGAATATAGTATACTCAGTATTGTGAAAGTTAGAAAGCAATAATATGAGGGAAATTCCGTGATATGTCGGGTAGTATAGCCCAGTGGTATAAATGCTGAATTCGGCTCTTAATGCTATCTATTATTGTACAGAACAAAGAATACTATAAACTTTGGCAGTTAGAAATATTCATATGAAATGACATTGACGTTCCTATTGCTATTACCTTAACGTCGTCGATGTTACATCTACCGAATTCAAAAGAATTGTGCATGTGATTCATGATTAATAAATTCGAAAATGGGGATTGTTTAATTCAATTTCTTTCTATTAACACTTCCGATTATCATCTGACATAACCATTTGACATTCTTTTGCATCGCTCTTTCTCTGCTTCCTTTCATTTTAGCTCTTTTTTCCAAACTTTTTTCTGACTTTTCATTTTTGTAAAGAATGTTTGATGAAGCATTCTTGCTGTATGTAGGTCAAATCAAAAATGACGCCTTTTTCCCTTTTTTGTCATAACTAAAAGACCAAAATATTTGTAAAAAAACCGCTGCTTCTTTAAATGCGCTACGTTGTACTGCTGAACCATTTAATCTTTTCCATCAAATTCCGTTTATATAAATAATCATTTATTTAAACACTAATAGAAAATAGTGAAAGCACTTTTAAAAGTCGTAAGAATCACTTTTATTTGAATTCATTCGAAATTTCTTTCTTATAACAAAAGATTTCCTAATTGCATGAAATTTCTTTTTTAATTTTCATATCACCACATAACTAAGTGACGATTTAGATTTGTAACATTTAAATTCATTTAAAGAAGTTTGAAATTTGTTATTTTATTATTATTTTGACTTATGATAATGAGATTGTTTAGCGAGAGCTAAAAGAGTTCATTCCTAAATCTTTTAAAAGTTGATCCCCTCAATTCATTCATTTCGATATGAAAAAAGCATATCTGTCAATTTCCGCTCTACAACACAAATGTAATGGATCGTTTAGTACATTTTTCATTTATCGTTCATTTGTTACTCTTTTTGGATCTCTCTTTTTCAGCAAATGGTCCAAATTATTTGGCTTTCACATACTTTTTCTACCGATGATTCATCATTTTTCAGACAATTTTTTCTTTCAGTATTGTTGAATGTTTTCATTTCAATTTCTTCAATATTCCCCAAAAATCATATTATAATTCAATAATGTGGCCTATCTTAGTGTTAAAATTTAATGCATTTTACAAAATTTGAAAAAAAAAAATTGGAACTAAGGAATAAAGGAATCAGATATTAAGATCAGTTAAATCTATCTTAAAGTGAAAAGGAATGAATGGAGAATGAATTCAGTTAATTTTCTTTAAATATATTTATCAGTGCCTTTGTAAATTCCGTCCATAGTAGTTTCAAGATTTTTAAATTTTCCTACTATTTCAATTTTTTGTGATTTAAATTTTTGGCTATTGATAAAATTTTTCATCAAAACTATTTTAGTTATAAATATAAACTCCATAGTTTTTTTACTATTTTGTTTTTATTTTCCTTAAGAACCAATGCAAAGAGAAATATACTTGTTGATAGCTAGTTTATTCATTAGATTACGGAATAAAATGGTAATGTGAGCTTCCTTATGGACTGCTATTTCGTATGAATTACCGGAAAAAAGGAAATGACTTCAGGACAGCTTTGTTATCATAAAAATCGAGAGGGAAGCATATGTAATCATAATTACAAAGTATTAAAATCTTCCTTAATTTCTTCCAATAACAGTAATCAACAATTTTATTAACCTTTACTGCCGATTCTTTAGATACCTTCCTAAGTAAAAGAAATAACCATTACTTCATTAGCAGGTGGCCTTTTTTAATTCTGAATCAAACTTTGGTCATTTAATAAATGAATAGTAGTTGAATTTTACTGCATGATCCACTTTTGTTCTTTTTTTTTTTGCGATCATTCGGATTTAGAAATTTGGTGCGAAATTATTTGGTTAATAATATATTGAGTTTTTTATCCCATCACTAGAAGAAAAACCTATATTTCTAAATTAAAGAGTGTTTTTAAAAAACTGAATTATTAAATTATCATTTGTGCCTTTATCTACCTTTTCTCTCTCTGTATCTCTTTCATTCCCTTTCATCTGATTAATTAAATTAACGAAAATTTTATTGTTCTACTTTTCCAATATTTATCAGTTTTTATCATTTGATCGGTCATTCCTCAATACTTTGTATTTTCTTAACAGGTGTGTTATTTATTGCGAAAAGGTCTTTTTCAATGACTGCTAATCTTCAGCACTCTTTTCTAGAACTTGTTATGCTTAGAGTGAAATAATCTCTGCTATATCCAGAATAATTATCTCTGTGGAAGAGAAACTGAAAGCACAAAATGTTTGCACATACATTTTTTAGTTCAATAGTTTCTGCATAATTGTCTGGAAATTATATGGATGAATGATCTGTCAACTTTCAGTACCTTTATGACTTAAAGTTCAGTTACCTGCATGGTTCAGATTAACTGATAGTGTAATCAATTGCTGATTATAGTAATAGAAAGATAGATTAGACAAAGTGGTAGATAGAAATAGATCAGAACAATAAAAATTCACAATTTAGGAATCAAAATCTACATATAATCAAAATGGTGTAAGAAATATGAAACTATTATGCTTTAGAAGAGTTGCAAATGAATATATTAAAATTTTACCTATATCAAAATTAAGGACTGTCCTAGATTTGTGACATCATATCAATTGCAAACTAATCCTTGTTACAATATTGTTTGTTATATTAGGCACAGAAATTTTATAATGTCACTTTTTGGTTTATGATTAATTCTGATTCAAATATTTATTGTTCTCAATGATTTTGCAGTAAAAATAAAAAATAAAACGTTTTGAATGAAAATTTACAGCAGCAATTGCTATTATGGTTTTTTTCTAATTTTCGCTTAAATTAACTTTTAAAATTGCATGAAATTTTGAAGTTATAAAATCTATGATAGTTTCCTTTGCTTCACAAAATGTTTATCTAAAATATCTATGAATGCTTTTACAATTGATTAATATATAACAAAAAAATATAAATCTATTGAGGAATTACTGATCAATGATTGAAAATGGCAAAGAACGAGAAAAAAGATTCGACATGCTTATTCTCTTGTTTGGGAAGAATAAGTACTTGAGATTGTAATAAGTAATATTCTAGTGGAAATGAAAGCAAAGAGCTATAGGGAGAGGAAGAGGGAGAGAGAGAGACGATAGTTTTCTTTTTTTCTTTTTGCTTAAAAAATCTATTTAGTGGTTTTTGAATATTACATTCAAAATTTGATTAATGATAGTCCGTTGAATAGTACTGACCGTACTACGGACCGAAGATCCGTCACATTCATCTGATATAACAGGTGTCAACGTCATCATTGACCTTACTATATTTGCTTTTCATTTCCATTGAATTTACACTCCTCGCTGGATGACTTTTATTTTTTTCTTCAAATTACGTTCATGTTTAATCAAATGTTTTTTTTTTTTGAAGTTTCATTGATGAAAATTGAACATATTGGAAAATGATATTTTTCAAAATATTTTTCCCAGATCATTTAAATCTGGAACTTCGAGAATTGCTGCTATACTTCAGTCTATCTAATTTAGTTATTTATAATTTTGAACTGAATAATTTTGAATAGATAAATACGGGTAAATTCGAATCGAAACCTTCAAACTTTGTTTTTATTAAGTAATTAAGCTTATCTGTTTGTGATATTGAATTCGCATGTGCTAAATGTATTTCATAGTAAGATCAATCGTATTTCCTCTGTTTCTTTCGTTTCCACTAACCAACAGGGTTTGTTTATCATCCATCATCAAACTTTTAATTTTAATTCAAAGTTGCAGATTAAGATTCATTTATAAATATTTATGTGTTAGCTTGCAAGCACATGAAATAGTATAGCTTCTCGTTAATGTGATCTCTAGTGTAGTTGATAAATTAAAGCTCATACCGCATGATATTTGCATCGGCTAAAATTCTATCCTTTCCATTATTATTTTAAAAAAGGATATTTGAAAGAAATTTTTCCAATTCTTTTTATTTACAAGTGAAAACGACATAAACTGCATGAGATTATTTCTTATTTGTTTTTCAAATGAATTCATCTAGCGAAGTATTGTTGATCATAAATTTTACTTTTGCCTTGAAATTACAAGTGTTATCATTTCAGATGTGAAGAAATATAAGGTTTTCGTTCACAGTAATATGGGATAGTTGAAGTGAGAAAAAAAGCAAATGTGTGGCACATTCAATTTTAAAAACTACCGCCTTTATCACTCTTACTCTATTAAGTTATCACCTTGTAAGAAAAACATGTGCTTTTATATTAGGAATTGTAATTTTAGGAAAAAATTCCACTTTTATTTACTTAACTGATCAATTTTATTGGGCCTAAAATCTAAATTAATAGCTTTTTGCTATAGTTAGACTTTCGATGACTTACTGGTATATCACTCTTTCTTTCAATTAAAATTAAATTGATGGCTATAAGGAGAGGCAATATCCCTCCCATTCATTTAAAATCTATCATTTTCATCTCATCTTTTTGCACGGTCGTGAGATGTATGCGTTCATAGTATACATTCCTCTTCAGTGCTCTGATTTTTTCTAAAATATTTTCAGTTATCGCTTTTCTAAACCAATTATTTTTCAAAGGTAAAGATTTTGTATCATTTTTTGTAGATTAACAAATCCAATTTTTGTGGTTTTAGAATGATTTTCTGGATTGTAACAGAAATTTATCTAAGTTAGATTTTATTTTTGACTATCGAGAAGAGATATATCTCATTTACAAACTGCCTCTCTTCATTACAAACAGTGTCATTTTCATTTTTTAGCAAGTGTGGTTTAAAAATTTCTTTCTATCTCTACATATTAGATATAACAAAATGAAACTTTCATATGCAAACACTTTTGACTTTTACTTTATTTTGATCCTTTTTGGAAGCAATATTTTTATTTTTTTACTTTCTTCCATTGCACTTTTTTTTCCTTTTGTTTTTCTTATCATAAACTTTTCGCGGGTATAGTTGCTTTGTTGCGAGATATACTTATTAAAAAATGTCACTATTTGAAGGTTATTGTCGTGGCTATGAATATGTTAATGTTGTGGTGCCATGATAGAACAGACCAATGTACTATCCGCTGATCCATTTTACACCGGCGTTACGATACCTTGCAGGTGTGCAAAGGTCTATTCAAGAATATAGCACAGGGAGTGTCACAACTACTGATACTAGTAGTTGTAGCATCAATACTGGTACATTACCCCCGTCATCATATAACCATCGACAATTTAATGATAAATTCTTATGGTCTAGTTGCACCGATATTCCACGAGTTCACCTGAGATGTCGTCGGATGAAACCTGTCGATAACACAAATATGCAGCGCTTGTTACCACAATACAAACAGACTGGTAGCGTTACTTATGGCTATTTCCGTTTCCGTATACTTCCTTATATTTCCAAATACATTACAATTACTCTTTTTCAAAGATGGCATATGCTGAATAATTTAGGAAGCTTAAACTTTGATCTCAATACTTCGAAAATTTGCTTCTTTTAAAAAAAATGCAAAGTTATTTTTATACTTTAAATTTAAGCAAAGTTAGAATTTCAACCTATGATTCTTTAATTTTCCTATTCTACAAATTAATTCTGTTATATATTATTATCGCAGCACAAAAACGTAGCAATCTGTCGATAAGCTTGATGATATTGATACAAAAGGATGAAGCATTTGAGAATTTCATGTTTTCAATTATTTTGTTCCCGGTCGCTTTACAGCGTGCATCTCGAGAGATCGGTTAAAAGAATATTTTTTCTAATAAGTTAATAATTAGTTGATTTGCCCATATCTAACAATAATATTTCTGTGAATAAAAAAATTGTTCTATACCAATACAGCTGATAACTGAAATAACATTGCTCAAAAGATGTTCAATGCTATATCATAGCCAGTTTTTATGAAATTGAAATGAGTAAGTGGACTTCAGCAATTTAAGATCATTGTGATAAATAAAACTACCGTTTTGACGAGAAATCAACCTAAGTTATTCAATGTACAGTAATTTTTGAGCCATCATGAAATTTTAATTAATACCACTTTCCAATCTATTCCTCAGCTATGTAAACACTTAGAATCAAATTTAAGGTTGTAGAAAATAAAAGGTAAGTTTTTATTTGAGAGTAAAGACAAAATACAGATATAATTTTTGGGCAAATTTAATCCTCCAAACTGAGGATTTTTCATAGGCTAGAACTCGTTCTCATTTTCTGTTTACCAGACCAACGCATCATGTATTTTCAAATAATTTTTAAACTTAAAAATCGACTTTAATTCCAAAATATAACAATTTGTTAGGAATGGAGCTATATCTCGAAGCAATACACACTTCTGCTTTAAAAAAAAAAATTAAAGGGAGTGTAAATTAGTGGTTTGAGTTTTTTTAATTTACCAAAATGTAATTTATGTTACGTAACAAAGCGAAGGTATTTACTAACGGAAATCACTGTTTTCTATTTCACTATGCAGATGGCACATTAAATCATCAATTATGTCTTAGCTGGCGATCCAACCAAGAATACTTGTTGCGAAGGTACCGATGTATTGGTGGCTTGGGCAGCAGCTATTAAACAAGCCTTGATGCCGATTACACCACAAAAAAGTGCAGTTAGTGTACACAAGCCTGGAAGCATGGACAGTGGTCAGCAGCGACAGTCCAAAAATATACAATTCAACAATTCTGCTGAAGGCATTTCTTCAAAATTATATTAAGCTTCACTTTACATTCCATTAAATAAAATTTTTCGCCGCCATAATCTATACAGATGGCTTATGAGCTAACTGAATTTAAATTTCGTGCTGCATTTTTCATTTGAGATTGATAACATTTTTTTATTTGAAATTGCTTTCTAACTTTATCACTCTTATATTTAGATGAAATGGGTCAATTAGGTATACAACTACGGGATGAGCAAGATTTTTCACAACGTTATCAAATTTTCATTGATGAAGTCCTTGGTTCTGGACAATTTGGTACTGTATATGGAGGTCTATTTTAAAATTATCAGAATTTTTCCTTAATTTAAACTCATTCATTACACGTATAAAACTTCATTTAATATTAAAATTCAAGTATTCTTCTGTGAGGAATTCAAGGAAATGTATATGTAGACTGTTTAGTGGACTACGTATTTAAGTAGTCGAGGTGCGTATGTGTTATTATTGATTTAAAGCATTATTTTCCAAATTTCCAGAAACTTAGTGAAGTTCTTTAAATTAAGAAATTATTGTAAAATATATCAGGTTTCAATTGCATATTTACTCACAATTTCCATTAAAAAAGCATTAATAAACTGATTGCTAACAAACAGAGTAAAAATTAGCCAAAATTCATTGATACATAACATAAATTTTCAAGTTTATAAGTGTGAAATTGTAAGATTATGTGATCTAAACTCGATCGCAGAAATTCCGTTTGAAGAATATTTGAAGAAATTTTCAGAATTTAAAGTGAAAACTGTCAAGTTTTGGAAACATTTAATGAATTGTTCGAAAAATTTTCATATTTCACTAAATTTATCTGTGAATGTTGTTTATTTATTTGTTTATTGGCCAGGAATTCATCGGAAAACAGGCAGACATGTTGCTGTAAAATTGATTAATAAAATGAAATTTCCAAACAATAAAGAAGCAGCTCTTCGAACCGAAGTTGATATTTTGAGCGTAAGATTTTGGTTAAGTGTATAGAACAGAAATCTTTCAAGCCTAAATTTTTTAATTTTTTCTATAATTATGAAGAAAAATTCAATTCTGTTCTGAATTTACAGAAAGTTGAACATCCGGGTGTAGTGGCATTCCAGGAAATGCTGGAAACTACAGATCGAATATTCGTTGTAATGGAAAAGCTTAAGGGTGATATGTTGGAGATGATTTTGTGTAGTGAAAGAGGGAGGTTGTCCGAACGGGTTACACAGTTTCTTGTTTATCAGGTATAGATTGTCAAAGTCTCTCAATTCCTGATCAACTCAAAGTTGATTATAAGAAGAATACGGTTTCTGATTCTGTTGACCGATTACAAGATTTAAATTTCTAATCAAATCGATTATACCGCTTCGCATAATAACAAATTTTCTAAAAAAAAATCTGAAACACTGTTATTGTGGGCAATCCTAATTTTGATGAAATTAAAGAACTCGAAAATAAATTTTATTTTTTACTTAATTTTTACTTAGTTCTACTTGGCGTCAAAAATCTACAATCAAATCCCATTGTTCTAAACATACGGAATAGAAACATAATTAAGTAGAGCCATTTTGTTCCTAATTAAAGTTCATTATCATCCTACACTTCTACTATTCATCGAATCATATAGATGGAATGGATGAACTGCTGTAGCTCTGGAAATCATTTTAGTAAATTAAATTTGTATTCTTTTCCAGATACTCATTGCATTGCGTTATCTTCACAGTTTAAATATCGTACATTGTGATCTGAAGCCGGAAAATATTTTGTTAACTTCGGATTCGGATTTCCCTCAGGTATTCTTTTTTTATTCTCCAGTGATAACAGCGTAATTTTATTTGTCCCGTCATTTCCAAGAAAATATTTCACGGTATTTTTCTTTTAAATACTTCAGGTTTTTTTCTGATTTCCTTCTATTCCTTCAAAATTTTAATAGTACTGAAACCGAAAATAGTTAATACAAAATGCTCAGTCCACGATCTAAATTCAACATTTTCTTTCAGTTATTTGGATTTTAGATAAAACTCTGTGACTTCGGTTTTGCTCGCATTATTGGTGAACGGGGATTTAGGCGATCTGTTGTTGGCACACCTGCCTATCTTGGTTAGTTCTTTCTTCAGCCTATATGACTGAGTTGATTATATGGCACTTGTCGAAGGAAGAATTTGTAAGTCAGAATAAAATCTACGAAACATTTTTTTTTTATTTTCTTTATAAATTTTTCTCATTTTTGAGAAAAAAACCATTTCGTTTTTGTCATTTTCGAAAATCCCCATTTTCTGCTGTAAATTTCAAGTGAATTGATATATCATATAAAAACTATTCTTTTTTGAAAGTCTAATCAAGCGTGGAAGCAATTGAGATGGCTTATCACAATATTTTCGCAAAACTTCTGCAATAGTTGTTCTCTTTAATGTTGAGATGCCGTTATGTATATCGACTGCTAGCATTTTGCAGTGATCAAGATGAAATACATTGTTAATTTTACTTTATCACTTTATATGAAATTCATTGATTGGCTGCTGATTTTTTAAGCCCCAGAAGTGCTGTGTAATAAAGGCTTTAATCGATCATTAGATATGTGGTCCGTTGGTGTTATCGTTTACGTCAGGTTAATTTTGACTTTCGAATTTTCTTCTTTAAAAATTTTAGATGATCTAAAAGTGAGATTAGTAAAAATTCTTAATACTTCTTCCATAATTAAAAAATAACCCATTATTAAGATGAATAATTTTAAAGCAGTACTGTATTCTATTAGAATAAAATTTATCTTTTCCACTCATCTGCACTTTACTCTCTGTTTAGATAAGACAATAATTTAAAAGATACTATTATCATTCTAACAACATTCATATTTGAAATTTATTGTTGTTGTGCACTACATTTCAACATTCCAGCTGAAATATTTTTTAGTTTGTCCGGCACATTTCCATTCAATGAAGATGAGGACATAAATGACCAAATCCAGAATGCCGATTTCATGTACCCGATGAACCCGTGGTGCGAAATTACAGCTGTAGCAATCGATTTCGTCCATAATTTACTGCAAGTTAAAATGAGCAAGCGACTAACAGTGCTTAAAGCGCTAAGTCATAATTGGCTGCAGGTGTGCGCATTAATGACATTGTCTATTCGATTTTTGTTTTTTTTTTACTTCCTCTGATATTTATCGGTTCTTGAAATGCTTGGAGTTTCTCGACTATATTTACAAATTAAAAAAAAAAAAAAAAAAAACTACTGTCCCGAAAAATCATGAAATTTCGTTATTATGGATGCTTTTCAGAAATATCAACTTTGGTCGGATCTACGATCTTTGGAAAAAGAAGTTGGTGGACGATTTCTAACGCATGAATCAGATGATGCCCGATGGATCAATTATGAGAATGAGCTAGGCCTGAAACCTAGTTATTTGTAGAAATATGTCGGAGCCACTTAATACTGGGAATGAAACTAATTTTTTACATCTAATTTGCACTCAGTACAACTTGATAAGCAGGGAGTGCATGCCTGATCTCCCAAAAAAAAAAAAAAAAAAGTCCAAAAAATATTGGAGTTCAATACACTAAATTAAAACCCGGCCACCCTGGTTTGTAACATTCCTTCTAAGTTTTATCGACCCTTATTATGGAGATAGATTTTTAGACTATATCGGTAAGATGACTACGATAAGCACGTCTAGCCCAAATCGATAGCCACTTTCTGATATGCTTACGCAACTTCAGTTTTAGAGTTACAGGATTTGAAGATATGAATTATATTATATACATGAAAGTCTGCATCTTTTATTCAGTCATAGTAGTCGTTAAGATATCTTTAGTTTTAAATTATCTTTTTAGGTGCGTAAAAGAAACGAAATAAGAACTATTTACAGAACTGACTATTTTTTATTGCATCAGCTTAAAGTCAAATCAAATCGGAGCATCATGAGTAGGTAAAAACCTCTCTATCGAATTTAAAATTTATGTGTCCCATTATATTAACGACGAATGATCGGGAGACACTTATCACTAACAAATAATGTTAAATATGTCGCAACAGCATGAAACCATCAACGTCAAATTTCACTCGTAGTGTACGTTTGCAAAATTTTATAACAATAAAATGCAATAATGTCTCAGGAAATTTAAGTAATGACATAACATCTCCAAAAATTGTTTACACTTGATTTCGATTACATTATGAATTGATTCAGTCTTTTAGAAATATTCCACGTGATATTCTCGCTTCAATTCTCTTAATTCTTTTTCAGTTGAACAATAAAATACGTAGCATTTTGTAGTGAATTTCAATAGAAAATTATTTGACAGCAATTTCAGCAGCTATTGAGCACAATCAGAATGATAACGACTGAACTGTCTAAAGAGTTGTTTCACATACAGTACATCGTAATTGACGAAATTTCTTTATTTGTTATTAAAATTCTAGTTCCTTAAAGTACATTTTCCTTCCATAAATAGCGGGCAGAATTTATGATTTACGAGAAGTACTATGGAATAGAATATACTCAAGTTTGAATTAATTAGAACTGGAAACGCATTTGTGCACGTACCGAAATAGGACCTAATACAAAAAATTGCGTTTACCTTTTTCAAAACAGACGTAATGAAATTTGCATTATAAACCACCTTATCGATGATATGCAAACTCAATACAGGTTCAGATAGCTGACGACAAGAACGAAGCGAGCGAGAAGGATTTAACTTTTGCTTGACACAAATACCATACAGCTTTTTCTAAATCATATACAAGACATTTGCTAAAGCAAACTGTGTGTTCGAAAAAAAAAATCGTACAGTAATAACTAGCAATGAATTTTGAGGATTTTACTTATGATTTTTAGACTGGTCTCAAGATGTCCTACCAACTCTGCTTTGCTTTCAAACGACGGTGGAAAGAATCAGAAAAAAAGGGAAAGGGAAAAGGAAAAGGGTGATACAAATTATTCCACTTTTTTTTAGATTCCTGTAGTCGTTTTTAATATTATTGTTATCATAAAAATTCTAGTTTTTAAAAACGAAGACGTTTCTGATCAGTTCAAAAAATATCATTTCTGCAACTTCTGACTCGAATACTTGTATACTATTGTTGATAAATGATGTTATAAAAGATCAGTATAATTTTTTGAAACATGAAATACAACGAGAACCAAACATTTATAAAAATGACATCATCAATGTAGCACATTTTTAAATTGTTGGAGTAAGAATGGAAACTAAAACTACAAAACTGATGAATCAATTATCACAGAAGTAATGTTGAGTGCTGTAAAAAATAGTCATCTATTTTAATTTTAACTTGAAAGGTAGAAATATGCACATAAACTACTATTCTGAAAACCAATTTGACTTGGTAAGGCTAGATTTTGAAGTGTAAGCAAACTGATTCCTGTCTAAAAATGAGTCAGAAGACTTCAATTTCAAGGAACTTGTCATTTAATTCTAACTGATGAGGAGCTGAAGCTACTAGAAACATAAAGATATGAATATCTGCGGACACCGACTTTATGTGGCCGCGTTTACTAAAAGTGATTCACTAACTAAAGAAAAAGAACAAAAATGAGCACATAATAACTATTAAAAAGTCATTGATGAATATCTCGATATCACCCCGATTTCTAATTCACCGATTTACAAGCTTAGATTTTTTAACACTGTTCACTACTGTGCATGATCAGTAGCTACACGACTTACCCGCTAACTGAAACTAACTGCTTGTTTTTCCACCAAATTTTTAAAAACGCCATCTTCGATGAGCATTAATTCATCGAATGTTCCAATTTCTTCTACTCTACCGTTATTAATAACCACAATCTGATCAGCATATTTGATGGTTGAAAGGCTGCAAACAACAGAAATTGGTGTTGCACTTTTTAAAAACCGAATTTCCTCCTAGAAATCTAAAACTTCTTATCCCTTCATTATTTCTTGATTTTTTTCTGTCAGAATATTTATAAGCCTGATAGAATTTATGAGATGATAATGTGAAATATTGTCCTAAATAATGAAAAATTAAAAACAAATGTGAAAGCATCCTTACCGATGAGCGATAATAAGAACAGTTTTTTTACTGTCCTTAATTAATTTTAAAATAGCCTTTCGGACTAAATCCTCACTTGTAGCATCTAAAGCACTTGTTGCTTCATCCATGATAAGCATCATTGGGTCCTAGTATCAGGAAATGATTGCATTTAGATAATAAACTTGCATTTGAAAAACACAAAAACATATGTCTCTGTGTTACTTAAAAATTCTGAATATAGCCATTTTCCTTCCCTTTTAGCTCTTCCCCATTAGAAACTTTGATTTTAAAACATGCATTAATGAGCGCTCGGGCAATTGCAATTCTTTGACGTTGACCACCGCTAAGCATGGAAGTCCCATGTTCACCAACGACGGTTTCAAATCCATCCGGAAGATTTTTGATAAAATTCAAAGCATTTGCTAGATCTGATGCCTCTTCCAACTAAAATTTCGAATGACTTCAACTTTTACAGAACACAAAGTGAAGAAGCACTAGAATTACAAACAAGCAATAAACCTGGACGTCCATTATTAACTCTGGATGTTTTGAACCGTAAATAATATTATTTCTTATTGTTGTCGAGAACAAAATCGGTTCCTAAAATATTTGATGCTTTTAGAAAAGTGAAAAAGTGTCACCTTGGTAGTAGCTCAGCAGAAATTCGCTTAAACTAGTTATGCTGTTGTAATGGAAGAAAACCTGTGCTACAGTGCCAATCTGTTGCCGCCAGAAGGATGGATCTATTGATTTTAAATCGTCATTATCAATCAGGATATGTCCAGAATTAGAATCAAACAACCTAAAATTCAATTTGAGATTTTACTGAATTTAACGACATAAACTTCCACTAGTCATTCTGCAGCTCCTTATAAAATAATAACCAATTAATGCAGTGTAATGCAATGAAACCTTAGTATAAGGTTGGCAATTGTGCTTTTTCCAGAACCAGAAGGACCAACTACTGCAGTGGTTTTGCCTGCTGGTATGTGAAAAGAGACATCCGTAAACAACAGCGGGCGATTTGGGTAACCAAAGCTGACATTTTTGAAAGTAATCCCATCAGTGATACTCCTTTTTAACAGACCACCTGAAAATAACGTTAGATTTTCTTTGATAATCACTACTCGAATAAAACCTTTAACAATATAACTGATTAAATTGTCTGTCATGACATCAGATTTGCTCACCTCTTACTGGTACTTCAGGAATTCGGTTACGAAGCTCAAATAGTCTTGCACTAGCACCTAGACCTTTCATAAGTTCCGTGTAAAAGTTGACCATTCCAGGAAGACTAAGAGCGCATAAACTCGCATACCAAATAAATGCAAGAAGGTCACCTGAAATTCATTCCTCATTTTTCAGTCCTTTATTATAAACCAAATTTATATTAAATCCGATTCAGTTAAGTAGGAACACAAACAATGTAAGTAAATTAACCATATGTCAATGTTCCGATATTCATTAATTGTCCACCGTAATATACAATTGTATAAAGAGAAGCAAGTATCGCAATTTCGTGCTGAAATGACTCGATTTATACGAATTTTAACAAATACTTTATAGTAAGTCCAGTCTCCAAAATGAATGCTAAAAAATTTTGAATTTCACATGATCTATACCAGGGCTATCATGCAACCTGCTGCACGACCTTCACGACAAGAAACAACCCAAAGCTGATGAATTCTTTTTTTGTATGTTTCACATTCCTTCAATTCGGAAACCAAAGTCCGCACGGTTACGATATTTGAAAATTTTTCGGTAGCAACCTCAAATAAAGAATAAATATATATCTAATTACCAACGAATCCTTCCCTGGAAAGTTGTACTTAGTAAACCAAATATAATAACAGATGCAAATGAAAATCAAATGTAAATGAGATGAAGATTTTTAATTTCGTCAGTTTTTTTAAAATCTTCTGCATAACCATTTGAGGTCTAAAATTAAACTAGCAAACTGAAAACAGCGTGCCAAACAATATGTTGAAGACAGAAGAATGAAAACATTACATAAAAGATGTAGTAGAAGATTAAAAATTTCGCAAATAATAATACCTCATTAGATGCAGCGACTACTTCCTGCATTTGTAACGTATATTTTCTTTGCAAATTACCGAAACAATACCCTGAGGTTATGATTGCCGCCGTAAGACAAGTAACCACTTCAGATAACTCTCGTGACGTATACACCTATCCTAGTAAATACATTCAAAGCAAATCAAACAACAATATAAAGTAATAGAGTGATTTAAGAACACACTACTGTTATTAAAAAATATAGATTTCTAGATTCCGAATTTAATGAATGTAAGAAAAAAGTAAACAGCTGATGTGGATGACACGTACCATAATAACAGCAGAACCAAAGAAAGACATAAAAGCTCGCGCACCAACAGTTAAATTTGATGAAACCGACTGACCCACAATTAACGCATCAGTTGAAAGGCGGCTTACAATTTCGCCAACCTTATTCTTGCTAAAGAAATTCATATCCTGATGAATAACCGATCTGAACACTGCCTGTCTTAAATTATTGATGACGAGTTGACCTGGAACTTTTACGACCAATTGTTATAATTCAAAATCATTTATGTCAAGAAATACTTGCGCACCTACCTAAATTAGATTAGGTCCTATCAAGATTATCCATCTTGCATTTGCTTATATTTCTTACCAGAGTAGTGGAAATAAAAAGCTTAACCTGCATTTCTGCAATTGAGAGGTCTTATATCAATTAGATTTTTTTTACCTAATAGAGTACTGGAAATGAAAATCTCTAATCTGCAAATGAAAAACCTCTAACTCTAAAGCTGCTGTAAAATGAATGCTTTCCGATGTCTTTTTTCATCAACTTATGTGAAATTAGACTGAAAATGGATACTACAAAAATTAAAGAATCCACAGATAGCTATATTCTTTGAAAATGAAATATTTCTTCAGATTATTCCAAATGTGCATAAAAACACCTGCAGTGTGCATGCAATAATGCCTGATACCATAGGAGGCGGCAGCGATGCAAAAAAGGCCGAATAGTACCATGTAATGCACTCTGAGATACTTGGCAGCCAAAATAAAATACATATTTTTTTCATCAGTTTTATTTTCTCTCACGTCTCCTTCTTTTTCGCAATTACCATCGATATCAATAAACATGAAAATTATACGAGGCAAAATGAGGCCAATAGCATTCCCGATAACCAGAAACAATAAACCAGCTAAAAACAACAATACATCTTATTAACTTTTCGAAAATAAAAGTATGAAGAAAATCTGAAAAAAAGGAAAACGTATCATAATAATCTGATATTATTAAGTGCCTTTAATAAGATCTTTCCTTACGCATATTTTGTGTTTTAGTGACTAAAAACAAGTAAAGATAGTTATACTTTGGAAAATAACTCACATAACTTTCAAAACTTACTGTATATTCGTCTCCTACAAGGATATGCAAGTGAAAAAATATCGCGCAAATCTTTCCACCGAACATTCCGAACCTTTGCTGGTTCTCGCTTGGCAGCTTTTGAAAGCTGAATTATAGTAGAAAATCAAAAAAAAAAAAAATTGGAGCACAGAATCACCATTTTTTTTAAGTTAATGGTAATTAGTTAGGGTCTCAAAAAAAGAAATAAAAGAAACTAGAATAAATAATCCTCAAACTCCATACAAAAAGTATTAATTGTCATATAAATCAATTTAGGACTTTGAAGTATAAAAGTAGTCATTTTCAAAATGGTATGTGGAAAACATACAGAAGATGTAATGACCACTTCAACTTACACTCCTAACCAGAAACAGATAAGTGTTCCTCCTCAAACCGCCACTATTCAATCTGTGCAGAACAATTAGCGATTTCGGATAAAATATGGTGTACAAAAACCTGAAACTTATGGGAAAACCGCATGTGTTCATGTTATGACGAATGACTTGTCCGGGTCACAATTCTTATTTTTGGACCTTGTGAAAATTTCTAACTTCTAATGATTTTCAGTTTCAACATTAACATAAAGTAGTTTGCACGTGTATTTAAGTTTTTTTTTAAGTTAATGGTAATTAGTTAGGTTGCTAACTCATAGGTAGCATTCTCGATGAAGAATAAAAATAATTGTGATGGTAGTGTATTCATCAAAATTCAAAAAGAATGAATGTGCATACCTATTACTTGTCGAAAATGATGGTGACGGTTTCCGGAGACCGCATCGTGTACAGAACAAACGACGCGAAATGCATGCAATATTCATTAGCTCAACTCTCCCTCTCCGTTTTATTTCTGTACTGCTTTTTTGAAGTAATTCTAAGATTCAACACTAATTAGTAGTAACAATTACATTAACAAGGAAGATATCCACAAGAAATAAATTTTAAACGAAATTTCAGAAGGGAAAAGACTACGCTTATTTTCGTGTTAAACCAAAAGTGAACCCATATGCTATCTCATAGGTAGCATTCTCGGAAGTAACTCATTGAAAGGACCGAGAACTCGAGGAGAAGAGAAGAGCTACCTTTACCTCATCCTCAACACTAACTAACTACCAATGATCACTAAAGTTGTTTTCTTGCTAGCCGAATTCTGGTACTCCCGGTGTTCGTATGCCATTCTGCCCTGGTCGAGGTGAAAACTGGCATCTCTCACTTCACTAGATTATTAAAATTCAGTTCTTCACAAATTGAAAGGAAATCTCCTGAGCATGCTAGTAATTGTTACTCATATTCTGATAATAATTAGGGTTAATTTTTTGATTTATATTACATACTTAAATTTCTTCGTGACTTCTTCTTTACAAATAAAACATTATAAGTGTGGAGTGACAGCATGAAATAGAAAAATGCGAATTACAAATTAAAAGTGTGGGATGACAGTGTCTTCATTATGATAAGTTATCTTTATGGCTTAAAAACTAGAGCACTAATACATGAATTGTAAGTGAATCATACGTAATTGTTGTAGACGTCTTTATTTGGGAAACATTTTCGAGAAGTATTTATCATTGTAATGTGTCTTATTATAATATCTTAATTATTGTAATGTCTTTTAAGTCATTGAACTTCTAGTTTGTTATTTTTATCCTTCTTGATTGTGGTAATCATACAAAGAGCTACTTTTTAAGAATAAAGAAAAGCAATGAAACCATTTGTGACGGCGACATCATCATCAGTACATCGAATACAAGTACCTCTGTTTGTTAGTAAAAATTACAAGGTATCTATTTTCATATAGTTTATATTATGGTACTGTCATGTGGTGAAGAGGAAGAGATAAGGTTGGTACTAGTTGCAAATAAGACTTCCTATAACTGTTTCTTATTAGAATTGGAACTTTCTGACCTTGGAGTTGGTTACTATTTCAATATTCTATTGTTCTGTCAAAGATGTTTCACAAGTACTACATAGAAAAGAGAAACAAAGCCAAAATTTAGATAAGTAGAACCTGTTGGGACAATAAAATTGTTTTTTTCTCTTTCCAGGCTTATAATCAGGATCTAATACTGAAGATGAAATGGACTTGTGAGCTATGTGGTAAAAAGCTTTCATCGAAACGTTCGTATGATGAGCATTTCAACGTACATACCAATTTGCGACCATTCGCTTGCAAACATTGCGGATATGCTGCAGGTAAGGCACACTTTAAACAATAGCATAAAAGGTAGAAATTAGTGAGGAGCAATTCAATGCGAATGCTTGGTTTAGAAAAGCATCAGTTTCAAGGGAATAGTTCATCTTAATACATAGTAGCAGTTGTGCTAGCGAATCTTCATTCCTACTGATTAAATTCGTATAATACTTAAGGAAGTAGTTTTGCGTATCTTGAAAGTACTATTTAAGAGTGTAATTTTTGTTCTGAATTTGTTTGCTCAGTGTAATTATTCAGAATTTGCAGCTAGCCAGATGACTTTGAGACGGCATACTTTGCGAAATCACATTCCACGTCAAGCATGGGGCTATCAGTGTCCATATTGTAACGAAATGTACATGGAACCCGCAAGTTATCAACAACACGTTGGGTTAATTTCGAATTATTCATTGTTCAAAATTTCTTAATTTCCCTATACCCGGATTTAATATGTTGTCTTTACTATACTTCGACTTCAGTATGTTATCTTTAGTATATTTACTTCGACTTTAATATATAAGTAGGAAGCATTGCTTAAGATAGAACTCGTAAAATTGAGAAATGAAATTATTTCTTCACACTTATACAAATTGATATTAAATAATTAGATGTGTTTAAAATGTGATGGTGCTTTCTTTCTCTAGCTACAAAAGCGTTGAAATGAAGTTATTATCATTCATATTTGAAGTTTTTCAGAAAATAATTTAAGAACGCTTTTTCAAAATTTGATTAATGCAGTCTTTTAATTTCTGAGACTTCCATAGCCTATTTTTTTCGGTTGAATTTTGATTGATTCTTTAAATATTAACAATGATTTTCTATTTTTAGATCGTATCATTTTGGGCTTTCAGCAACGTTTGGTTGTCCACTGCGGAGATGTACATTTTCAACTTGCTCATCGGCCTTTTTCCGTGATCATCTAGAAAAGCACTCTAATTTATCATCTGATATCCACGAAGAGGCTAATTATAGACTGTTTAGATTTGCTGTAGATGATAGATTTGGTAAGTTTTTTTTTAGAATTTTGTAATTACGGATAAGGAAGGTTGTATGTTTTAGGAAGAAATTGTTCATATCGTTTTCTGTGTATATTATACGAAGGTGTTGGGCTACGTTCTTAATTTTAAAAACTTAAGGTGTTGGTTATGGCCGAAGGTCAATTAGCATTCGACGAATGGAGGTTTTGCAAGGACTAGAATCGTTAAGAAATGATAAGGATTACATGAAAAATTCTCTTAAAATACATGAGGTTCTTATTTAGAATTTCCTAAATCGTTTTTTTTTTTTTTTTTTTTTTTTTTTTTTGCTATTTAAATTGTCCATGTAGATTGTTTTATAATATATAATATGGTCCTTAGACTAATTTCTCTTTGATTTTGCTTTGAATACTTTGGAAAAGCATGGTAGCTATTTCAGGTCAGAAAAAATGACGAAGGAAAAAAAAGTAAAGTAAAACCGATTGTTATGATTAAAGGATCTCATTCTCATGCCCTTTTTGAACCAGGAGAATTTGATTTTCTGAATGATAACATAAGTTTTCCTGAAGCTGTCATCAGCAATTTTGTCGATTGCCTTCAAGAAGGCATGATTGAACCAGACCTTGATTAAAGTATAATTTAAAAAATATATAATGATGCTTAAAGACTGCTTGTCATCTAATATGATTCACTGCATCTTTGTCTGTAGAATTTGATATCCTTAGAGAGCTGTTTGAGTATGAAGTTTAGACTAAGTGCTGTACGATCGAATTTCAGAGTATAGTGTGCAAATGTCTGGATTAAGACTCCATTTTTTTGGAAATCGTTTTTGATATTTTGTATCGTATACTAAATATGGAGCATTGTTTTAGATGGAAAAACTAAACGGATTGGGGAATGTACGAAGTGAGTATGAAATTTAATCAAATCAAAAATTTTGAATTGTAGACGGAACATCTCTTTCTAATTTTCGCAGCTTCAACTTTTTTCAAAAATATAAGAAGAGTTTTCTCCTATATTGTTACTTTTTGGATGAGATTGTTCATGAATTGTAATCTGTAAGTTTTTGGGTAAACAACTGATGCACATAATGTCATCTCTGCAATGCATATTTCATCCACTAAGGATGTCCAGGATTTGGTAAGTTATTTCTCTGTCTCATAAGATTTCTCATGTTCTCTTTACGAAATAAAGTCAACAATTATACGTATTGAGAATCTTAAAACTGCTTTTGTTATACTTCTTAATTTATCTATAAAAGTTTGTATTCGTCGATTTTGTGTTGCTCAACATTTAACTTAATAGCAATGAATTATCATGTTTTGTATATCCTGTGCTTTTTGTTTATTAAAACTCGCGTTCGTTAAGTGGGATAAAATTCCCCCTTTGTTTTTGTTACACTTGCGAGAAATGTTGCAGAAAGTAGCCAGTTAAAACAAATTATAATGAAAAGAAAAAATGTTATAGCTGAGCTAGGAGTTAGCGTGCTTGAATATTATCCCTTGTTGTGTTTCTAACAAAGTTTTCAGTTAGTCGAAAAGTGAAGAATCGTTAGATGAAGAATTATGTTTAAATGTTTCCATAGACACAGTCATTCATCGGTTGGCTGTATTTTTGTTGTCGTAAACAACTTTTACTTCCAGTGCTCCCTATTTGTTAGGATGGTATTTCTTTTTTTTTTCTTCTCTTTTTTTTAACAAATTAAAAAGTGCCTCTGTTCACTTGACAGCATCAATCAGGATTATGTTGTTGAGTTGTCGGTTACTGCTCTGTGCTTGGGAAGTTGAGTTTCATTGAGGGAGTTTAAGTGAGATGGAAACAAGGAGGATTTGGGACCAGGAATTACGTCTTCTGATTCATATTATGGGAAGGTCATTTCTCGATTATTTTTGTGATGTTTTAATCAGACATTTTAATTATACAACCTTAATTTCGAACTAGCAGGATTCGATATACAAATCGAGACTGCGCAAATCCGAACTCTCCATTCTCCACAACTTTTCGGATTTTGTCGGTGGAACAAAGTAGTGTGAACGGATTTGTTCCGGAATATGTAGCAATATTGTAGTATTAATAAATTCGAAAAGTATATCTACAAAGCGTGCAGTGCTGTAAACAACTTGGATTTTTAATAAACTTTTTGTAGAGGCAAATATCGAAGGAATGATTTGATTGGGTGGAAAATATACACTAATGGATTTCTTCTCTTACAAGCGAAGTGGTAAATATAAAAAAGCAATTTCTTTATGTGCATTAATCGGAAAGATAAACGGAAAATAGGGAAGGAAGAAGGCGTTTTTTCACTTTCTAACAAAATACTAGTAATTTTCAGGAGCTGATCGCTCATACCAGGCCGAATGCATGTGATGTGATATTTATAATCTTTTTCTTTACCATCTTTCCTTGTTCTGCTGATCAGTCAATGAGTTCGGAAGTCAGTACTGCAATGTCGGTGGAGTCCGATAGATCCAGATGGCGGACTGTGGTTGGTTTTCATATTTTAGATTACCATTCTTCCATACCAATAACTGTTGTTTGATCTTAATTTATTTCTTCTGATATTTAATCTTAATTTACTTCTTTTGATGGATAAATGTTGGATTACATGATTAAATCTGTTCTACTTGATTTTGCAATCATATTGCAGAGCATGACAGTAGGAGGTGACGATTGTGAAGATGAAACCGAAATGAACGACCTCAGGGAAAGTTTACGTGCATGGAGTTCATTAGCTAGTCCATCGTCAAGTGCAGTTGACCAGCCAGTGGTATGTCTGTAGTCGAAGTTTTTTTTAATGATTTCAAAATTTACTGAAGACTGAACATTACTGCTTCAAAATTCTGAGCACTTAATAATTGCGTTTCAGTATTTTAAATTAAGCTTAAAGCTGAATTTCAGTAATACATATACATTAAAGATTGAATTTTCGCCGGACTGTGATTCTGACTTCGACGCAGTGCTCAGCAGTGTCTTTGCAGATAATCGTTTGTTTCAACCACTTTCGGATGATACAGTAAGTAAATGTTTTAAAAAAATATATGCTTTTGCACATTTGCTAATATAACAATGGCGATTATTGATAGTGATTTTTCTGCCACAATTACATTTGATTCATTCCATCATAATAGCATACATTATCAAATTAAACGTGATGTTTCTTTAATTCATCTTCTACTCGACGGGGATAAATTGCCACAGCTCCTATATATGAAGTTTTGAAAGGTAGCGTTTTAACTCAGAAAGTAATTTTTATTGCATTCAGTGTTAGTAACTTCAGGAATCAATGTTTAGCGATTTCAGTTTGTTGAAGAAGTTTTTGTGGAAAAAAAACCGAAAATACTGAATGGCTATTTATTTGGAGAAAGAATTGGGGAAGGTTCTTATGGGAAAGTGAAAGAAGTGCTGGAACAAGATACTTTAGTTAGAAGAGCTGTCAAAATCATCAAAGAAGCACGACTGAGGAAAATCCCGAACGGTCATGTATGTGTATTCACTTTCATTTAGATTGTCGAATTTGGTTCCTAAACTGATTATATTTATTATAACAGATGAGTTAAGTTTAAAATAAAGAGAGTCGTTTATTTCAAGAAAATCTTGCTTTTATTTAGGCTAACGTTGAGCAGGAATTGAGAATATTAAAGCGAGTGCGACATCGCAATGTCATTGCTTTACGCGATTTTTTTCGTGTTGACGACAAACAGAAATTGTATATGATATTGGAGTATTGTATTGGTTCGATGCAGCAGCTCCTAGATGCTTCCAAAGAAAAGAAGTTGCCTGAGTATCAAGCACAGTATTTCTTTAGACAACTTTGCGATGGCTTAGGTTATCTCCATGCTCATGGTATGTTAACTTATTTGGAGCATGGTATATTTACTAATTTTGTTCCATGAATTTAGATGACTTACAAAATTGCACGTAGCTTCAAGCAGAATTTAAATGATGAAAGTTAATACAGCAATAAACACTTTTCTGAATGACAAGATGTCATAGACCTATTTGTTATTTAAGTTAAGAGCTGAAATGCATTGTGAAACATGTTAGTCATAGCAGGAGTTGCAGAACTCCCTTCCAAGAACGATAAATATTGTAATATCGATGTTAGCTCATTTTACAGTGGTTTTGTTGTCTAAACAAGAGTAATTTAACACGTTTCCTGTCTCTGGAAGCCGGAAATGTTGTTCTGAAGTTTTTATCTATTTAGCAAAGTAATCTCTATTCAGGTATAATACACAAAGATATTAAACCGGGTAATCTTCTGGTCGCTTTGGATGGAACTCTCAAAATTAGTGATTTTGGTGTAGCCGAAATGCTCGATACATTTCAAGCAGAAGATTGGTGTACAGTGGTTCAAGGTACTCCTAAATTTCAACCGCCTGAAATCGTTTCGGGAACCTCCGAAAATTACCGGTATAACTCTTTTTTGTTTGTCGTGAAGGATGTTTCTAGAGATTATTTCCCGACGACATCTCTTTCTGGTATTTATCGTTTAAATGTTGGATGCTTGAATAATGAAGAGAAATCTATATTAGCTTATTGAATAATTCTAGAAACATTACATACGGATTCAGTCATAATTAAATGTCTATTATTTTTTCATCTTTAGAGGTCAGAAAGTTGATATTTGGGCTTGCGGTGTAACGTTGTACAACATGGTGAGTGGTGAATATCCATTCGAAGGTGACGTCATCATGCGCCTTTTTGACAACATCGCTAATCAACCCTTGGAAATGCCGCAAAGTGTGGAGCTTTCGAAACCGTTGGAATATTTGCTTGCTGCCATGCTTGATAAAGACCCAGAAAGACGGATAAATATGCATGAAATTAGAAGATGCGAATGGTATATGCAAAAAGTGAATATCGTACGTTGTTACTCTGATTTGAAAGTTTCAAAGTTTCTCTCGTAGAAGAAATTGAATGAATATAAGGGATGAGCTTAAAAAAGATACTGTAATGAGTGAGGTATTAAGAAAACTGAGAGGTGAAGAATATTGCAGGACGATTTATATCGTGTTCCAATATCGGCATGTAACAATATACCAGCTCATCGTCCACTGAGCGTATATGTACAACTCGATCATCTTTATGGATCAACACTTGAAGAAGACGGTGGATCACAGTATTCCGAGGACCCTCGAAATATGCTTTCTGCAGTGATTGTTGAACCATCACTGGAGGATCGACATGTTGGGGAACAAGTACCACTCAATGACACAAAACGAAATCGAAGCATGTTAGTGTGAAGTCATATTTCTTTCCCATATTTTCCGTTAAGTATGCTTTGTAAAATAGATTTGTTGACCATCCTTGTTTGTTACCAATCTAAAATATGTTTTGGTTAATTCAGAGCGTAGCTGATGGAAATATCTGAAATGCATCTTTTTAAAAACAGCAACTATTTCTATTCCTTGCGGAGTCGTATTTCCCTTCATTTCTGAGTTTTTAACAATTGCATTGTTATCTGGATTCAGGTAAGTGCTACTGACGCACTGCATAAATTATCTATCAATTTCATTTAATTTCAGACTTGAAATGTTCAAACTGAAACTTGGTCGAAATAATCCTTGTCACCAAAGTTTATTCCGCTGCATGACTCAACACTGTCATGTTTTTTCAATGATCGTTGCCTAATAATGATTAAATTGCAGATTATCTATGTGTATGGGTTTATCGCGGTCTCCATGAACCACGTCATATCATGCAATCATGAAATATATTAGTGTTCCTTTAAATACTTTAAGTAGCGTGCATTTTTTTTTTTTCCTTTTATATATATTGTCTTTGTAATACGTCGTCTGTCTCAGGCATTAATTTAATTACATTTTATACATAAATTATGGATGCATAGTTGTTTTATTTGCATGTAATTATCATCACTTTACGAAATTTAGTATTCTGTGTTATCACTTCTGAATTCCAGCATAATTTTGCATTGCTGCATTTTCATGAATTTTGCTATTCTGTAAATGAAAAAATCTTAGATAGTCTAGCGTGTTGGTGGTTTAAATGCAATGATGACAGTCGACATCCTGAATCGCTTTCGAATTATATTTGGTTCCTTTTTCTGTCGATATCAAACCGAAAAACTGAGCGAAAATAAGATATCGTAATGGACAATTCTGATAATTCGACACAGAAATTCGAAAAATCTTCTATATTGTTTCTGCTCCCGAAACGTAGTAGTATTGAAATGCATGAAAGAATTGGAAAGGGAATCAGTTTCTGGGTTTTGTATTTCTTTACTATGATGTAATAAATTGTTAACAGATATTATTTTAAAGACTTGTTTTACATGATCTCTTTCCCGTCATGTTTTCGATAACACTTGCGGTTTTTATTTTTGTGAAGCAGTACTTTGTGGATGATAGGTTTTGACCAGTAATTTATTAAACGGTAATGATTTTTATACCATACTTCATTTCTAGTTGATATTCTCCAAACAACGAATTGACATAATTGTCATTTGCCATTTTAATTCTATTTTCGCAGCATCTGTAAGTTGCATGTAACGAAAACTTTCGGGTAGTGGTTATTGATTACTGTTAATTTTCTTATCTCTCCTTGAATACAATTCAGAACCAAACTGGCACTTTTCTGATGGTAACAACCACTAAAACTACTTCGAAAGCATTTCGGTAGTTGTTAGATCGTTAATGACGAAATTTAATACTTTCATTAGAGCTTGCATAATACAAAGCTGTGTACAATATATGCAACATAATACAAAGTTTTGTTTAATATATGCGATGAATCATTATCGTAAATGCATGGATTTTCCGAAGTTGTTAAGTTCATGTTCTACACTGTCTTTTAATTTGCAAGTTAGATTTGAGAATTTCTTCCTTTACTGCTACTTTGTTTTGTTAAATTGTAATTTTATAATTTTGTTGCTTTCCAAAAAAAGTGAATAAAACAAGATGTAAACCATGTAGTTTGTGGTTGCTTATGTTTTTGTTCTTGTAATTGCTACTTTCATTTTGCTTTTATCACCGTAATTTATAACTGAAATAAGCGGTAGTTCCCTTGATTCTACTGCAGAACAGAACTAGAATAATAGCCGAGTTGTTTCAAGCAGGTGATCGGTGAGCAATCAGCATTTATTAAAGGATCTTTAATAATTCGATACTCCAAAAATTAACTGCATTATCTCGAACTCTTTAAAACCTTCTCTGCTGTTGTATTTGTTTGAATGGATGTCAGTATAATATTTATTCTTTGGAAATTGTCTGGTTTGTCGTTTATAGCACTATTTGTTACATTTGATTTTTGAATTTGCTAATAGATTGAGTGATTCGTTATTGGATGAAAATGGATTTGTTGTAGTGTTTGTTTGAAATGGATGTTAGCGAAATATTTATTCTTTGGGAATTGTTTGATTTGTTGCTAGAAAAATAACTGAAATCTGACAGTAGACACGAATCATGTCTATCGCTAAGAAATACTTGCTGGATAATGGACCAATAAATAAAAATAGATTTATCAGGAATCAGGTGTAATCGATTTCGACGTTGAATTTTAAAAGTTTTTGAAATTTATCCAAATGAAAAGAAAAGCAAAGGGAATGTGACAGTAGTTGGTAGTAAATATTTTTATTGCACATCTAGTTAGTCTAAACTTTGTGGATTTGTGTTTCCAGTGCAGTGTGGTGTTTTCAAATCACTACTGTCTCGAATAAGTTATTCCAGGCGTTTTGTTAGTTGTTTTTGTGTTTGAATGTAATATTTTATCGATTCTTTGCCCATGCTGCAGCGTTTATGCTAAGAACTTCAGCTTTCATCGATCATTTACAGCACTATTTGTTACTTGTCAAAAATTACTACTACACTGCTATCCATTTCTGGTATAATTCTGAACTGTTTTGATAAGGACAATTTTTATTCATCGCTGTGTTAATTTACTCAGGCTCTATAATTGATTTGACTGCCAAAAGCAGACACGAGGCTTTTACAAAAAGCTTTGTAGTAAGTATATTAGTGGGTGTCATGCAGTGTCTTTTCGGTACACTTGAAGAGTCAAGTTACAGTTTAGCTTGAAATTTCAATACGGCACAAAATTAAATACCAATAAATTCCTAACGTTCTTGTAATCCTCTGCCTTGTGGTCTACTACGAGTGTTTGGTATAAAGTGGAACGGGTCAAGGCCGTAGCCTACGTTTTATACAAATCCATTCATCGTTGTAATGAGTCAGTTGAAGATTGCGGCAACGTATCGTAGTTGCAATCAGTAGCGATGAATGACTTTCTTCTGTAATGATATTTGAGTCTAACTATTAGTGAGGAATTTGCAAGGATATAGTATTTCTTAATTATTCGTTGCATTATGTACGGCATTGCTTCTCTCCTGTACCTTTGTTTAATTCCTCTCTGTATATGCTTATACGGTCAGGAACGATGTTCAAGGAAATTCACATCAGTTTTTTCAGAGATCGTTTTATGATTTGAAGCTTAATTCTCTTTCGAGGGTAGTAAGCGGGTTTGTCAGCAAAGGTTAGCATGCTCCAATTATACATCCCAGTATCAATTTAGATATGTAATGAAAACTGGTTTAGATTTAGTAGAACTAGATCAGTCATTGAATTTGTATAGAGTGGACAGTGATGAAAATTGAATATTAATGCTGATATTTCATTTTCCAGATGTCAGTTGTAAATGTATATGCAACATCTGCAACGACAGAAAATCTATCTCGGCATGAAATGCTCATGTGGGTAAACGATTGCTTGCAGTCAAATTTTGCAAAAATTGAAGAAATGCATACGGGTGCAGCTTACTGTCAAGTAAGGCAAAACGAAGTTTTGGACGAAATCCTTTTTTTCTGAAAGTGATTTAATGATGAATTGGTTTTATTTATGATAACAAAATCGTAACGATTTCGGATGCTCGTAATTTCATTTCGAAGTTGTATAGTGGGGAATTCTTCAATATTCTTGGAACGAAAAGTCTTAATATCTATCTTAAATCTTATATATGGTACTTTGAATTGTTTGAATAATATCATTTCCTCAGTTTACTGTTTTTTTTTTTTTTTTTGAAGTTCACAGATTTCCTGTTTCCTGGTTCAATACAATTACGGCGGGTGAAATGGAACAGCAGATTAGAATTGGATTGGTTAAGTAACTGGAAGTTACTGCAGACGTCATGGAAAACACTAGGTGTTGATAAAATTGTTCCTGTGGAGAAACTTATCAAGGGAAAATTTCAGGTAGGTAACTTTTTTATCGAACAGATTTTGCAAAAATGACGTATTAAAATTTTTTAACGCCGATCACATGTGAAGGATGCTGATACCACTAGTCTTGAATTCGTAAAACTCTATTGTTGTAGGACAATTTCGAGTTCTTGCAGTGGTTTAAAAAATTTTTTGATGCAAATTTTGATGGGCACGAATATGACCCATTGGAAGCTCGGAGTGGCGAACCATTGCCATCTGATGTAAAAGCCAATGCACCTTCACGAATGCCTGCGAAGTCTTCAGCTCCACCAGTTAAGTTGGTTTTTATGAATTCGTTAGGAAATAACTACTGTTTTGTTCAAATTTTCTGAAATTGAGTAGGATTGTTTGAACTTCTGTAACGTATAGTAAATCTAGGAAAAAAGTTTATAAAAAATATGCTAAAAGCTTTTGTTAGACAAATGAACATTAAACGGAGTATAATGGCATAGAAAAAATGCCAAAAAAAAGTACTTTTAATGGATTATAATGAATTACGGATTTTCTGCTACAACATTTCATATATAATAATTATCTTATCATGAAATCGCAAACAGGAAATCAACCCTTTCGGCGTCAAATGCTTCTATGAATAAAGGTGAAGTACGGAAGGCACCAGTTCTTGGAGGGAAGCACAACCCAACTCGAACAGCTGCACCGCTTATTACAACTACCGTTGCGCGAGCTACTGCACATCCTATTCAACCCGTAGTAGATCCTCAGGTATTTACGAAAATCCCTTAAAATTATTTCTTGGTGATGAAATTTTATAAAGGGCAGAACAGTTCATAACTGAATTGACAACGTTGCGTTTATTATTAGGTTGGAAATTATTGCATCGGATTTTTTTTTTCTTGAATATAATATATGCAATAAATTGGCGATCGAGTTTCAGTCTTTTTCAAAATGCTTTCGTTTAATCATTGCATCTTAACAGGTAGTGGCGAATTTAAAACGCGAATTGGAGGAAGCCAAGGGACAGATAGCTGAAGGTGACAATGTGATAGTCAGTCTTGAAAAGGTTATTCGCACTGTTGTATTTCTTAAGATTTTCTTGTTTTATATTTTGGAGGGTTTTTTTTTGCTAGAAAATTATCCATTTGTTATAAACTTATTATTATAAAAATATTTCATTGAACACACATAAATTTTAGTTAGGCAACACTAGTTGAAATGAAAATTTATAATTAATTTATAATTAGTACATGCCATTTACTCATTTCCATATTTTCAATTCTTAGGAACGTGACTTTTATTTTTCGAAACTGCGACAGATTGAAGTAATATGTCAAGACAATGAGCAGATTGGAACCATTGATGTAGCCCGTGTAATTGCGGTATGTATTTCGTTTATTACTGATTTAATTATCAGATTAACACAGTAATTTTATTTTACGATTTGTTTTGTGTATTTTTCATTTTTTTTTTCGGCTCATGTTCTGCCATAGGTCACTCATTACCGTGTCTACAAAAAAAGAGAATCTTTTTTTATTTCGTATGTATAACTCAGCATTCTGTAGTAATGAATGAAGCGTATCCAATTCATCCCATCCTTTATCTGTCGCTTCTTTGAAACCTAATGCAGTTGTTACTATTTTTGGAAGCCTAGCAGGGATAAAGTGAAATTTTTGCATAATTATTGTGGACTGCTTGGAACAGATAGTTTAGATTCTTCCAAAAAAGATTCCATTCATAATTTTATCACTTTGTTGTGAAAAAAATTTTCTGTCGTTTCTTCGGAACTTAAAAGAGTGGTATTTAAAGATATTGTATGAAACGGAAGAAGGATTTGCACCGCCGGACGAGAACGAGGTTGAGAACGGAGATGAAATCTACTGAAGGCGAGGAAGTGATAGTTCTACAGAAATAGAGGATGAATAAAATGTTTTGAAAAGCAAAGTATTTTTATTTGTTAATCTTATGATTTCATTGCTATTTAAAATGGCTTTTTTTTGAATTACCATTTCTATTGAAAAATAATAAAAGCCAGTCTTCGTGTTTTTTTGTCAGTTATCTAAAGTAGCCATTTTAGATGTTATTATTTTATGTAAATTTAAGTTATTTCGGTATATAATGGTGCATATTTCAAAAAGAAGTGAGAATCATAATTTTTTTGGCGATTATTAGCAGGTGTTAAAATTTAGAAATATATTTTATATGTTCTGTTGACTTTCATCTCCTTTTTGTGTACGTTTCTTTGGGATACATTTAGAATACATTTAAGACTGAAGTTGAACAGTAGATAGGATGAAATCAAATGAAAATTCTTAGATTTTTGAAGTTTTAGAACTGTAAATTTCATCCAGTAAATTATAAAAAAAAAAAACATAATAAAAAAAAGTCATTTAGCAACTATGGAGTACTGGCTCCAAATGTTCACATCTTCTTGATTCAATTTTTAGCACTGCTAATTCCTGAAATTATTTGCTAAATTTTTGCATATTCTTTTATGAGTAAAATTTATGTGTACACCGTATTTTTTTTAGCTTTCCTCATTGCTTCATGTAAAAAGCATTATTCCGTTTCTCCTCCTTTTGTTTCTTTAAAGCAAGGTGCAGCATTTTGTTTGTTCCTTAAGTTGGATCTCTAGATTCTAAACTTCCAAAAATTTCATAAATTTTTAAGCGTGCTAAGTATTTGTAACTGTAGAATTGCTGGAAGTATTCTCTTACTTCTGGAAATCTTTTGAGGCTTTTAATTTGCAGGGATTTGAAATTTCTTGCTTCCTTCAACCTTATATCTGTCCCATCATTTGTATTGTGTGCTTGTAACTTCATTTTTGTTCTTAACTTTTACTTATAACTATGCCGCTTGTTTCCGAGAATAATTCTCATCTCATATTTCCTTTAATTTGTTCTAATGTGCAAGAAGTCTTGAAACTACATGAGGTGTTTTATTACATGTTTATTTTTCTCTCTTTTATATTGAAATATTCATTAGATTAAATTAAATTTTTTTTGGTTTTCAATATAATTACAACTCCTTTCGTGGATAAATGTTCATTATTTTTATTATTAAAGCCTTTTTTCTGGTTAAATTCAGGAAATGTAGTAAAATTGCTTTTGTTCAAATCGTATGAATTTGCGCTAAGGACAGCTGTTTCTTTCATTTACTTGGAACGAAATGGATTGTCAGAATTTCTCATTTTTTTAACCAAGCTAGCTTTAATACACGCGTCTTTTATGTTATTTTCATTTAACATCGGATTTGATGAAATACATGGTTTTATGATACCTTATTTCATTCAAATAAATTCTGAATTGGCAGAAGTCTAGAAATCGAATATGAGGCTATGAAAAACAAATTAGAATATTTGGAATGGTAGTATATATTCATCGAAACTCCGGAATTCAATACTTTTATGCCTTCCTTGTTCCATTTTTCTAGATATGTCGAATTCTACATCATCGAATCCGTCGACGTTACTACCGTTGGAATTGGTAGACAAATGTATTGGTTCCAGGATTTGGGTTATTATGAAAGGTTAGTTAGAGTAATAAAAAGGATTTAATGGTATCAGGTTCGACTCGTACATATGATTGCATTAGTCAAATATCCCTAAAGCGACGAATTATTAGTGAGCATTAGCCATCATCTATATCTTATGCTAATTTCATTTTTTGCAATGGCTGAGCATTCATCTATTTTTAGATATTAAAATGAATGTGCCATATATTATGTGTTTACAGTATTCTACAGATATCGAAGTAAATTTGTGTATGTGAATTTCGTTATAGGTGAAAAAGAGATTGTTGGAACTTTAACAGGTTTTGACGACTACGTCAATATGGTATTAGAAGATGTTGTGGAGTACGAAAATACGGTTGACGGTAAAAGAGTAACGAAATTAGATACCATTTTACTGAATGGTAATCATATCACAATGTTGGTACCTGGAGGCGAAGGTCCTGAAGTTTAATTTTTGCAATTTTTTTGCTTCTATAAATGTATTTTGTATTAAAATATTGAACATTTTGTCATAAAACGTCCAAATTTTTTATTGTTTACAGTTCTCAATTACTTAAATTTTTTATTGTTTACAGTTCTCAATTATTTGACTTTGTTCCTAATTTTGGTCTTCCGATAAAGGAGACTTTTTAAAATTTCTCGCTTTTAAATATGCTCTTCAACCTGACAACTTAATTTTACTGTATTTGACTATAAGCAACAAGAAAAATCGTCGAGAGTTTACAGAGATTTCGAATCAAAATAGCTTTCTTTGTTTTTTTTCTCAGTGATTTAAAATTCGAGGATGAAAATATCATTGTAAGTGTTTCATACTAAATTCAAGTATTTTGGCAGCTCGATTCCTTTCAAATATTCTTTTTTTTCTGTTGACTGTTCCTAACAGTATTGTATTTGAAGAAAATGGAATTTTGTGAATAGTGTCATTTTTCGCTCTTAAAACATGCATATTAAGTGGTTCTGAGTTCTGGAAAGAAAGAGTATTCCCATATTTCAAGAATTTATGATGGAACGATTTAAATTGACGATAATGAATATGCATTTTTTATAGCATATAATTTTAAAAGGACGCGGTTACCTGTCCTAATAATGTATTTTTTCGTTGCCTCTATGTTGTTATGTTGTTTTCCACTCATAAAAAGTTATTTCTGAATTTCACATTAAGTTTGTAAGTATAAGTTTTATGGAACTTTTAAATGTGCAGTATTTCTTGAAACAAATGAAAACATTCCTCGTTCTGCAAATCTTGATAGAGAAAAATGTAAGGAATGATTTCTTCCTCTGTAGCGCTTTAATTAAATTTTCAGTGCCTAGTCGAATGAATGCTCTATTTGTTATTCAATAAGCAGGTTACATATAAAACCATATAATTTTTTTTTTTTGCAAAAGAATAAGATATCTTCAAAATTTCTAAACTATCCACAGTTACCAAAATTAAGCGTAATTTTTTCTGGGCTGCAATTTGCAAAGTCAAGATGTGATGTTCAGTTGTTTCCTAATCAACGGAATAAAAAAAGTGACTTCTTTCGGTAACTAATTTTTCGAAATAGACAGTATTTCATGATCATGACGTCGTGAAGAAGGTTTGTTGAAGGAAGCTTAGTAAACGTAAAGGTTATTAAACTGCCGAAGTAGATATATTGCTTGATAAAGAAAAGGTGAAAGAAAGTAGGTTCGAGGCAAATTTATTGCTTGTATCCTAGAAGTTGAATTTTTGAGATTGCTGTGATATGGAGCAAAAACACTATTGAGGATACCGATTTACGCCGACCTTTGCCTATTTGCAATTCTTTTTCCTTTTTTGAGAAAACTACTCGCTGCGACAAAAGATAATTTTTTGACAATAGCCACTGAAATGTAAATATACGGTCACTCATTTTCAATATATAGCATTATTGAAGTAATCAACCCATCATTCTTAAAGAAATATTATATTTTGGAAAATATATTTAAGAGTTGTATAATTTTTCTGTGATTCAGTAATTAAGATTTTTTGAGAAATCGCTTCATCTCAGCCAGATTTTAACCTTTAAAGATTTCTTATAGAGCGCTAATTTTGGAACATATCTTATCTGAACTGGCTATCGACGATACATTTTCAATTTATATTAAATTTATCAGATCGAATAAAAAATATTCATTAAGATTAATTTCAGTCATCAAAATTTTTGCACTTATTCAAATTTAGATAAGATATCGAGTGCAATGATTTGTAATATGGATATTACCTTGGATATCATTTATGTAAGTGCTGATTATTACGACAATATTGACTGCGTTTGGAAGAATACATATTTTCTAAGTTTCGTCTTTTATAAAATTCAAATTCTTTTGTCATAAAAATGAATTTATCTGAAATAAGTATATCTTAAATGATAATGATAGTCTTGTCATTCACAATTTATCTTAACTGAAATATTCATTAGTTGTGGAATAACAGTTCACTGATCAATATAAAGACTTAACTGGCGGTCTGACAAAGGGATAGTTCCATTTCATGTTAAAACAACGCTTTTGCTCATCGCCAAGCATCCTTTCCTTTTACTATCTTAGCCCAACTTCCATCTCAAATGAAAAATGGAAGTTTTTCGTTTTCCTCTAAAATATTATAAAATAAAATATGCCATAAATGGATTATTTTATTTTATGAGCAAATTATGAATTTTTTCTTCTTGTTGACAGATTGTGCTGTCATAAAACTGTGCTATCATAAATCATGCTATCAAATATCATGAAACAAAATGTGCCATAAATAGATTATTTTATTTTATGAGCAAGCAAACTGTGCTCAAAAGACTTTATAGCAATTTTTTTACAAAATATGTTAGAATTTCAATCTGTTCTTGCCAAATTATGCTAAAAATTTGCCTTTATAAACGATGATCCCTCTAGCGAATATTTATTGACTTAGGAATGATTTCATGAATTATCATTTAACTCATATTTATAAAGGATTTCGAAATATTTTTTTTTTCCAAAACTTGTGTTGTTTTCTTTTTCACTGAGCTATTTGTGTCCTCAATCTTCATTGTTACTTTCTCAGTGCTACAAACTACTGACGATGAATCTGACAGTACTCAGTATTCTACTTATTACGCTGTTCCACCAACAATATTTCACCCAAGCAGCACCTCCTCCTTTCGTTGGATCCAGTAAGTATTTCAGTTCACACCCACTGAATATTTAAGAATTTAAAAATTTCGACGGATTTTAAATGACCGCTCTATATTGCTTGATGTTATCTTGCAATTTCTAAACATATTTCTTCTTATTTTAACATCTATGATGTTAAAATAAGAAGAAAAATGTATTAAAAGTACAGCAAATCATATGCAACTGTGAATAGTAAAGGAAAAAAGAGGATGAAGTGATGAAGAAATGGTATCTTCAATTATCTAAGCCTGGCTTAACATTTGATCACACTCTGCTCTGAAGCAGTGCTGATAGGATATACTTAATAGTAATTGATGCAAATTCCATCTAAGCCAAGCAAATCAAATTATTAGCCTATTTCAACCAACGATTATTTGTATCCTAATACTGCTTGTATTTTCAGTGAATCCGTATATGAATGTATTGGGATCAGATGCCGACGGTTCATTGCCAAATGGAGATAAAAAGTGCCTATTAATTTGCAATAATTTTTATCAAAAAAGCAATAATTTACTAGTAAATAGAACAAGGTGCAAGCCAATTTACTGACATATTATTTAAGTTGGAATTATTTCAACTTTAAGAATTTCACGGATTTTTTTAAGAATTAAAAACTTCCTTAACTATGGTGATAACAACGAAGGAACCCTAAAAGTTAGTTTGGAATCTAAAATCTAGTGTAATTGATTAAGTTAAAATTTCATTCGCTGAAATGTGGGAAGAAACATCGATTAATTTGTAATCTTTCCTTTATTTATTCAGCTAACTGAAAGAATATAATTAACGACTCAAATTAGAAAAGTAAAATGAAGAGAAGGAAAAAAGTTAAAATTCAATTTGCGTCATTTCAGATTATGGAAGCGAAAAGTAGAGGAGCCATTTCATTTGGCTCATTTAAGATTTGGATGAAAACAATTAACCTGTCATTCTGTTTTTATCAAAACATATTTTTGATTACTTTTTTTGACTATTTGATAAGATCTTATAAATGCTTAACGGTCTGTAAACATAACATTTGTAATTACTTCAATGAACAGCATTCAAACTGATACGCATAAATCAACAAAACTGCATGCACTGATCGAATAAGATCACGTATTCAAGACAATTATAGGATATTAGCATAGAAACGAGTGGAAAATCTTTTTAAAATCTCGGAGAAATTTAGAAAAGAAAATTTATTATAGAAAATGAATAGTATGAAGTAATAATATATGTGCAAATGATGGTGAACAAATTATTGCCTACTTTTCACGACATTCCTTCATCATTTGAAATTTATTAGCAAAGAGGTCCATTTTGCAGTTCATGATGTCTTAGTACAATCTATTAGGATTTTTTTGTATAATGATAAATTTAAATTATTGCTTCAAAAATTGTCGGGAAAGAATATCTCTTGGGATCAAACCACAAATGAAGAAGATACAAAATTATGGAATGAACAAATAAGTGGAATATCAGGAATTTTTTAGGAATTTACATTGAATGTGATAATATGAAGGAATCCTAAGAAGTCAGTTTGAAAATCTGATATAATTGATTGAGTTAAAATTTCATTTGCTGAAATGTGGGGGAAAAACATCAATTAATTTGTAATTTTTCCTTTAGTTATTCAGTTAACTACAAGAAGATCATTAACGACTCAAATTAGAAAAGTAAAATGGAAAAAAAAGAAGAAAAAGTTAAAATTCGATTTAAAAAATACGCTTCATTTCAGATTATGAAAGTGAAAGGTAGATCCAAAATTTTCAAGATTTGGATGAAAATAGCTAATATCACACATTTTTTATGAAAAGATATTTTTTGGATAATTTTTTAAGTTCTCGTTGTATGAAAAGCTCGATTCCTAAATTACTATACCTTAGGAGATAGATTAGATATGTGCTAGTTTTGTCGCAAGACTCGAAATAATCACTCGAATCTCCAAATAACTTACAAAATATATCAAATAAAATTATATTATCCACAATATTAAAATTTGTCTTAATTCCTGTTTGAATGCTTTTTGTAAGTTAATGCCCAGTAGATAAAGATAAACCCTTTTTTGTACCAGCAATAGTTTAGCTGCTCTCCCGCATTGATTTAATTCAGTTCATTTAAACGTCTCAAGTTCCCTCTCAATTAATTCATTTCCTTCATCTTACTACTCGATATTTCTACAAAATTACCAGTATATTGTTTCTATAGACTATATATTAATACTTGTGTATCGTAGTTGTTAGCGAATAAAATCGTTAGAATAGATCTTCCACTCAACGCATTTGTTTATATCAACTACAGTAACAAATAAGGAAGGCTCTTGAGCATATGAAAGTCCAATTTAACTCTAAGCTACAAATAATAGACGCTTTAAGTTTCACGACAACTTTCCTTCAGCTCTGAGTTTTCCAATCGACTTCTTGATCATCGATTCACTGTAATAGATCTATTTTTCTTTACCTATTTTCTTTTCAGTCAAACCGTCCAATCGCATTAATCTGAATAATATCTATTCTGCTAATTTTGTAATCATCGTCTGTAAATTGATTTTTCTGAGTTGAAATTGGCTGTATCCATGACAAGTTTTATTTCATTGTCAATTTTATAAATTTGAGGATCCAAGCTGTTCCTATTAGAATCTTAACCATTTACTAAAACGATTTCTGTCAATAAGTTTTATTTCTTGGATAGGAATTGGTTCATAACATTTAATTTCGATTCCTCACGGTCTTTAATTTCGACTCGCCGCTATAACCAGTCTAATTCTTTTTCCTTTAGTCATGTTTTTATTCTACTATAGTTCATAATTTTTTAACATTTTAGAGTGGGAGTCGCTTAATTTCCATGTCAATTGAATTACATTCGATGGGAATGTAATAGGAAATTTTCACCTTCCTTATTTCTTCATTTCAATTCTGTATAAGAGCTGGTAGTAGTTGGAAATAATTTTGTGGTCGATGTAAATGCACTTTAAAAATCTAACCATAAAATTATTCATAAATTTTCCATTACCAAAAACTGAGCAGCTCTTATTACGACAAGTATTACGACAACTATCTAATTGGTTTTTGAATTGACGTAGCAATTGATTTGGCAAAGATGAAAAATGTCTTTTTTTTTTTCTTTTTCCCCCGATTTTGTGCACATATTATCATTGTGTACGCTGCCAGTGAAGACGTTAATTTTGTTAATTCCATTTGAGAAGCATACGATGAATCATGGCAAATGTTTACGATTTTTGGCCACTTATTTGTTCATTCCATAATTTTGTATCTTCTTCATTTGTGGTTTGATCCCAAGAGATATTCTTTCCCGACAATTTTTGAAGCAATAATTTAAATTTATCATTATACAAAAAAATCCTAATAGATTGTACTAAGACATCATGAACTGCAAAATGGACCTCTTTGCTAATAAATTTCAAATGATGAAGGAATGTCGTGAAAAGTAGGCAATAATTTGTTCACCATCATTTGCACATATATTATTACTTCATACTATTCATTTTCTATAATAAATTTTCTTTTCTAAATTTCTCCGAGATTTTAAAAAGATTTTCCACTCGTTTCTATGCTAATATCCTATAATTGTCTTGAATACGTGATCCTATTCGATCAGTGCATGCAGTTTTGTTGATTTATGCGTATCAGTTTGAATGCTGTTCATTGAAGTAATTACAAATGTTATGTTTACAGACCGTTAAGCATTTATAAGATCTTATCAAATAGTCAAAAAAAAGTAATCAAAAGTATGTTTTGATAAAAACAGAATGACAGGTTAATTGTTTTCATCCAAATCTTAAGGGTCGTGGAACTAACTCTCGCTTCCATAATCTGAAATAAAGAATATTTTCTTGAGATCGAATTTCAAAATTCCCTTTCTTTTAATTTTAATCTTCTAGTTTAAATTATAGTCGTTAATTATCTTCTTGTAACTAATTGAACAAATAGATAAGCAAGATTATTGCTCATCGCCAAGCATCCTTTCCTTTTACTATCTTAGCCCAACTTCCATCTCAAATGAAAAATGGAAGTTTTTCGTTTTCCTCTAAAATATTATAAAATAAAATATGCCATAAATGGATTATTTTATTTTATGAGCAAATTATGAATTTTTTTTTCTTGTTGACAGATTGTGCTGTCATAAAACTGTGCTATCATAAATCATGCTATCAAATATCATGAAACAAAATGTGCCATAAATAGATTATTTTATTTTATGAGCAAGCAAACTGTGCTCAAAAGACTTTATAGCAATTTTTTTACAAAATATGTTAGAATTTCAATCTGTTCTTGCCAAATTATGCTAAAAATTTGCCTTTATAAACGATGATCCCTCTAGCGAATATTTATTGACTTAGGAATGATTTCATGAATTATCATTTAACTCATATTTATAAAGGATTTCGAAATATTTTTTTTTTCCAAAACTTGTGTTGTTTTCTTTTTCACTGAGCTATTTGTGTCCTCAATCTTCATTGTTACTTTCTCAGTGCTACAAACTACTGACGATGAATCTGACAGTACTCAGTATTCTACTTATTACGCTGTTCCACCAACAATATTTCACCCAAGCAGCACCTCCTCCTTTCGTTGGATCCAGTAAGTATTTCAGTTCACACCCACTGAATATTTAAGAATTTAAAAATTTCGACGGATTTTAAATGACCGCTCTATATTGCTTGATGTTATCTTGCAATTTCTAAACATATTTCTTCTTATTTTAACATCTATGATGTTAAAATAAGAAGAAAAATGTATTAAAAGTACAGCAAATCATATGCAACTGTGAATAGTAAAGGAAAAAAGAGGATGAAGTGATGAAGAAATGGTATCTTCAATTATCTAAGCCTGGCTTAACATTTGATCACACTCTGCTCTGAAGCAGTGCTGATAGGATATACTTAATAGTAATTGATGCAAATTCCATCTAAGCCAAGCAAATCAAATTATTAGCCTATTTCAACCAACGATTATTTGTATCCTAATACTGCTTGTATTTTCAGTGAATCGGCATATGAATAATGTATTGGGATCGTCAGATGCCGACGGTTCATTGCCAAATGGAGATATAAAGTGCCTATTAATTTCCATAATTTTTATCAAAAAAGCAATAATTTACTAGTAAATAGAACAAGGTGCAAGCCAATTTACTAATATATTATTTAGGTTGGAATTATTCCAACCTTAGGAATTTCATGGATTTTTTAGGAATTACAATCCTAGTGATATTCACACGGAATGTGATAATATGAAGAAATTCTAAAAAGTCGGTTTTAAAATCTGATGTAACTGGCTGAATTAAAATTTCATCTGCTGAAATGTGGGAAAAAACACTTAATCTGCTATAATCTTGCTTATCTATTTGTTCAATTAGTTACAAGAAGATAATTAACGACTATAATTTAAACTAGAAGATTAAAATTAAAAGAAAGGGAATTTTGAAATTCGATCTCAAGAAAATATTCTTTATTTCAGATTGTGGAAGCGAGAGATAGTTCCACCTTCATTAAGATTTGGATGAAAACAACTATTATCATTATGAAATGATACTTCCTGGTTACTGATAACATATTTGATAAGATCCTCTAGATGTTTAACCATTTGTTAACATAACATTTGTAATTACTTCAATGAACAGCTTGCAAACTGGTACGCATAAATCAACAAAACTGCATGCACTGATCGAATAAGATCACGTATTCAAGACAATTATAGAATATTAGCATAGAAACGAGTGGAAAATCTTTTTAAAATCTCGGAGAAATTTAGAAAAGAAAATTTATTATAGAAAATGAATAGTATGAAGTAATAATATATGTGCAAATGATGGTGAACAAATTACTTTTCACAACATTGCTTTTTTTTTCTACTTTTCGAATATCTAGATTAAATTACATATATGTGATAAGAGAATTAAATTATCAATATCGTGGATAGGGTCGGTCATTCTTTGTTAACAAACGGTGACATTGTAGGCAATGCACATAAGTTGGAAGATGAATGTTGGATTAATATACAAAATTAACAAAAAAGAAGACTAAAACCAAACTAAAACAGCTTTATATTTGTTTAGCAAATATTCAAATAAGACAGCAGTTGGTATATAAATTTATGTTTATTGATTTCATTCAGAATCACTTTGATTATTTTGTTGTTATGAAAGTATTTCGACAACAATTAATTATAATTTTTCGGCTTCATCGATATAGCATCCCTTCTCTTAATTTACATTTTATGGGTAACGCATTGCTTAAAAATTGCGTTTTATACTCCACTCATTTACAATTTGAACTTCGAGACCTGAATTTCTGATAGTGATTCGTCACAGAGATGCTGTTCAGCTGTTCAATAATACTTTTATTTGTTCTGCATTTTATTGGATTGATAAGCGGCAGTTTACCTAATTCATCGATACAAATTAATGACGATGAAACACGTATCCGAAATTTCCCGTTTAGCCTGCACAGATCCGCAAGTATTAATGGTACAATTTGGAGAGGTCATCTTAACGTCCATTACGCTACTCTTGAGAAATCAAATGTGGTAAGCATTTCCTGTAGGAAACTCTTTTAGGAGTTTTGAAATTTAAAAACTTGTGAGAAAAACTGGAACTAATACATAAATGAATGATGTGTCATCGCATTTCTGCAAGCAATTGCTTACGTTATTGTTATGTTACGTAGCATCAGACGTTAAGAATTTCCTCCTCTAATATAGTGCTAATAAATATTTTCTTCTATAGGCTGATCAATATTTGCTTCATATAATGCTAATCAATATTTACGTCATGTAATGCTAAACAGTATTTATTTAGAAATGGATTGTTATAAGCTGTTTGTTTAGTTAGATCTGTTACGAATCCACGTTCGCTTGCATGATGTGAATAGGTTCATTAACACCAGTAAATTGTTGTTACGAGTTACTTCTCCGATCGATGCCATATCATTTGCGTTACCAACCGGGTAAGTTCCATATTTCGTTTTTTGACTGAATCTGTTAAGCAAATCACTATACGGGTAAACATTTGTGATTGTAACATGTGGAGTTTTTATAAACCTGAATTCTGCTGAAAAGACTTTTCTAAATAAAATATGAACAATGGATTGTTATGCATTTTAAAAAATTAAGTATTTTTAAGTCTCTGAATAAAGTTAACGTCGAAGAATCCATGTTACTGCATATTTGCTGTGAAGTTCTTTTATGGTTTTATTTTTTATCTCCGTAAAGTTTTTTTTTTTTTTTTTTTTCACCAAATAATGCAAAGAAGGTAACTATATCATAAAACAAAGAAAGAGAGAGAGAGGGAGAAATAGAGAGGACGAAAAGGATGCCTTAAGAATAATTCCAAATCAAGAAGTGAATTTCATTCATTTAGCTCAGTTTTTATGCTGTGCTGTAATTGAATCTTTCGTGTGTATCCAAATAATCATTTGATTGCTGTTTCATAACGTAAGCGTAATCGACGCCAATAAAGTCGTTTCCACGGTCAATAAGTACAACAGTTATGACTATATCACTGATAGTGATATGTATTAATTGAAATGAATTACCTATTTCAGAATCAAACTAAGCCCTTTAAATTCCATTTATTGTTAATTCTTGATAAAAAAACCTTTCAAGACAAAAAAATTCATGACAAGCAGAGTATGTCCCTTTTTTAACATTGAAAATTACTTCTTCCAAATCAAATCTAATGTAGAAATGTTTTTTTCTAAGCTAATAACTATTCCTATGAGAAACAGAACACAATTATATTTTTCGTTATAAAGCTAAAACCCAACTCTTACTATGTAAAGACCTGTTGGACACTATATAGCACAGTGCTCAATGCCTGTCCATATATTTCAATTTTGGTAGTCTTACACACTCATTCATTTCCCATTTCTTCTGTTTCATTCTGTACTCGTAAATAACAACTCCATGAAATTATTATTGTATTGTCAATGTAGATAAGATTTTGTGTAACACAGTTGTTAGTGAATAAAATTCTTTACAACAGACTCATTACAGAACACATTCGTCTTAAAGTCATTTCAAACAACAGCCTTTGTTCATTAGGTTATAGCTTCGCCATTGTGGCGACAGTTGTGAAAAGTAGGCAGTAATTTGTTCACTATCATTTGCACATATATTATTACTTCATACTATTCATTTTCTATAATAAATTCTCTTTTCTAAATTTCTCCGAGATTTTAAAAAGATTTTCCACTCGTTTCTATGCTAATATCCTATAATTGTCTTGAATACGTGATCCTATTCGATCAGTGCATGCAGTTTTGTTGATTTAAGTGTATCAGTTTGCAAGCTGTTCATTGAAGTAATTACAAATGTTATGTTAACAAACACTTAATCATTTTATCAAATATGTTATCAATAAATAGTATGACGAGAAAGGGAAGGGGGAGAGGCAAAGATAAAACTAATTCCAAAAATCTTTTTGATAAAAATAGACATGTGTAACGGGTAGCTGTTTTCATCCAAATCTTAAAGGACGTGGTCCCAGCGCTCGCTTCCATGATCTGAAATGAAGCGCATTTTTTAAATCGAATTTAACTTACTCATTTTTTTCCATTTTACTCTTCTAATATGAATCGTTAATTTCTTCTTGCAATTAACTAAAATATGGGAAGATTATAATAGATTAATTGATGTTTTTCTCCACATTTCAGCAGATGAAACTTTAACTCATTCAATTACATCAGATTTCAAAACTAACTTTTTAGACATCACCACATGCAATATAAGTATTACTGAAGTGAAGGAAATTTGTAATTCTTAAAAACTCAGTGAAATTTTGAGATTGGGGTAATTCCAATGTAAATAATACATTAGTAGATTGTCTTGGAACTTATTCCGCTCAGTAACATTATTGATTTTTTAAGATGAAAATAGAAACCTTTCATCTGCATATGATGATAAAATGTTGACATCTGGTGATCTTAATGAATTCATATACGGATTCACTGAAAATACAAGCAGTATTAGGATACAAATAATCGTTGGTTGAAATAGGCTAATAATTTGATTTGCTTGGCTTAGATGGAATTTGCATCAATTACTATTAAGTATATCCTATCAGCACTGCTTCAGAGCAGAGTGTGATCAAATGTTAAGCCAGGCTTAGATAATTGAAGATACCATTTCTTCATCACTTCATCCTCTTTTTTCCTTTACTATTCACAGTTGCATATGATTTGCTGTACTTTTAATACATTTTTCTTCTTATTTTAACATCATAGATGTTAAAATAAGAAGAAATATGTTTAGAAATTGCAAGATAACATCAAGCAATATAGAGCGGTCATTTAAAATCCGTCGAAATTTTTTAATTTTTAAATATGAAGTATTGAAATATTCAATGGATATGAACTGAAATACTTACTGAATTCATAGAAAAGATCGTTAGGAGGTGCTACTTGGGCGAAATATTGCTGCTGGAATAGCGTGATAAGTAGAATACTGAGTACTATCAGATTCATCCTTAGCAGTTTGTAGCACTGAGATAGTAATAACGAAGGTTGGGATACCAAGTAGCTCAATGAAAGGGAAAACAACGCAGACTTTGAAAAAAGATTATTTCAAAATCCTCTATAAATATGAGTTAAATACTGTAAAATTTTTTGCTTTAATACAATTTCTAATCACAAATCGTTCAATAAATTACTTCTATGTCAACAAATATTCGCTCAGAGGAAAGATTGTTTGCAAATTAGGTTACTTGACGACGTTATCGAGTTTCACTATGAAATTCTGCAACACTTCTATGTTGATATAATTTCGTGCACATAGTCTTAAATGGCACTTAGACCAGTTCCTCAAATCCATATGCGGTTCATGGGTCAATGGTTTCAGATGCTTAACCATTTAGTGACACATTTAACTTGCCCAAAGTTTACAAGTAATGTTTCGAGATCAAAAAAAAACATTATTACAATTAGGGCGAATTTCGTGTAGTTAAAAGAATGATGGTGATAAAAAACCTAACGTAGTAATAGTTCAGATTTTGAAGTTTTTATGTTAAAATATAGAAAAAAAAAAAGAGAATCCAGAAATTTCAAGAATTCCCATACTTTCCTATTTAAATCAATAAAAATAAATGTAGGGAAATAAAAGATGAAAACATCAGCAAATATTAACATAATAGCAAATAAAAAAGTAAAAATAAAATAAGTAAAACAATTCATATTTATGTAGTGTGAATAATTGGGGAAAAAGAAGGTGATGACAAGTTTTATCCTTAAAAGTGGAGTATAAAATAACGTTGCACTACTTCAATATATGCAAGATATATATTGCAGAACTTATATATATATATATATATATATATATATATATATATATATATATGTATATTTTTTTCCCACACTAAGCCCAATACTTCAGTATTTTAATCATAGGAACGTTGTGATTACGAATTTTTGTAAAATCTTGCCTATAAAAAATTTAAGGCACTTAGAAAGATGAATATAAGTAAGGCTTTTAAGAAATTCAAATCTCAGAAGCAATTTTTGAAAACTCCTGAGGATTGGGAGAGGAAGAGAATGATAAGTGAAAGAAGCACGCGAATGATACGCACTTCATATTGTCTACATTTTTTCAATTTAAACTTATAGAATTCTCATTTCTTTCGCAATTAATTTGAAATAGTGAGATGTCAATTCTGCAGTGAACCGATTTGAAATTTCCAATCCAATGTGGTGCAATTATCTGAAGAGACAATTAATGCTTCTCTTCGTGTCCTTCTCCCAAAATCCTTCCAATTCTTCCTTATTCCAAAATGAATAATTTTTTTCCGTTCTTTTTATCTATCATAAATTTGGAAATAATAATACGAAAGATTTCAATTTTCACACTTGCTTTAACAATAAATTTCTTTAATTGCATATTTCCTTGCAAAATAGAAATTGAATTTTATTCATGCGATTTTCTTCCAAATATGTTTGAGCGATAACTAATTTATAATCTATCTTATAGCATCAGTCCTTCAATATTAATTCAAATCCTTAAGTTCTCAACCTGCTCAGGTTGTAAATTACATATTTGTCAAGTCGTGATTAGATATTAAAAATTACTGGATGTTAATGGATGCCTCGGAACCTTTTTCAATAACTTACTGAAACCTTTGTAACATTCCTAGATCCAAATGATATGCAACTTCATCAAAACACAGTTAAAACCTGAACAAAATCAAAAGCAATTGATAGCTGAAACGAAACAATAATCTCAAATAGTACATGCTTCCTAATAAGATATTATTAAAAAAACATTGAAATTCAAAAATATATAACTTCTCTACTTTTCTAAATTCTCTGCTTCATTTTAACTTACTCTTCTGAACTGCTAAAATTTCAACATCCCAGCTTTCCAACAACTTCTGAAAATTTTCAACATTCCAGCTTTTCTTGTCTCTGAAACGGTGTTGAAATCTTTCTCGGTATAATCATACAACATAACATAAACAAAAATGATAAATATAACTTCCATTTCCTCTCAAAATATTCGAAATAACTTACTGTCTAATTGATCCAAAGTGAAAAATAAATATTAAGCCAAAGTTTTCGGAATCAAATGAAGTTTTTATATGCTTACAAATTCATTGCATTATACATCTTAACACTTATAAATTCCTTCTTGATTCTTTAAGTATTCTTGAGAATATCCATCATCAACAGTCATGTGTGATAGTTTGATAATTCATGTATGAGTTGCACAAACAAAAATGTTATTGTAAAATGATTCTGCTTATGAAAGCACTTGTTAAATTTTTCTTCCGATTGGTTATCATTTGGAATATCTCTTAGAAATTTTTCTGGAAGGCAATTCTTTTAAAAGGGAATTTTTTATCATCTCAACAGCCACCTCTTAAAAAGTAAAGAGACAAAAAAAATATGCATTTATAAAAAATTCCTTGAAAATGCAATATTTAAAATAAACGTTTATAATGAAATTGAATGATTAATAAATAACATTTATGAATGTAGAGTTGTGGAATGGAACAAAGAGAATAGAAAATACTGAGAACGAAGAAAAATGAAAAATGAGAGAAGACTCCAAAGTATTTACTTTAGAATTACGAAGTCAGCAACCGACGAAAATCTTAAAATCTATGGTCTATTCAAATTCGGCCATGAACTCAATCTATCGACATCATATTACGACAATATATTTGCTAACATTAATATCAAAAGCTTTTTAATCCTCCTAAATTGGAGGCGTTGAAAAGCTATGTTATTCATTTTATTTTCAAATATTTGAAAAACAGTTAATCTTTTTTTTTGAGGTTTTCAGAAAAAAAAGAAGTTATCTATAAGGATCTCTTCAACTATATTAAGTAGAAAATTTAATTAATCAATGAAAAGAAGCAAAAAAAAAGAATTTTGAGCACAAGAAAAAATTGAAATTTTAATATATTTTGTAAACAAAAGTTACTGTAAAGTATTTTGAGCACAATTTACACGTAAGAAAAAAAATCATAATTTATCCATAAAATAAAATAGTTCATTTATGGCATATTCTGTTTTGTGATAATTTGTTTAAAAAATGTTTCCGTTTTTATGTACAATGGAAGTTAAGCCAAAACGTTTGACAAAACAAAGACATTACTTTAACAAAGAACAGGATTTATCCCTTTTTGCTGTTCTGCCTGACAATTCTTTCCATACATCAATGAATTGTTCCTAGATCAATGGATATTCAATCAAAATAGGTGGGAAAGACAAAATTGTATGTTTTGCATTAACATTTAAAGTACGATTATTTTATACAAATTCAATTTTAGAGTCATCATGCATATGATGGTAAAATAATAATACAAGGAAGAGAAAAAGTGTGAAGCCATTTTTAAACATGTCAATACGAGGTACAAGCCGGAAAATAACAGGACCTAACTATTACTTATGCTTATCAAATACTGCGGAGAGTAATTATTCTTGATGCATTTATTGCTTTGTAATTTTGACAGAGAAAAAAATTTAAGAATCAGGAAGGAAAAAAAAAAAGTAAGGTGTTTTAAAAATTACTTTATCATCAGAGAAGATTTTTTGCTATAGATCATTGAGAATATTACTTCTTTGACCATAAAAGTTCAAGATATGCGAAAAATCTCATTTACAGAATTGAAAAACGAATCTAATGAATTTTGGAGAGAGTCAACATTAATTACAGCACAGATGATTAGCTAGACTGAAGTTAATTAACTGATGATTTCAGCGATTTCGGTCCAAGTTGTAGTATTAACTACAACTGAAACTGAATTAACATGGATGAAAAAATTTTCCCAAAAGCTTTAATGAGAAATTATGATAAGAAGTAAGCAAATGATGCCTTATAGCTGAAATACCTTATTAATGTTGTTTTCCATTTTATTAATAATGATTACTGCAAAAATTGAAGATTCGGGAAGCAGGAAAGATTTTTATAAACAATATGTTCAAGTAATGCTCAAAGATCACTGGAAAATGAAGACTTATTTCAGTTATCTTAAGAATTATTATGAAAAATAAATCCATTTCGTTTTGATCCAGGAAAAAAACGCCAAAAAAGATTGCTAATGCAAAAAAGAAAAAGGCTAAGAAAGCAGCATTATTCTCAGATAAAACTCTGCTATGCAATTGTATGAAATTGCTATTGCTTCAATTTTTATAATTATCATTTCCTCTGGGAAATACCATTATGAAATTATGATTATTATGCTCTTATTTTACGAAACCAACTGTTGCCTTCTAAAAGCTTGGCTTCAAGCTAACTTGAATGTTCTGTCTGGCTAATAGAAACAAATATGCTCGGTTTAGTCTGAAATAATTTTTTAAATAGTGTTGCAATTTAAAAAACATCCACTTCAAACACTTCAAATTGCCTGATTAAAAATGATGGTGAGAGATGCATGTCTTCGTAACCAGTTTTCCCTTTCCCTCTCAACCAATGACCGTAAAAAACAGGGTTAGCTATCAATTTAGGCAAATGGTATTATTGATTTCCTTTTCAAAGCTGATAAATTTTGTTTACTCGCTTATTTCACTACCAATTTCACTAGCTGTCACTTATCCAGAAATAATTGAAATCATTCACAAATGTGACTGAGGAATTCCTTTAACCTATTTGTCGTTTTCTCCAATAAACTACGAATGAATGAATTGCCAACTAGTAGATGAGAGTAAAAAGGAATTTGAATTTTATAAAAGACGAAACTTAGAAAATATGTATTCTTCCAAACGCAGTCAATATTGTCGTAATAATCAGCACTTACATAAATGATATCCAAGGTAATATCCATATTACAAATCATTGCACTCGATATCTTATCTAAATTTGAATAAGTGCAAAAATTTTGATGACTGAAACTAATCTTAATGAATATTTTTTATTCGATCTGATAAATTTAATATAAATTGAAAATGTATCGTCGATAGCCAGTTCAGATAAGATATGTTCCAAAATTAGCGCTCTATAAGAAATCTTTAAAGGTTAAAATCTGGCTGAGATGAAGCGATTTCTCAAAAAATCTTAATTACTGAATCACAGAAAAATTATACAACTCTTAAATATATTTTCCAAAATATAATATTTCTTTAAGAATGATGGGTTGATTACTTCAATAATGCTATATATTGAAAATGAGTGACCGTATATTTACATTTCAGTGGCTATTGTCAAAAAATTATCTTTTGCCGCAGCGAGTAGTTTTCTCAAAAAAGGAAAAAGAATTGCAAATAGGCAAAGGTCGGCGTAAATCGGTATCCTCAATAGTGTTTTTGCTCCATATCACAGCAATCTCAAAAATTCAACTTCTAGGATACAAGCAATAAATTTGCCTCGAACCTACTTTCTTTCACCTTTTCTTTATCAAGCAATATATCTACTTCGGCAGTTTAATAACCTTTACGTTTACTAAGCTTCCTTCAACAAACCTTCTTCACGACGTCATGATCATGAAATACTGTCTATTTCGAAAAATTAGTTACCGAAAGAAGTCACTTTTTTTATTCCGTTGATTAGGAAACAACTGAACATCACATCTTGACTTTGCAAATTGCAGCCCAGAAAAAATTACGCTTAATTTTGGTAACTGTGGATAGTTTAGAAATTTTGAAGATATCTTATTCTTTTGCAAAAAAAAAAAATTATATGGTTTTATATGTAACCTGCTTATTGAATAACAAATAGAGCATTCATTCGACTAGGCACTGAAAATTTAATTAAAGCGCTACAGAGGAAGAAATCATTCCTTACATTTTTCTCTATCAAGATTTGCAGAACGAGGAATGTTTTCATTTGTTTCAAGAAATACTGCACATTTAAAAGTTCCATAAAACTTATACTTACAAACTTAATGTGAAATTCAGAAATAACTTTTTATGAGTGGAAAACAACATAACAACATAGAGGCAACGAAAAAATACATTATTAGGACAGGTAACCGCGTCCTTTTAAAATTATATGCTATAAAAAATGCATATTCATTATCGTCAATTTAAATCGTTCCATCATAAATTCTTGAAATATGGGAATACTCTTTCTTTCCAGAACTCAGAACCACTTAATATGCATGTTTTAAGAGCGAAAAATGACACTATTCACAAAATTCCATTTTCTTCAAATACAATACTGTTAGGAACAGTCAACAGAAAAAAAAGAATATTTGAAAGGAATCGAGCTGCCAAAATACTTGAATTTAGTATGAAACACTTACAATGATATTTTCATCCTCGAATTTTAAATCACTGAGAAAAAAAACAAAGAAAGCTATTTTGATTCGAAATCTCTGTAAACTCTCGACGATTTTTCTTGTTGCTTATAGTCAAATACAGTAAAATTAAGTTGTCAGGTTGAAGAGCATATTTAAAAGCGAGAAATTTTAAAAAGTCTCCTTTATCGGAAGACCAAAATTAGGAACAAAGTCAAATAATTGAGAACTGTAAACAATAAAAAATTTGGACGTTTTATGACAAAATGTTCAATATTTTAATACAAAATACATTTATAGAAGCAAAAAAATTGCAAAAATTAAACTTCAGGACCTTCGCCTCCAGGTACCAACATTGTGATATGATTACCATTCAGTAAAATGGTATCTAATTTCGTTACTCTTTTACCGTCAACCGTATTTTCGTACTCCACAACATCTTCTAATACCATATTGACGTAGTCGTCAAAACCTGTTAAAGTTCCAACAATCTCGTCTTCAACTGTACTGAAAGCAGATTTATCTCAATATCTGTACATACGGCTCATTCATTTTTAATATTATTTCAATCACACAACGGATAACGTTATAATATAAATTTTTGAATTTCACTTCTTTTCATAATTTTCTATCCACAGCGAAAATTTCTTCAAAACCTACACTTTTTAAAGTTCTTGTAACTCAAGTACAAATATGAAATTACATTAAATCCAAAAAAATCAAAATCCAAAGGAAGAGAAAGCTGAACTGAATATTATATTATAGTAGCTGTATCATGCTAGGATCTTTTGTTTCGAATGGTTAAATTTAGCGAAGCAAATTGCAACAAAGAAGGAATCAAATGTTACGATAAAACTGAATTATATTTAACTCAAAATATCATTTTGGGAACATAATAACTTTTTAAAATGCAGAGCAAAGCAAAGTATGCAATTTCTTCAGACCAATTTCGTCACAGCAATGACGCAAATAGCACAGACTTAATAACTATGTGATTGTATCAGGTAACCTTTACTCTGCAGTAGGACTTAATTTTCAAATTTCAGTAAAATCAGCAAGGCCAATAGTTGCTAGTCTAAAATCAAATCAAAAAGTCGAAAAAAATGTCAAATTTTTGAAAAAATTGAAGATGTACATAACGTTGTATTGAGAACGATCATAAATTTTGACAGAAATGCTGTAAGTTAAAATATCGTTTGAATTTGCTACGACTAAAATAACCAAATAAATAGATCTGTTGTCAATGAATGGTTTTGCAGTATGCACATCTAGACCAGGTAACATCACAACGTATTCTGAATGACCACTTCTATAAGAAGTAAAAATTGTAACAAGATCAAATTGGAAAATTAGTATGTGAATATAGTTAAATCAAGATAACAAAAGGACGCATGAGAAATGAATCTGAAGAGTCTAAATTAGCTAAATGATTCCTTTCGCGATAATGCTAAGAATTGAAAAATTCTAGGCAATACAGATAGGCTCAGATACTCAGATATGGATGAGTGTTGAATAAATGATTGCTTGTTTTATATTTGTCCAAGAAATATTTAATTCAATTTTCTCTTCCTCTGGATTTAATATAATTTCATATTCGTACTTGAGTTACAAGAATTTTAACGAGCTAAGTTTTGAAGAGTTTGCAGGTTCGAAAATTTTGCTGTGGATAGAAAATTATGAAAAGAACGTGAAATTTAAAAATTTATATTATAATTTTTTCCGTCGTGTGCTAAATTGACTGAAGTGGATTCTATTAAACATGTTACAAGTATATTGAAAAGAATCAATAAACTATGACGGAAAGTTTGATGTCTTAAGGGTAGATCTGAACCTGTTAACCACAATTCATGATATACCAATCGAAGATCTGTGTATGCAGAAGAGGGTTAAGGGGAGATACAAAGAAATATTGTTCACAATGAAAACAACCCAGCAATATTTGTTTACGGGCAATAGACTAAGCAGACGCATGCTTTCACTGCGTGTTGGGGCAATTTTTTTCTTTGTCAGCTGTGAATATTTTTTCTACTTTTCGAATATCTAGATTAAATTACATATATGTGATAAGAGAATTAAATTATCAATATCGTGGATAGGGTCGGTCATTCTTTGTTAACAAACGGTGACATTGTAGGCAATGCACATAAGTTGGAAGATGAATGTTGGATTAATATACAAAATTAACAAAAAAGAAGACTAAAACCAAACTAAAACAGCTTTATATTTGTTTAGCAAATATTCAAATAAGACAGCAGTTGGTATATAAATTTATGTTTATTGATTTCATTCAGAATCACTTTGATTATTTTGTTGTTATGAAAGTATTTCGACAACAATTAATTATAATTTTTCGGCTTCATCGATATAGCATCCCTTCTCTTAATTTACATTTTATGGGTAACGCATTGCTTAAAAATTGCGTTTTATACTCCACTCATTTACAATTTGAACTTCGAGACCTGAATTTCTGATAGTGATTCGTCACAGAGATGCTGTTCAGCTGTTCAATAATACTTTTATTTGTTCTGCATTTTATTGGATTGATAAGCGGCAGTTTACCTAATTCATCGATACAAATTAATGACGATGAAACACGTATCCGAAATTTCCCGTTTAGCCTGCACAGATCCGCAAGTATTAATGGTACAATTTGGAGAGGTCATCTTAACGTCCATTACGCTACTCTTGAGAAATCAAATGTGGTAAGCATTTCCTGTAGGAAACTCTTTTAGGAGTTTTGAAATTTAAAAACTTGTGAGAAAAACTGGAACTAATACATAAATGAATGATGTGTCATCGCATTTCTGCAAGCAATTGCTTACGTTATTGTTATGTTACGTAGCATCAGACGTTAAGAATTTCCTCCTCTAATATAGTGCTAATAAATATTTTCTTCTATAGGCTGATCAATATTTGCTTCATATAATGCTAATCAATATTTACGTCATGTAATGCTAAACAGTATTTATTTAGAAATGGATTGTTATAAGCTGTTTGTTTAGTTAGATCTGTTACGAATCCACGTTCGCTTGCATGATGTGAATAGGTTCATTAACACCAGTAAATTGTTGTTACGAGTTACTTCTCCGATCGATGCCATATCATTTGCGTTACCAACCGGGTAAGTTCCATATTTCGTTTTTTGACTGAATCTGTTAAGCAAATCACTATACGGGTAAACATTTGTGATTGTAACATGTGGAGTTTTTATAAACCTGAATTCTGCTGAAAAGACTTTTCTAAATAAAATATGAACAATGGATTGTTATGCATTTTAAAAAATTAAGTATTTTTAAGTCTCTGAATAAAGTTAACGTCGAAGAATCCATGTTACTGCATATTTGCTGTGAAGTTCTTTTATGGTTTTATTTTTTATCTCCGTAAAGTTTTTTTTTTTTTTTTTTTTCACCAAATAATGCAAAGAAGGTAACTATATCATAAAACAAAGAAAGAGAGAGAGAGGGAGAAATAGAGAGGACGAAAAGGATGCCTTAAGAATAATTCCAAATCAAGAAGTGAATTTCATTCATTTAGCTCAATTTTTATTGGTAATAATATTTCAATTCTTTTATAAATTATCTTAAGCAATTTTTGTTTTTTATAGAAGTGGTCATTCAGAATACGTTGTGATGTTACCTGGTCTAGATGTGCATACTGCAAAACCATTCATTGACAACAGATCTATTTATTTGGTTATTTTAGTCGTAGCAAATTCAAACGATATTTTAACTTACAGCATTTCTGTCAAAATTTATGATCGTTCTCAATACAACGTTATGTACATCTTCAATTTTTTCAAAAATTTGACATTTTTTTCGACTTTTTGATTTGATTTTAGACTAGCAACTATTGGCCTTGCTGATTTTACTGAAATTTGAAAATTAAGTCCTACTGCAGAGTAAAGGTTACCTGATACAATCACATAGTTATTAAGTCTGTGCTATTTGCGTCATTGCTGTGACGAAATTGGTCTGAAGAAATTGCATACTTTGCTTTGCTCTGCATTTTAAAAAGTTATTATGTTCCCAAAATGACTTAAATATGATTCAGTTTTGTCGTAATATTTGATTTCCTTCTTGTTGCAGTTTGCGTCCATCAAAATTTAACCACTCTATTTCGAATCAAAAGGTTCTAACATTGATGCCAGCTGCATTTAGAGTTGACATTTCTGATGTTTCTATCCGAATGCTTAAGATATCTGTGATTAGTAATGATAATTCATGTGCTTGGATAATGATTCGAAACTATTCGGTAAGTTTAGAAGTTTAGATTTTCTGTTTACAGTAATTTATTAGCTTTTGATAATGTCCGTTTGACCGCTTCATTGTGCTTCAGTGGTTGAATGTAAAGATTCATTTTCAGACTTCATTTCTGCATTCAAGGATGCTTGCTATAAATTCTTCCATGCGAGTATCATTCACTCGAAAAGCATCGCTCGTACTGCTCGCCAATTCACCATTGCATGTTTTTGTAATGATGATGAATGATGACCGTGCATGCAATATATTTGCTCCTACTCGTACGTTTGCATTCTGCATTTCTTGAAAAATGTCAGCTGCTCAATGTAAATTTTAGCAGTTTATTGTAAAGCAGTGCAAATTACTGCACACGGAATCGTTTCTGCTGTTACTTTAACAGTCAGAGTGTAATCATTATTACATAGTAGCAGAATTGGTTGCTAGCAAGTAAATATCTTTACTAATACAAACAGTTTTTTTATGAAAAGAATTTGAATTTAATTTTTTTTTTTCCTTCTTAAATCTAACTACAAAGCAAAATGTTGACATAAGCTTCTAGAAATTATGAAATTAAGGAGAATATAACCACAGAAAGAAATTCGACATCAAGTTTAGTATAGTAGAATCAATTTCAATATATCCCTTGGTAACAACGACGGTGTTTTATTTGGTATTAGTTGTTGTATTCCTTAGAAGCGATCAACTTATGCCGCCTCTTCATTGCAGGTAAAAATATGCATTTAGTAATACGATTTAGCAGTTTTTTTTTTGCCCCACATACATTTCAATTTTGTAGGAATCTCAAAACAAATACCTCTTCCAGCTGCACGTAATTTTTAATTTGAGAAGATATTTTTGGTCACTGGGTAAGGTTTAGGTATTTTGATTGCTGGTTTTCAAACTCTTGTATTTATGCGTTCATTTTATTCGAAAAAAGCTAAAGAATTTTTTTTAGTCAGGGTGAAACCGATATGCCGCTGATCGTTCTATTAGATGAAAATAATTTAGAAGCATCTTCAGGTTCTACACAGCAGGTTACTTAATTGTGTTCAGCTTTCACCTGATATTTTTTGCCATTGCTTATATGCTCTTGCAAATAAAGTCGGCATTAATATAAAATGGTTATAAATAAAAAAAAATCATATTGTCTCTAGATAATAATTTCTTTGTTTTTGTAGTATTTAAATTTGTTTCATGAAATGTTTTCCAGAAAACCATACGTGTTAACAATTCACAAGGTATTCTTGTGGATATTGAAATGGATAAGGACAAGCAGCAACCTGTGAAAGGTATGCTTACAATTATTCACAAAATTTTATTGTTTCCGAATGAATATTAAAAACTTCATGATTTTACTGACTAAACTTAATAATTGCATTTGACAATTTTAATGTGTTTTACCTTTATCGTTGATTTTAATTTTGAAATTCTGACGACGTGATAAAAAAGAGTAACCGTACATCGTGTTTAGTTACCAAACCTTATAGCCTTATATAAAACCTTATATTTAATCGGATATTAAATTTGTGATATGCAGTCCGTGATTCATGCACAATTAGATTTGCTTAAATTTTTAAGACTTTTTAATTGTGTAAATTTAATAAATAGTTTTAACTCCATCTGTAATATTTTGTTTTATATTTCATAATTTTATAAATATTACTTTCAATAAAGACATAACTGAGTGGTAATTTACAGATATCGAATTGCTGAAGACTAATAAGCAACGGTCCGTTAGTACTGATACAAATGAAATTGTTGTGCAAAGCTTTGAGGTGAATTTTCTCGCAACTACTCACATTATGAATTATTGAAAGAAATGAAATGGGTATGAAGGAAATAGTAGGAATAGATTTTCTTTTCTTTCACCTTTTAATATGCGTAATATTTTTTTACTGTATATTTCAGTCGAATTGGAAGCATTACATTACTTATTTTGCTTGGTTGCTAATTATACTTCAATATTTTCATACATTATTATTGGTAAGTTTAGTAACCGTACATCTGTTTAGTTACCAAGCCTTATAGCGAACACATTTACTGAATATTTAATCGGATATTAAATTTGTGAAATTCAGTTTGTGATTCGTGCATAATTAGATTTACTTAAATTTAGGGATCAAATTTTAGGATCAGTTGACATTGATGACAGATAATTTGGATGTCTGTCATTACAACATGGAATGCTCGGTTGCACTAGGACCGTTTATGACATTTAACCACATGTACAGTAATGTAGGATATTTATTATTCGGTTTTGTTTTCATCGTTTTAATCAGCCGTCGGTAGGTATATATATAGCTACTCAAGCATTGCCATTGTACGATCAAAGTTCAGTCACGAGATTGTAACATAAAGAACATCAAAATTCTGATTTTAATAATTTATCTTTCCTTTAGCACATTTTTCGTTCTCTTATATTTCGTTAGCAAATCTTAAAAGAATGGAAGCAAATCTAGGCAAGCATAACTTTCTTAGGATAATTAGCATATTTTATAATACTAAGCATAATTGCCATATTTCATAATATTATCTCCTCAACCCTTCCTTTCAATTTAATCTGTTAGTAAAACGATGAATCAATGAAATTAGATCTAAACATATCATAGTAGTTCATGTAAATATTAACTTTTTGCTGAAGTTATAAGTGCTGCAAATACCGCCTCTGTGATGGATACAATTATTGCCCGCAAGTTTTTCTTAATGTTGGTCTGATGATGTGTTTAGAGACTTTTGCTAGCGCTTTCTATCATATTTGTCCGAATCCGCGAACCTTTCACAATGGTAACTTTTTTCTTATGATTTTCCAATTTAGTTTTATTCCAGTTATTGATATATTGCTGTGCGATTTAAAGAGGATTTTTTTAAAGGATACTTTCCTGATTTCTCTTTTTTTGAGATATATGATGTAATTGATAAATCGCTTTAATGGCGTTTCAAGTTTCTGGTTTAGAACCAAAAGCTGTTTAGAAAAAAGAAGTCATGCAACCAGATATTTCCAACGATAAAGTAATCTTAACAGTCCATCAACCTACAGATACGTTATTTGTCGAAATTGCTTTGATTCTCCTAATGGTACGGTTCTATTTTGTTCGCCGTGGCGGTATTTCACTAAACGGAATCTTCTACTCAATTACATTTGCCATTGCTTTCCATTTTGCGAGTAATGTATGTTGCAATATTTTTTATGATTAATAAAAAAACATGAGAATTCAGTATTCTGTAATCTTTTTTGTTCTCTTTTTGTGTTCCCTTTGCATTCTGAAAATTTTTGTGTGAGTTTTGATACTCTTACGGCTCCATCTTTATCATCATGTATATCAAAAACAATTTATTTACTTAATGAAATTTGTAGTATCAAAACTTACACAAAAATATGGTTTGTTTATGAAAGATATTGTTTACCTTCCAAAACAATTGTTTCTTGCTGGAAAATGTGTAGAACCGTGAAGATTCTAATGATTTCTTTATGTTGTAAGAAATAAAAAAGTAATTGAATTCAAAATACCACTTCACTTGGATTTCACCGATACAATTACAATTCATTTGCTATTTCAGGCCCTAACATTAGCGATTATTCTCACATCAGGATTGCTATTGCTTATCGCTTTCCAGTATCATTTATTTCTTAGCAGTCAATCGTCTACTGGTACTTTTGCTATTTTGTGATGTAGGCTTGATTGGTCCACTATTTTATGTTCCATACAAATTTTCCATTTCTTTCATTCAAATTAAAATTTATTGTTAGAATCTACTCCATCTCGAGACTGCAGGAAATGGTTGCAGTATTCTTGGCAATTGCTCATAAGAAATGGAATGGACAAAACTTTGAAATTGAAGAAGTAGGCCTGTTCATTGCTAATTTTCTAATTAACTTGCATAGATTAGGACTACACATCTTTTATCACATCAGTTATAATTATTTCTAATTATACTTCAGTTAAATTGAAATTGTTGGACATCTCTTATCACAAATTTACTACGAAGTAAGCCTAATACTATAGATATATTGCATTGAATGACGATATTCTTCATGATTTTTCCTGAAAATAATAGAGATATATATCAACTATCAGAAATCTTGTTGCAGAATATTGTTGGTTTGCAGTATTGCATGTAATATCGCACTAGTGTTATTGTTCGAGACAGGTATACTGCAAACATTACACATCACATTGTATATTATAATGCTTAATACTGCTGGCTATTTTATTTATTACATTTCCTGTAAGGTCAGATTCGATTTTGATAATAATTTCTGTTGAATCTTTTGCTCTCTCTCTCTTTCTCTGTGCTTCTTTTGATCTTTCTGCTCCAGAATTTAGCAGATTTTCGACTTAAAATATTTCTAAAAAAAATAAGCGTGAATGCAAATATTTCCTTTTCTCTATGATTTATTAGCTATTAGTTTATGATCGTTCTCCTTTCGGTATCATAAATCCGTAAGAGTTTTTCAGTGGTTATATAACGTGCCCTTTCGTGGTGACCTTGATTCTGATCCTGTATTAACTCTAAAGCTTTAAGAATATATTTCGTTAGGCCTTCTAGATTGTTCACAGCTGACATATTACTATTTCATTAATGGCTGAAATATAAGAAATGTTTGTGCTGGAAAGATAAAGATAACAGTGAGGGGGACTATGAGAAATAAGCAAATAAAAGTCAGGTAATCCATTACTTTTCTATAAAATCATGCATATCGCATGGCTTTCTTATGGCTGCTCATAGTTTTACCGTAGTTCTAAATTCCTTGAGTCCACCGGATTAAAGATTTTGAAAATGATACTGTGCTTGTAATCAGTGAACTGAACAGATGGATAGATTTATCGAGCTCATTGAATAGGAATTTATCCGGGTCTAGTATTTTGAATATTCTGAGATGCTAGCTCATCTAATATAGCTATGGAAGAAAAAATGGGGTACAATAAATGTAAATTGGAAAAAGCCTAATTGCTTTCTCCAAAAAGATAAAGAATGAGTTGCTTCTCCTAGTTAGTATTGCCACCAACCTTAAGTATTCCAAATTTTTGAATTACTAGAGAATGAAAGTACAAATTATTTTCGGGAGCAAAAGATTGAAAAAATTTGCCAGTGAGAAACTGATTATTCAAGTTGTCGTTTGGATCAGGTTTTTGCCACTGTAAAATTTTATTAGTAGTCAAGTGAATCATTTGACTTGCTGAAGTTCTTTGGTATGTGAAGACGATCATCAAATCATTGTCTCATTATTTGGCAAGTTTTTTCCACAAGAAGTTGTCCACTATTCCGTTTCCAACAATAATATTAAAAAATTCGTATTATAAATTTATTGTTTGTTACCAACTATTTTCAGATTATTAATGGTGAAACAATCCTTAAATATGGTCTTGTTTATGCTATTACTTCGTTTCTGCTTTGGATTGCTGCATTTTATTTCTTCAATCATAGCAAGAACGATTGGACTGTAAGTGAACACTCAACTACAACTAAATGTCATAACAACAAGAAATGATTTAAAGGGAAGGAGTTGTATTAAATAATTAAGATAATTGCACAATAACTTATAAGTATACTTATAATATTCGTTTGCATTAATTCAGAAAAACTATCCAAAAACTTAGAAAGGAAGAGAAATGACTGCGCAGTTTCTTTTCTCTGTGTCTTCATTGTTTTATCATGAAGCTTCTCCTACAATGATTTCACTTCAATTTATAAATTTCTGGAATTTAGCTAACAGCAGCACAAAATCGAGCAATTGCTGAAGAGGAATGCAAAGTGTTCCAATACTTTGACTCTCACGATATTTGGCACTTTATTTCTTCTCTGGCATCGTTCTTTTCATTACTTACGATTGTCGTCCTTGATGATGATATAATGATTTCCAAATCCGATTTTGGTCGACGATTGATTTCTGCCTTCTGAATTTCTTCCTGATTGCATACTCCTTTCCTATTTTTGTGCATCTCCATACCTTTACTCTGTTAACACTGATTTTCAGCTCTTTTATTCCATACTTTTTCCTCTGCATTATTTCTACTTCATTTATTGTTGTTCCGGTCAAGTAAAGTTTATCTTCACGTATTATAATTCTCTGAAAGTTGAAAGCGTTGATCTGATTTACAATTTATAACTGATTACTAATTACTGTAAATAAGAACTAACAGATGTATATGAAGACGTATATTATAGATGTATATGAAATTTTGTCGTAACGCAAGAAGTGGTCAGTTAAAAGATGTGATCTCACTTATCATTTACATTGAGAAGAATTTTAATCACAGTTTAGTTTACATACAGATATGTTAACAAAGATACATTAAACGTTGTGACGTTATTGTTACACTGCTGATTTCAAACAACGCTTCCTAAATTTCGAAGCAAGTGGTAAAATAATTTCAGCTACGGCGAATAAATTATTCAATTTATTCAATGGGAAATTACTTGTTCACTCCCTCGATTGCATTTAACTGCTTCGATTACTGCTCTTAATTCTTATCATAAAGTCCTGAGATGAATAAACGGAACTTCTTTCGCAACTATAGTAGGATCTCTCGGCTGCTATGCATATATTTGTCACTGAATAACTGTTCGCTTTCTACTTTTATTGCTTTTTTTTCCGCTTAATGGCAATAATAAAAGATTCATATTTTTTTCTGATAGAAAAATGAGAATCACAACAGCCTGTCATTAACTGTACGTAAAACCTGTATTGAGTGCAGAAGCAGAAATATAAGAGTGGAGATGAAGCATTAAATATTACGTTGAAGTGTTGCTTTTATAAATAATTATAGGTCGTGGAAGGAGGAGAGAGAAATGCAAAGAACTAGCCGGAATTCATCTCCCTGGAAAATTGCATTGACCTTCTTTCTCAAATGGATATAAATTGAGATGCGGACGTCTCAGCAAGCACCCAACACTGTTCAAAAGCTTCTTTCTTCCTCTTCTCTCAAATATTATTTTCCTCTGATCCCCCGAAAGGAACGAAAATGTTCGATTCGACCACTTTCGCATTGTGCTGCATTATTCAATTGCAGTATGCACAATCCTCCGAATGGTTTCATCATGAACCTGCTCCTGAATGGGATCTTGGTAGGTCAGCTAACAATTCCTTATTAGAGTTTATTGAGTGATGTGAGCTAGACTGAGCATTTCATTTCAATAGGACATATCATAATCTGGGAAACCTACTAATTAACCACTTCAAGGATGAACTGCTGTAGAATTGAAAATCTACTGTTCCGATTTATTTTCAGTGCATCATTCAACTATAATTTCAATAATATAGAATTACATCCGCATAGTTCGAAAAGTTGTCGAATTTTAGGACAGCATTGGGATAAAGATGGCACTGCTTGGAGTGGTTTCAGCGGATCAAAGGGTGGAAAAGCTGGCGCAAATGAGTACGGCGATAAAAGACATGAATATGGTGACAGAGATCATGCCGGTTTCGCATATGGTAGCAAGGGCGCTGCGGACGGATTTTCCGAATTTGCAAAACATATTGCCGATGGACATGTTGCTGATGCACTGGAAGCTGGAGAACACGCACTTTCTGGTGAGGAATCTTGTTTTTTTAATTGTGGACTTTTGTCTCGAATAGTGAACTAAAAGCGTTACAGTTGATGTCCTGTTGTCAAAAATTCTCTATAAACATTCTTTCTCTCATTTAAGGAGCCGAAGGACACAAAAAATACTCATATTTCACACAAGGATCAGGACCACATGGATTTTACTCCAAAGGATATTGGGGAACTAACGGTGAGTTTTGCACTTAGACGACATAAAAATTTCAATTTAAATTCTTTTGCTCGAAAAGTTTGGTAACTTATTTTAAAAAAAACTAAGCACACAGCTCACTTTTGTGTTTTTTTTTTTCCCGTTTAAATTTCCTTTATGTTTTGTTTTTAGGTAATAACACAAATAATATTTTAATTTCACACTGAAAGTGCCTTTTAGGTTATGATCACGAAGCAGAGAAAGAAGCCCATGTAAAAGACGCTAACCATGGTGGTTTCAAGGAAGGTTATGAACATGCAGACGCTGATCACGGCTTGGCGCATTCTGCTTGGGATAAAGTCGCACGTAGCAAAAGTAGTAATGGGCATGGTCACAATCATGGTGCCTGGAAGCAAGGTGTCAAGGAATGGGGCAATAGTGAACACGAAGATGGATGGAAAGATTCTAGTAATGAGCATCTCCATAATTTCCATCATGGCGGGAATTGGGATTAATCCAGAAGAAACCTTGATATAAAATTTTAGACCTTTTATTAACTTTAATTTGGACATAGTCTCGTTTAAATTTCCTTTATGTTTTGTTTTGTTAGATATACAAATATATTGCTACAATCAAAGAAATTATAAAAGCATTCAATAGTATTCAATATGCTTCATGAAAGTAAGATACGCTTTTATCATATCATACGTCCTTATACGTAACGGACAACGTGAACGTACGTACGTACGTAACGTGAGTACTAAATAAGCAACCGAAATAAAGAGAAATTCAGATGGGTGATAGAGAAGCCCGCAACTTTCCAATTTCAGGTTTAGGATACCATTTATTGTGCCACGGATCTAATAATAAAGTAAAAAAGTGATGTGAGAACACAACTATCAAATTAATGTTTTTCTTCAAATTCACTAAATTTTATGCGAACTCAATTAAAAGTTGTCATTCTAAGGAAATTGAAGAACTTCATTCCACGAGTTACCAAACAAGTGTAATTAATACTCCCGAGAAAACTGCAATCTCCTTGGGAGCTCTTTGCGGTGTGGTTAACCTTATGGGCCGTGATCTGTCGCTAATTTCATAAAAGTGGCATTTAAAGAGGACGCATTGTTGGCATTTGGCAAGTTGGTCCAGTTTCTTAGCTTGCGCTAATTCCGTTCCGTTGGGAGCTTAGGTTGGGCTCAACTTCTTCGTTGCTGTCATTTCTTTTAAGAAGTTTAGTATTTTTTTTTTTTGTGGTATTTTAAGTTGGGAAATATATTGTGATTTGTGATAGCAGTTTAACTAATGACCTGGAGTCTTAAATGAGTCATTTGTTGAAAGAATGGAAAAAGAAGGTATGATTAGCGGCATTGTTGATGTGGTTAAAGGAGCTGGTTAAAAAATATGTGATTCATTGAATTTTAAAGAACGTTGAGCCATTTAATTCTGTCTTAAAGCGCGATTTGTTTATGACCAATAAAGTTGTTCATGTTGAGGAGGATGTTACTGAAATGATTGGCATCGAGAATTGCAAAATGATGTCAATAAACATGACATTATCATTGATAATATTAGTTGGGATGCGATTATGCCTAGGAACAGGTCCGAATACATGGATAGATGTGTCGTTTCGCATTAACAAGCTGAATTTTATTTGGTCTAAAGCCATACATCATCTTAGTGACAAGGCATTAATCAAACGTTTGAAGGTAATGATAGGAGATGAAGAACTTCTTGCTGAAATTTTGCCAAGTCTGAAATTTTTTATTTGGTTTGTCTGAAGATTGAATTGTATTTTTACTTCATTTTTGTCATTTTTAGGATGAATTGGACAACTTTGACTCGCTTTATTTGTCTGCGAAAGCAGCGAGTATAAAAAATGAGAAATTAGTTCTGGAAGAGGTGGATAATAAGCTTGTACAACTTCTTGAGAAGTATGGTTTGGGATCAGCAGTGACTGCTTATATGAAGGTATGTAGAGTACCTTAAAGCATTTCTCTTGGAAGGCATATGCACTCTTAAAGTGTGTATCTTGTGCATCATGCCTATTTAAATTTTTTATTTTTCCTATCTAAATTTTTATATTTTTTTATCTTTTGTGATATATTAAGATCTCCAGATAGAAATCGTTTCTGTTATTCTCAAAGCTTAAACTTAAAAATTTTCGAATTGATGCAACAGTTGAAGGAAAATTTACATTGTATTTTAGAAATACAAGTGGCGAGACGAAGAAGAAGAAAACAGTATTCTTTCTTCAGAGAAATTTAAAGATCCAAAACTACAAAAACTTTGGCATGCTGCGCAGAATTCGCGTTTTTCTAAAAATGAACAGAAAAGTAAAGTTCCTTGTTTGTGCGTTTATGTGCATTTGTTTGTTTGTGCAGAAGAAATATTGATCGGAGTAGTGACACTGGGGATTTTAGGTGTTTAAAGTTGACTATTCATTTGAATTTATGGTATTTTGCAGTTTTTAACTATTTTCATAGCTAATGTATGTGAATAAATTGTTTCAGTTGTTCATAAGGAATTGAGAGATCATGAACGAAAGATGGCATTGTATGAGGAGAAAGTGCAGCTGTTCAACGAGCTCAATGATAATACTTTAACTGAAAATTCTTTCGAAATGAGTGATAAGTTGAATCGTGAACTGAAAGTCCATCATAATAACATTATAAATTCGTATGATAAATTGCATCAAAAAATTTTACAAGTATCGCGGAAAGTATTCAATAATGAAAAAGTGGAGAATTTGTGGCATTTGGTTAGTTATTTTCTTGCGTTTTTCTATTTTCATACATTGATCCTTTCAGTTTTTATATTGCTCAAGATTTATTGGTGATAACTGCTATTTTAAAAAATATAGTCCACTTTGAGGCGACAAATTTTTTCTCATGTTTTATTGCTTCTTTCAATGTATGTTATCTCCATATCTGTAACAGCAAAAAATGTGGTTAGTAGAATTAGCAAAAAAAGAAAAGTTACCTCTAACACGTTGCCCTAATAAGGAACAAACTGAGAAACAAGGATTATATAGCAGTAACACTTATTCAAAATCTTCATTAATTTTTTTTCCTAACTTTAAAGTTTCATTATCACAAGTTCTTGTGAATTCATAATAACGATTCTTTAGTTTAGGCAACGCAGAATCCGAACTTCACTATGTCAGAATTGGAATCAATACGAGTAGAACTGAACCATTTTGATAAACGTCTTGAGAAGATGAAGTATCACGATGAAGAACTTAAGGCTGTGAAGAAAGAGCAGGAGAAATTGGGCAAGCTTAATGTATTCGATGAAGATATCAGTGGTTTAGAGGAAGAAAATAAACGTTTGCTACGTAAACTTAGGAAATTGGAAAATTATTTGGAAACAAAAATTGTTCATACAGAATTGTAAGTAGGTTGTTTCTCGCATTTATACTGTTATTGTTCGTAAACATTTCGATAACGGCTTCAATGGTGAGCTGCTAACCTAGTAGGAAGCACTTTTAACTGAAAGAAATATGTCTAGGATGGAAAGTCCTTGGTATATAGGACCGTATCCAAATAGCGTTCGTGATTTAGTTGACTTGTTTACATACATCTCAGTATGCTTATTCTATATTAGTAATTGAATCTTGTTCGTCACATGTCTTCAACTTTTAAGAGTCCTACGTTAAGCTTACCCCTTTTTTATGTGTATGACGGTGCTGATGTTTACTTCAAGTGAGCTGGATTACAACATAATTGTAAAGTGTCTTTGTAAGTTTCATACATTACTAGCGAATTATGGAGCGAGATTGTTAGAAAGTAAATTTTGTAATAAAATATACAGAATATAGATGCTATGTTCAGTAAATAAAACTTCAAAAGTTTTAATTTCTGCTTTGAGCATAAATATAATGAGCAATTTACAAGAAATTTTTCCACTGTAAAAAAACACATCAATGTTCATGTTTTTGTCAGTGAACAACGTCGAAGTATAAAATTTTTGGCCAGAATACACGGTTCATCATCATTGTATACAAGTAACAAAAGATAAAAAATATATGATAGAATAAGAATGAATTCAAAAAGTAGTAGAAACTAGACGTGATTTTGTAGATTTAACAAGCAGGGTAGCTGTATCACTTTGCAATATTTATTTTTTTTTGAGAAGGTAATGTTAATTTTTTCTTTAGTCCGAGGTGTTTAAAATTTAAATATTACAAGCTTTAGAAACACTAAGTTTTTCTCCATTTTTTTACTGGATTTTTCTTGTTCTTCAAAAATACAAGACTGGAAAAATACAGAAAACCTAGTTTATTACTAGCACAATAATCATTAAATACTGATGTTCATATTATTTTAAGTTTTGCTAACCAACAGTAATCCATCCTTGATCATTGATTGATTGCTGACTTCCTGGGCCATTATTCTGTAAAAAAAATAAGCAACTGGATTGTTATTAAGCTTTAAGTTTGAAATTTGATGACGGATCCGATAATAACAGACTTGATGAAAACCTGACTAAAGACACTTACTAGAATTATAAAACAAGCTTAATTATAATTCCGTGTCATTATATCAAGCGAAAATCATTCTTTTGAAAAAAATCAGTTATCACAGTTAATTTTATTTACTTTTTGGTGATGGCTTCGATCCTAATTATTATAATTGTAATAATATAGGAAAAAAAAAACTTCCAAATGCTCGGGGATAAAAACTATATTGCGAAATTGTTGAAATGCAAATGATAACAACTGATAAATACATTTTCTTAATCCTGATAGGTTATTCTGGATGAAACACATTCTAGGAAGATCAAAAGGTGACCTTCCATTTCTAACCTTTAGCTCCATGTTTCTGCGTTTGCTTAACCTCCTTTCTATCAAATAATTCTTGTCAGACAAAAATTTGTTTAATTTTGAATAATCTCAGAAGTGAATTTGCGCAGCTCAAATTCTTCATCTGCTAGAAGAAAACCCGAATGACTAATGGATAAGGAAATATTTATTTTTATCCTAATTTTTTTTTTCTTCCATCTCAAAGCATGTTCTGCTTAGGTTATGATATTCTACAATACCGATAACTATGGTGTTATCAGTGATAATGAATTGAATGACAAAAAATGTTTACAAAATTGTCATTTACCTGATCATTCTGCTCAGGCTTCACGTAAACAGACTGCGAGGTATAATAATTCGATTGTTTGGAAATGCTTTCATCATCTATGATCGATTGATCGTAAATACTTTTTGGTTGATTATTTTTACCGTCGATGCTCTAAAACAATTTCTGTAATTGTTCAAATATTTATTACTAATTAAAAAAACAATTATGTGCTAGAAAAGACTGAAAACAATTACTATCGGAGATTCCAATCATATATTTTCAAATTTCAATTTAAACAGTTTCTAATTCCTTCAATACCATTGTGTCATATGACTAATAATAGTGCATGCTGAACAAATATTTGGATAAAAGTGCTTGATTTTTAAACATGTTTGATGCTTAGATTTTGTAAAACTTTTCATTCTTTTCGTCTCTTTCTTTTTCTCTCCCTATTACATAAAGTTAAAATGTGTTTTATTTTTGCTCATTATTCAATTATTTAAACAGCATCAGACTAACCACTGCATTTGATACACCACTGAACATTTGACTACTGGATAATTGTGCATTATAACCAGCACTCGAATATTCCCTGTATTTAGTCGGCCAAGCGAACTGTCCAATACTTTTGTTATTGGCGAAGGCACTATTTTGTTGTCGTAAATTTCCACCTCCAAAATTTTGATAGGGTTGTAGGACTTCAGTGAAGGAGTTTCCGTGATCAAAAGACGATTTCTGATTGATTTGAACCGGATAACTTGGTGGCGGCATTGGCAATAGAGGTTTCATCCGATAATCGTTCGAAAAATCGCTATTTCTATTTTCAAATCCAGCCTGATCGTTGTTTAAGCTGTTGCTATTACTGTTTAAATTGAAATTACTATAAACGCTTGGTGACATACTTCCAGTGTAACCATTTCCCATCATTAGTTGTTGCTGCTGCTGCTGATATTTTCTATTCCCAAAAATACTTTGAGCATTTGATGGAATATTCCGTACATTTGATGCAGTATTGCTCATTTGATCCACGGCTAAGTTTGAAATTTGTTCTAGAAACATTAAAATATTTGAAATATTTAACAACTAATTTTTCCTAGTATTCTGGTTTACTTGATCCACCAATAAGTGTGCGCCTTTACTTGAACAAATCGGTAATTATATTAAGCTGCCGAAGCAAACATACATCATCAAGTACAAATTAAAATCAGTAAATGAAGCTAACGCGGTATTTCCTGCAGAGAAATCCATTTCGATTCGAAATTTTGTTGTTGATCTGTGACCGGCTGTACAATTTCATCAATAGTACTTTGTATTTCATTAAGATGATTCTCATAATTACGGCCATCATTGCTATTGATGCTCCTGTTATTGTTGCCATTATTTATATCATTCCGGCCTACAAAATTTGACATACTCTCTTCTTTCAAAATATTAAAAAATTTGCTACAATTTTGAGAATTTTAAGGACTAAAACTGAACTAAATAAAGATAAGAAAAAATTTAGGAATAAATAAATAAGTATATTTATTTATTTAAATTAAAATCGGAATCTCAACTGAATTAAATTTGAGAGATTAGCTAACCTTCGTAATAAAGTTTTTCGGAATTATACTCATTCTCTTTGTCATTATATGCTGCTGCAAAGAAGCGCCACTCCGGTACGAAAAGATAAAAGCAATTACGACGTATGATATTTAAAAATATTTCCGCTCTCAAATAATCCCTTTCAATACCGAGCTCCGGTAAACAGAAATCATAACAATCGCTACATCTCTTTCCTGAATGAAGTCTTTTTGCAAAGCTGAATCTCCAAATCTCACAATAATACTCTTCAAAATATTATTGTGAGATTTGGACAGTAACTGTTCTCATTAAATATTTGAGATCTTTAGCTTAAAACAAATTTTATCATATATATATTTTTAATATCTCAAATTTTATCATATATATTTTAAGCTCAAAAAATGCACGAACATATATATTTTAAAGCTCAAAAATCTGCAGAATTATATTTCACTATTTTCAGAATAAAATCAAAGATATACCTCTCTGATCGGATTTAGTATAATTAAGCAAGATCCACCGTACGCCATCACATTCAGGAATGGAGGGATCAAAAAGTGCCGACGAATTACCGAAATATGAACCAGGCAAGAAATTCCACACTTCTTCCCATCCATAGATTTGTTCCTTACGCTTAAAATAACAATAAAATTGAAATATGTGATTAATTTATAAAACAATTGAATAATGAAAAGTAATCAAAAGAAATTTTAAGTGAACCGAACGTCAATGAAGGAGGAAACAGACCTTAAGAGCATTTTGCGCACCAATTTCAAGAGAATACTTATCGGGCATCGTTGACACATTCATGTTCATCACAAAACAAACCAAATTTTTGTTACTGTCTTTTAGAGTTGAATCAATTATTGCTATTCTTCTCTATAATTCACTTCTGAATGTTGCATAAACACAACATTTTCAGCAATCCTTATTCATGTATATTTTACCAAGTTTAATTTTGATAGCCTACTTTGAACACCGTGAACATTATTTCCACACTGAGTAATATGAAACTTACCAGAATTTATACATTCATTTCATAGCTTAATTAATTACATTAACTTTATCATCTCGTTTTAATACTGCTTGATTTATAAATCTCACAGAAGATTAATTATAGAAACGTAATTTCAGATAATCTCAACCGATTATTCGAAAAAATCATGAAGATTATACAGATGATGCTTTAATAAACTACTGCAACAAATGCAAATTATGCAAAAGAGTACATCATCTCACGCCTCAGATTTTCCAGAAATAGGATTTAAATCTTACAAAAGTTCCACCAACTTCAAATTAGAATTGATAATTACTAGTAACTACTAATTATTCTAAAACAAGTGATTTTTCTGCCTCTTCATATCATTTATATTTTCAATAAAACCTAAAAGTTGAATGATTTTTCAAAAGTAAAATTTACCATTTTAAAATCGTATATAGCAATATAGTTGTTCTTAATTGGTAAATTCCCCAATATTTCGAATCTAACTTGACGATTATTTTGATACATTTTGATTACAGTCGAATTTCCTTGCTGGTTACGAAATATGAGAGGTGGCATCCAAGAAAAATTTCGCGACTCTTGCTGCAGAATTTAAAGATTAAATTCACATTAACGATTAGTCGTACATCAACACAAATAACTTTTATGTTGATCGGCTAAATATGTTACTACAAATTGGCTAAGTTCTAATTTACATTAATGAATTATTGTGCAAATTGCAATTCAAGTTAATCTACACACTATAAAACTTCTCGGTGACTGCTGGAAAATCTTTTCTCAGAAAAAAACTAAAACGATTTTTGTAAAAGTCATCGTATTAAATTCTAATAGCTAAATTTTCCTCCTTTATTATTAATTTTACAAGCATTTTTGTTACTCTCTATCAACAATTTTGAAGGAACAAATGATTTCAATTTATAAGTTTGATCAGAGCTTGGAATTTTGACATACTAATTACGATGTGCAAGAAAGTGTTTCCATGGAATAACCTCAGCACCCTTTTATCAAGTCAGAAGTTAAATAAAAATCAGAAATTAAGGCACAAGAACGATTTGCTTAAACATTTTTTGTTTCAACTTTTGATGCATCGATTGGCTCAGATATAACTAAGTTTGTAGTAGAATTGGAACGGAAAGATATTTCTTGTATTTTATTGGATAAACTGAAAATTAGCGCTCTATGAGAGTTTTTCGGAAGGCTTTGCTGACTCTCCAAGCATTGTTCTTAAGCAGAAGAAACAAGATTTTTTAATTAAATATTCAATATAAAGTGTAAGACAAAAATAAGTATCACAGTGATATTTTGATTCTTTCTATTTTTGTAGAGATTTAACACGTACTAGTACTTGCTCTGTGATTATAATTGGTGGGCTTGCTGATAAGATAAGAAAGTTATGTTCAAATGTGCACGTTGTAAATCCTTAATTTCACTAATCTTTTTTGTACCCATATTAGGAAAAGATCGTTTGTAACTTTTTTTCAGAAAGACATTTTCACGAAATGTTGAAAGTGATATTTCGGCTGTTCCTACAATCAGTGTTGCATTTTTATTTGTGCGACATACGATTGGTTCCTATGAATTATATGGGGTAATGTTAAAATTCTACTTGGTGAATTTTTTTACTTAATTTTACTTATATCAGATTGTTTATTTAGCATTCCTAACTCCCTTCATTTTGTTTCCGCATTCTGGGAATTTCAGATGAAGAATTTACATTTTTCTAAAATGTCTCTAAAAAAAAAAAAAAAAAAAAGAGAAAAAAAAAAAAAAACTTACCGCAAGTCCCATGCTGAGAAATGAGATGACAGCTATAATGCAGCACGCAATAAACAAAAACAATAATGTAAACACGTAAGATTTATTTTTCGGCTCTCGAAACCAGTGCTTCAATTCAATCATCCGGTCGCGTTTTGAAAAACCTGCTGGTGACCTTTCTCTTGTACCATTAAATTTACATTGTGAATCATAATTCTGAAAATTTAATTAGCAGGAAATTAATGCATATGAAATATTCAATGGAATACCGTATTCTTTTGGGATGTGAACAATATTTAGTAATGTATTTTGATTAGGTTTGGTATAATACAAAAAGACTGTTTAAAACCAAAACATCAACCAATTTCTAACAAACTATTTTTTTTTGATTTTGTTTCCATCAATTAATTTTGGATAACATTGGCAAATGGCCACTTTTTATAACATACCTGTTCAGTCAGTCTCATTAAAATTATACATTTGCAAGAGAATCCACTTTGGTTCCTAAGTATTCCACCATACCTGTGATATGAATGGTTTCAGGGATTTGAGAAACATAAATCGGAAAGGCAGGAGAAAGTGCAAATGAATAATTCAGTACCTTTCGATACGTACTTCCCAAAATGAATCGCAAAAAATCTATATATTATTTCTCGGATATTGTTCTAATTGTAAGTAACCATATTAACCGATTTCTCTGTACTAGAAGGTAGCAAAATGGAGAAACAAAAAAAGACAATTTGAATTTTAATTTTTACAAGGACTCAGTGTGATTAGAGGTAAGAAAAAATTGATATTAGAAACGAGAATAGATGAGCTCAGATGATAATACCGTGAATTGAATACTTCCATCTGTTTCGTATCATTCATGCGAAAGGATGTTACAAGTAACGTATAAAAATATGAAAAAATATAACTAAGCTAAATAATCTAGGCGTAAACATGTAAATTCTTACATAACGTAAGTCACTTATGCTTTATGAATACAAAATAAATAAACTTTACAAATTACAAAGTGTAGGTTGGTCTAAACATTTTGCGAATATTTTTATTCGTGCTCGTTCCCTTTACTTTTCACATTACTTATATCGTTCATTAATTTGCGAAGTAAACACATGCGTGGACAGATGTTTTCCTTCACTTCACTTTCTGGATGATGTTTTTCTGTAATTTTCATATTTTTACGTTATTTTTGTCTTCCTTCTTTTTCCGTTAATCAGTCATTGTCTAACATTCAAAAAGCAATATGAGAAAAAATATACGAAGATTGAGAAAACTCAACACGAATCATCATCATTATCATCACCTTTAATTCTTTATTACCAAAATTTTCTCAGCTACCTTTCTTACCTCTTTTTCCTTATCTTTAAATGAAATACGAATATTTGCAAACATTGATCCTCACTAGTGCACTAAACAAACAAAATTCCTCTTCGCTACATTAACTATACGATAAGTAAATTAGTCCGTTGTATGCGAAGAGAACATTCTGTAGGCACGGCAAACTAATTGAGTTGTGGCGAAATAAGTCAACATTCCGATTCAGATTGGAAGTGCAAGAAAGATCAAGTGGGTTTGCAAAAGTAAATAAAACAAAAGGACAGCTTAATATATTCTGTGTATTTCTTCTGCAACAAGACTTAATTACAAATAAAACAACGCAATGTCTCAAATATGAATTCTACAGATGACACTTTCATGGGCTGCAGTATGTGTGTTCTAAACCTTTGCAAAGTATTTTTTTTTTATGTTAACAATAACAAAGTGCTAGACAGAGTAATGATTATCAAAAAAGAGCTGAACAAATGAAATAAGCAGGTAGGTAACAAGTGATATAGATACATAAATAAGCTAGGTAGCTTACCTGCTCACTACTTATAGGAAACAAATGAATAAACAAAGATAAACAAAGTTGGAGACTTACAGTTAACTTCAATTTGGATATAGCAATCGGATCGCCGGTTGAATTTAACACGTAGAAGGGTGTAAAATACTTCGCATATCGTCCATTTAAATTGTACTTTTCCAGGAAGTGATAATTATTACCGTATGTATTTTCAATCCATGTGCGGTAGGGAGACATCACATTATTAGCGTTACGTGTTGGTATAACTGTCGTTGCTACAGCTGATGCACACAATGATTCTATAGAATGTGGTACATCTTTTCCGTACAAATTTTCATTATTTTCGATTAAATTTATCCAAGAATTACGTCGTTTGATAGAACATGTCGTTGCTGGGACGCTGGATGATTCTGTACTACTGAGTGTAGCGCTGTCATCAGCATTCGTTGAAGAACGATAAGAAGGTGGTGGACCTCCTTAAAAAGAAATTTAAGAAAGGATTTTCAAATTGTTTAGTGCTCATAATTCCTTTTTTACTTCCTAATTATTTTTGAGTGAAGTAAATTAGTTTACGATTAAGAAAAAATTTTTTTAAGTTCAAGGATAGTTTTTTTTTTTTTGTAATTTACGCTTCAGTTTACAAAATGTTAAAAAAACTATGAGAGTGATTATAATTGTAAGGTGAATTATGATAGTTGAAAAGACTAAAAAAGAAAGAAAAATAATCTGGAGTGATTGCTTTCGATTATTTCGTAGAGCTTTATATAAAAAAAGATGGGTCAAAAAAAAGACAGGAAGTAGCGATTTTTTAAAAAAATGATATTCCTTTGCCAAAACCATATGTCCAACTATTAAATGAATTAAAAGCCATGAGTACTTCAGTCTACAAATTTCAGATTCCACTAATTATCAATAAGCTAACAATGCTTGAATGTCATCCTGATAAAACCGTATGTCCAAAAGAAGTTCCTCGTCTCTTTCTCCTCCACCATGTCAACCTACATTCCGTTGTGACATTGTCATATTATTCGTTAAATACCATTGCTGCTTATGCAGTAGCAAAAATCGATAATAAACGTCTAAATAATTTGGAATGAGAACGGTTTTATCTTGAAAAAATCTGAAATTACCTGTGAAGAAAGAGGATGAATTACCGGCTGATCGAAGTTCAGCATTAAGTTGTTGAAAATGAGTCTTTGATCGTCCGATTTGCATAAATTTCTGAACAAATTTCATGACACCGCAGCATTATGCATGATCAGAGAACGATTGAAGACGCACATGTGTAAATGGCCTATAGCTGTATCATTTCCCAAAAAGGAACAATATTGTTGATGATCATGTGAACAGAAGGAAGAACCGGTTCCTTGAGGAGTGTGACACGGGTTATGCGCGTGCGGGGGAGATTTCCATATAGAATGACGGGAAGACGGGAAGGTCAGGAAGGATAATAAAAAGTGGAAGAAGGAAAGAAATAAAGGAACTTGAAAGAAGAAAAGAGTTGATGAAGGACATTGAAGATCAGCATTTCGGTTGATTAGAGGAATGACCTTCCCTGATTTGAGACATTTCTCTCAAGAGTATGCTCAGAATATAAACATTTCTCTTCTCCCTCATTTATAATGAATATACTGTTACAGATAACTTATGTTAAACCCGTAACAAGTGACCGAAACTTTAACAGCGTACCCTAATCACCTTAGAATGACCTTAATCTCTCATTTCTGTGATGACAAAAATAATGAAACAACTTCTATTCCTTTGTTTATCATACGATACTGTTAAACATATCTATTGATATATGATGGGAAGTAGCGCTTATTAAAAGAAAAAAAAAATTTCATCTAAATTTAAACACTTGATAAATTTAGATGAAAATTTAAAACTGAAAGCATAACACCTTAATTTTTTAAGCTTCAAAACAAAATAAAATTAATGATGCTTAAAAGCTAAAAAAAAATAGAAATAGTTTTTCTTTCTTCATTTTCCACTTCTACCTTTATATTGTTTTAAAGTCTTCAAAGAAAATTAAGAACTCTTTTCTTTCCTAAATCAGTTTACACATCTTACAAGCCGGAAGTAAAAGCTGTCTATTCGTCGCTTCTAGTTCAACATGAGAACTACTCAAATACAAAATAAATTATGTTAGATTTACTGCACCTTTTTGATTACAGCAACTCACTCTTTCTCGTATCGAAAAAAAATACTTGTAAACCTTTTTTTTTTTTTCATATCTGAATACTTCGGACACTAAATTGACCTTCTATCAATTGAAATAAGCATTGGATTGCTAGGCAACATGCTGGAACATAATGACCATATGAATATTTGAGAAAAAAAATGTGAAAATAAATTTAGGATAGATTAATTGCAGTTTTCTGAAGTGTTAAGGTGTGCAATTAAGTTCCATTCCGAAATTATTTCAACCTGGCATCAAGAATTCAATATGGGCAATTTTTCACATGGACAATCCCATCCAAAATTTGCACACACTTTCTAATTTAATTCCTTTCCACCTCTCTGAAATAGCTATTACGTGTGTCGCTAATCTGATTGTAATCAGCTTGCATTAATTTTTTTCAGCAGTTAATTCCAATACTAAAATCGAGTCTAGTGTTATCTATTTGATTATTAACCAGTATTTTAATTCATTTACGATGAGTCCAACCAAGTCACTGTCAAAAATGATTGATAATGACTACCGGAAAGCTTTTGTAGATCTTAATGGAACTGAACAAGTTCCTTTGCAATTTCGTCAATCTGCAATAGAAATATCGAATTAAATCCTGTTAAATTGAACAAAACTGAGTTAAATTCAAGTTGACTAAATACTAAGTGAAATTTGCTAAATACATTTGCATAAGAGAAGCCAAATTGGTTTAAAAATGAATTGTTTAAGGCAATAACGCTGTATCTAAAGCTTAATTGCTGTAGAAAGGAGATGCATAAAATGAGCAAGTAAATGAATATAATTTCAGTTAATGTTTAGTTTGACTAGCATAGACTGATGACAATACGGTTTGTCAACAAATCAGAATAAGTTGAAATATGATTTCTTTGATGAAATAGTGTTGAACCTATATCATTCTTATCAGCAATATAAACAGCTAACATTTTGCTCACCCTAATATTTCACCTGTAGCTTGCAAAAGATATATGTTTTCCTTTTGATTATCCAGGTGCGTATCACACCAAGGAAGCAGAGAGAGTTTAATATGATCATTTTATGATACTCCTTAATCTTCAAAAAATTTTTGCTGGATTTTCAAATGAATGGTTAGCAAATCGATGATTTATGTTCGTAAGATTTAGGTAATGGAAAATAATGAAGAGAAATTTTTAATTGACATATTTTTGAAATTTAACTGGATGATTGGAAATTCTGAATGTTCAAGGCAATCAATAAGTGCCCAGATGCAATACAACAGAAAACTTTTGATATAACTATGAAAACCAAACATTGATTCATTATCAGTAAGGAAAGACAACGTTTTTTTGATGAATGAATTTCTCTTGCTCTCCTCACTTTCCACTTGTATTACCGCTAAAAACTGAAAGATCTTTGAAATGCCTCTTATTTTTAGAACTATTTTAATTTTTGCTTGTGAAAAAGGATAATCCTCTATTCTTGACGTTAGCTGTTTATACACAAGTGATTGTATTATTACATGTCCTCGGACATAAAATTATCTTAGACCCAATACTTTGATCTTATCAACACTTCAGTCGTGAGCTTTAATCCCTACTTCCGACAAGATATTCGAGCTATTATAACAATCGCATAACTCTCATAATAATAATCTCTTCTCGTAATGATAAGATTACGAACATAAAAAGCTTGCATAATATAGCCGTGGAATTTATCTTTTATCTGATCCATTTACAAAACATTATACACCAAAAATAATAATATCAAAAAACTTTGAAAGTTCTGAATGCATCGAAATAGGATGAGAAAATCGCAACTGACTGAAAACATTGTTCTGAAATAAAGAATTAAAATTTAAAAGGAAAATGAATTGATAAAATTGCAGTTTTATCACGATTAGTAAGAATGATTTCCGAGAGGTTTATTACATAGAAAACCGGACTGGATTAATTTCACCACTTGAAGGTATAATTAAAATAACAAATCATTGATTGAAAACATTTCAGCCAAATTATGTCTGCCTTCTTCACTAACTGTTAAGCATATTTACTGCTGCTTTTTTTTTTTTTTTTTTTTTTTTTTTGGTACAATTAAGTATTGGTCAATAAAGTTTAGAGTTTGAAGTAAGAAATCTCAAAATTCCTTTGTATCAATTAACTTCATTCTTCTGTTTTCTGTGTGAGTTTTCTCGGCTCCTTTTGCTCCTTTCTCAGATTCGATGGACACTTGTCCAGTTTGATTTATCTCTAAGCAGACGATCTACTATTATTTTAAGAAATATTTATGTTGTTTCTTTTTTTTTTTTCAAAAAACTTGTTAGATGTTTAATTAGTTTCTTATCTGAAATTATGCAGAGACAGAATAGCCCAATTTACCTGGCTACTACTGAAATACTTCCCTTTTAGCTTGAACAATTCAGAATGGAGAAATTACTAACATATGAACATTCGATAGCAAAAATGAAATCTTTTACAGCACGCTGACAAGAATGGAAAATGATAAAAGCAGAAAGATACGCTTGAATAAAAGCCTTCAATTTGCAACATTTTACTGTCTTGGAACATTTGTAATTCAACAAATCCCTTGCAAATCATTCTCACGTAATGTCAAGAAATACGATGACATACCGGAGAGTTTCAGATGACATGAAGAGAAAGTCCAGGTGGTCGCCTTGTGACCATAGGTTTGTGGTCGAGTTGCCTACATAAAAACGAAATGCACACTGTTGACTGTGAGTATGAAATGATGGTTTGTAGATAATTTTGGGAGGGAGAATTTTCAGGTTGAGAATGGATCGATGATAAAATGTTAGCGATGAATTGACAGTTATGATGACTCAGAATTATTCCTTTGTTTTATTTTTAATCTACTCCTAACTTTCTCTAATGATAGCTGTCATTATTGGATTCGTTGTGATTTATGTTAGTTTTTTTAAATCAAACGTTTCAGTAATTCTTTAGTATATTTGTTATCAATACAGATTGCATAGTAGAAGCATTAAGTTAAATACCAAAGGATATTGGTGTTGGCATTATGATTGCTATTTTTACGAATTGAAATTTTATTTTTAGCTCCTATATCATTCCGCTTTTTTATGACTCATTTATTTATTTATTGCTTTTTTGCTAAACTAAGGCATGAAAACTCAACGAGACTTTCTCTTGAGAATAACTGTCAGATAAATGACATTAGAGACTTAATTCTCGGTTTATATTATTACTCTGAAAATTATAACGGAATTAAATAGTTTAAGTATTGATGAATGATTGGTTTATTAATATTGCAATTTTTGTTATTCATACAGATATGGAAATGAACTTTCATACCAATGAAGGAGTTCGCTTTCGGAAAGTGAAGGCAAATATTGGTATTGATGATGAGTGTAGTGAATTAGAGGAGTCAGATGTTGTTGATCGATTCAAGGAAGAGACGCAAGGAGGAAGTCAGGATATATCAGCATCTCCTTGCGAAGAACATGGTGATAGGGAATGGTTGTACGTGCCAAGTTTTTGGGACTATATAAAGGGTGAACTTACGAGGTTAATTTTAATCTTTCATCTGAAGTTTATTTCAAAATAGAAGTAGAAAAGAAATAATTCCTGAATTTAATCATGTTAAGAGCTTAGTTTTTCCTGATATCCAGATTACCGCACTGTTATAAATTAACTTAGTCAAATTTTCATGCAGATCTTTTGAAGGGGATATTCGCTTGATAACGATGAATTACGATATACGGAAAAACAGAAGAAAATAAGTGCATTTTTGAGGATACCAATTGAATTAGAGAAATTTTTATTTTATGGTACATTGCAATGTTTGGAGGCTTTTTGTCATTTATCTACATTTCTACCAATTCGGTTATTGGTAAGACTTTTTTCGGACGATTTCTAAAACGCAGTATTATTTTTACATCTTATCGTGATCGATTTAGCAGTAAATATGTTTAGATAATTGGATAAAATCGGAAAGTGTTACATATTGCTTGCAAGATTTATAGATGGGGGTTAATACTTCACTGTGTTGGAAAAAAAGAGATTGGAATTGAAGCTGAGTTTGTTATTATGTCCAGGATGTCTGAAGTATGAAATAGATGGTTAATTCAAAATTAATCATTTTCAATTGCAGACATCTGTCGTCGGTTTGTTATTATGGTCAAGGAAATGGACCGCATCTAATACTTGTGATTTTTTGAAAGCTTTCATTGTGACAGTTTGTTCATGTCTCATGACTTTGATTGACACATCAGTAATGTATCACCAGGTTTTCTTATATTTTCCTTTTGTAAATTCCTCAACAAAATTTTAATTGTTTGGAAGCTGTATTTCAGATTTTATCGAGATCGTACATTCTGTACTTTTTTCATTCCTTTTTAATTTATTAAATCTGATTACATTAAAAAAAACAATAGTTTGTTATCTTCCTGTTAACTGCATTTCATTGATTTTTTCTTTTACATTGCTACACTGTCTTTGTTCTCATTTTATTTTTGAATTTAATAACTGATAAATCATTGTAGAAAGTATCGTTAGCTGGTTCTCTTCCAAAACTTAATTTCAGGTTCGGGGACAAGGTGTAATTAAACTTTATATTTTTTACAATATGCTTGAAGTAGCCGACAAGTTATTTAGTAGTTTCGGTCAGGTATGTGCTTTCTTTCCCTTTTCGTTCACTTGGCATTTCATTGAGAGTGCTGAACACTTTTAACTTGATTTAAAGTTATAAATTGTAGGATATTTTTGACGCCTTATTTTGGTCAAGTACACATTCGTCATCAAGTTATGTGCGAATGTTTGTGCACCTATTTATTGCAATCATTTATACTTGGTTACATACAATACTCGTCTTATTACAGGTACATTTAGTATGAAAAATATTTGTTAGATTAGTAGAAAAAAAAATTTCTATGGTATTATTTTAAGTTGCTTTAACTGTAAGCTATAGGCCCCTTCATAATGCCATTCATACAAAATATGACTTTAGCAAAATTTCAGGCCACAACTTTGAATGTTGCTTTTAATTCACATACGCAGGCACTGCTTGCTATAATGATGTCCAATAATTTTGTTGAACTGAAAGGTTCAGTCTTTAAAAAGTTCGCTAAGGCAAATCTTTTCCAGATGTCTTGCAGGTATTATAGAACTTCTGCATCTTACTCTCAGATTTTTTGATTTCCATATTTTACACTTGATATGTTTCGATAAAGTTAAAAATATTAGTTTTTTTATTAATGGAAATGTGAAAGTGTTTGGTGAGGGAGATGTTTTTCATAGTTTAAGATTTTAAAAAAACAAAATTTCCAGTGATGTTCGTGAGCGCTTTCATATCTTTACTTTATTAGCAGTTGTGGTTGTACGAAATATGATGGCCGTGAATTGGAAATTCGAGCATTTCATGGAAATGTTGCCAGATCTTGTTTGTTCGCTTTTTATTTTATATCACATTAAAAACCATGAATTTTGTATTCTGGCTTTGAAATGTTATTTTTATATTGCATCATATGGAAGTTGTATACTTCAGCTTTTTTAGGCTTTGGTGACGATTGCTGAAATAATTGTTGACTGGTTAAAACACGCCTTCATCACTAAGTTTAATGAAATACCAGCGGAGGTATATCAAGGTATGATTATTATTTTTCAGGTTAACTAAATTCTTCGTTCCATACTTCAATTATTTGAGGAGTTAGGTCGTTGTTCACCCATTTTTGCTTAAACTATTAAATAGTAGTTAAAATACAAAGGAAAAAAAGCTGGACTTCGTGAATTCAGGATTGTATTTTTGAAGTTCGTGAAAAAGAAAAAACGTTGATGAATGTTCTTTTCAGACTTTACGATAACAATTGCTTTTGATGTTGTTCGGAGCCGCGACGAGAAAGCCTTTTCAGATTATTCAGACCAAGTATCAAGACGAATGGGTTTTATACCTATTCCATTAACAATTATGCTGATACGCGTTATTACTCAAACATTTGATTTCACTATTACATCCGTGCAGCTTGTGTTTTGTAAGTTACTTGTGATTGCAAGCTTTAGTATAGATCTGTCTTATTTTAATTTCATTAATATTTTTGGATACATTTGAATTTGTTGAAAGTAATTTTATATCTTGATTCCATGTTGGAACCTCTTTTTAAATAAATAGGTTGTCTCTTAACTCTTGATATCTTGACAAAAAAAAATACCCTAAACCTATTTAGTCGCTCACTAGGCTAACTACAAACTTCTTGTTGTTAATTTGTTTTTAAAAATTAACCTTTCAATGTTAATCTCCTTGACATTCTTCAACCACATGTGTGGATTCAACTACATATGTGGACTCGTATACACACTTAAATGATGTTTGGAGCAATTTCAGGTTTCACATGGATTTTGTTATTGTCACTGAAAATAGTAAATGGTATCGTTGTGCTTGGAAAAGCATGCAGACATGTGAAGCGTTACCGTGAACTTCAAGAAAAAGCAGAATGTGAAATTTTTCGAAAAAGGGTACTGATGAGGAAAAGCAAGAGTGCTCCGAACTCACCACGGATAAGTTTGGTTGATTTTAGTGGTGAGTTATTTTGAATTTTGGCAATTCACAGATGATAGGACAATTCACTTCTTACTTTTCCTATTTAGGCCTTCAGAAGATGGTTTCATCTATTTTTAACAGAAATCTGGAAATTGGTGACAGTTTTTAAAATCAAAACCAAAAATTTTTGATTCTTTTATTACGAATTTCTTTGATTTTCTTTTTCTAATTGTATTGCAAATGAATTGCACTTATAATTATACTTTTTCAGATGTTCTTCATCAGACAGTATCAAATAAAGGTTTCACTGTGTCAGATTTAATGTCCCATTGGGATGAATTAAACCGCAGTCTGGAAACTACGCCTGTTCAAGAGCCACGAAGAACAAAGTCGTTGGCTATTTTCAAGTGATTAGTTTTATTTAACACTAAAGGATAAAAGAACTTGATAACTCATATACTTTCTTATCTTAGGCTCTGTCCCCACATAATGAGGTAGCAAATTCCGTTCTCGACTTCATTATATGGATACACAGTCATTAGGATTGCATCTCTCCCTCGCAATATTAGTCTTATTGATACGAACGGAACCGGTCAAAATATTATATGTTCTTTTTCCTGCCTCCTTTCATCTTTTTTGCTGTAAGGATCTCACTTTTTTCAATCCTGGTAGAAAAATATCATGATCACTTTTTCTTTTTCTTCTTTTGAGATAATATTACTTTTTCATGTTAATAATATTATTTTCCGTACGTTTAGAGACTTTCTTTAGTTATTTCAGATAATTTTTTTTAATTTAACACTAGAAGATAACAGTGAAGAATTTGATGATTTACGTCTTTCTTAAGTTCTTTTTCCACCTTAAAACTATTTGACTTGTGAAATTTCTTTCATCAAACAAAATTGAATATTTTTAGCGTCTTTCACCTTCAGTTTTATTTCGTCAACTTTTCCCAATTTAATTTATGAAACTCATCAAGAACAGTATTTTCCTGACGGAAAAAATAGAAGCAATAAAAACTTTCAGTTTGAAGCGGTAAATGAGATTTTCCATTTCAGAAACGGGAGCAATGTTCAAATAATTAAGGGATATTCTACTTTAATCTTTGTGTCACATTAATCTTGTTCCATCACCATCTTTTCTCTCTTCCCAATTCTCATGATGTTTCGGAAGTGACGATGAACTGTAAAGTTGGCGTAATTTCTTGAATTCTCGAACTTCAAGCTGTTCGACTTTGTTTCATAAAAAAACTGGAAGCTTGAATGCTGGAGAGAGTACTGTAGTTAACGGGCAATCGATTGATTTGTAAAGTTTCTTTTATCAAAACTAAAGCCTCATCTTAATTATCTTGTCCAACCAATAGATCTCTTTTATAGATCTCGAAGGGACAATTCACTACCATCTCATACCACTAATACTGAAAAGGACGAGAAGGAAGATGCGTCAGAAATCGCAGACCAGTCAAAGAATACTCCAAGAAAACGTACTAGAACCACAGAATGTGAGAGTCTTTCTGATGTTCAAGCATATACAATGCTCGGTAATGCAACAGAACCTATGGAGGTACTTTGATGGTATCTTTTATCTTTTATGGAAATCTAATTTTTGAATGTGAAAAAAAATTTTTACTTCTTCATTGCTTCTCAATATTTTGCTTTGAAAGCGGCGTACTTTTCTTAAACAATTTATATATTTCTAATGTGAGAAATTGAATATTACTAGAATTTATCTTGTTCTGCCTTTCAAAAATGTCACTTTCCGGTGCATGATGTTTTACAGCATCCGAATAATCACTGAGATACTCCAGCCAGTTAGTTCGAATTTTGTTAAATTTTTTAAACTTGTCCATGATAATTGTGACGCTTTTGATATTGAATATGCTTTTGTGTATCTCGTTCCATTTTCAGAAAATAAACAGTTCAGAAAAAACATAAGTCACTTGATTAAGACTGTCAAATATGAATAATTTAAGCAGAATTGTTGGAATATTTCGAGATTTCGCATTATTAGGCTTTATTCAATGTGAAACACTATGTGTGATTAATTCTTGTTTGAAAATTAGAAGTCGATATCAAGGTTTTCAGTTTTTTCCAGTGGTGTCACTTCCTTTAGTGCTTTCTTATAAGCACTCATTTCAGTATTATGCGTTGGATGATAAGCCCAGCGAAGCTGAAATTATTTATTTTGGATCAGCTTAAAATTATTAACACGATTCCAGGTTCCGGAATTTATTTCTGGAATTATAAGGCCTTAAAGATGCCAAAATTGTAGAAATTGTAAGAGTGCTGTGCAAATGCGTTAGCGTGATTTTAGTGCGCTCAAACGAAAACTACAACACATCTAAGTTAAGTAATGACGATAAATAGAAAAATATTTTTACTTTCAAAGATTTCCAAACTCCTATTTTGTGTCTCGTGAAGCTGCATTGTTTTCTGGTTGCCTTCGAGTCGCGTAAAAGGGCCGAAATATCCTTCAACCATTAATACTCGATGGACAAATCTTTTGGGTTGGTTTTATGACGTACTTTTTTATCAGTAAAGACTTCTCAATTCCTTCGTAACAGGTATTTAAGTACCTGATAATATTTCTGATCAGTTTCCGGCCATTGGTCGAATCCCTCAGGCAATGTTTCCCTTTTTTTCTTACGCCGTTTGGAACCCGATGATTTTGTATGCGATCGCTTTGTCTAGTAACTCATGTTTGTGAAAAGTATGGTTATTTGTTTCGAAATATGTTTAAAATATTCAAATTCCTAATCTCTTTAATATTACCTGTCTTTTCATGATAGTATGAAATCGCACGTTTGAGAGCCTTTAATAATTGATTTTAAAGCTCACACAAGCAAGAGGTATTATCAACATATTTGGAAGTATACCGATTCGCTTTTCTTTTCTCCTATTGTGGAAGTGTGTGTTGGTGTCGGCGATGACTGCTCGACAGGTGTTGTACTTGCAGTTTCAGCTACCTGAATCTGTCTTCTCTACTTTTAGTCAATTAGCGCGAATTTTGTTAGGTATAAATTATATTCTATTCATCACTGCTAATAGTACTGCGGATTTATTTGTGATATTTTATGCAGGATTGGAATTAATTAAATAAATGAGGGGTCTTTGTGAGGAAATTTAGGACTCTAATCATTTCTAATCATCATTTAATTAATAGGGAACCTTGGCTGCCATTTTAGCGGTCAACCGAAAAATTTAATCGTGGTTATATAAAATGAATGGATACGCAATTTTAAATCTTAAAATATGCCTTCTGATGATATCTCTCATTTTTCGGTGACATGTACCTATTTAATTTCGTTTTGCACTTATGCAAAATATGATCAGCCGACATATAAGGAAGCACCTTCAGTTGGAAAGAAATCCATGTGAAGGCAGAGAAATGAAGGGTATGATTTTTATAAAATCTGACATAAGTAAGTTGATACTTCTGAAGATAGAGCCAGGAAAGAAACGAAGAGCAGTAATGAGTAGCAAGAAATGAATTGGTGTGAAAGGGTTACTATAAGTTACTTTTTCTTAAAGAATTTCAAATTCCTGTGAGTGCCGTTAGCATTCAACGAAGGAATAGCATTGAATTAACTTTGTTACCATAGCGATGGGAAATGAGCAGTTTTGATTCAGATTCAGTCTCTTAGAATTGTTTCAGGTCTCTATAATTTCACACAAAATTTCAAAGTGGGACTTTATGTTTCCGTTTTCTCATTGAACTTAGTATGTTGCTAAAATATTAAGACAAATTTTACCCCTAATGCTAATTTATTTTAATAGCTCTTCATCATGATTTTATTAGGAGCTGACTTCGGAAAACGTTGCAATGATTCCCACGGATCCAAAACCATCATCTGAAAATAGCACAAAAGCACTGAACATATCGGTACATTCTTTTCATTGTATAGAATTTCATTTCCGTCTATTTATTGGTTTCAAAATTTGAGTGAGATACTCTCATTGATGTCTTACTTACCAATTAAAGTTTTATATTCCCAGCTTCACAAAATATTTACCGTTATTCAAGAAAAATATCGACATGCCGATAGAAGAACCAAAAGTGGTTACAAATGAAGGCTTGAAATCATTCTGGCAAAATTTGAAAAATGAGATCAGAAAGGCTCATGAAGGTGACATAGCGCTTCCGGACCTCACAAAAGACCTTTATCGACGGGAGCAGCAGGTAAAATTCATTAATGGCACAAGTTATATTTGAATATTTTTTTTAAATTCACTCCTAACATGGCGATGACCTCTCATTGTGATTGACTCATTGCAAAAGTTGAAGTGATTAAGTCATTTTTGTATTCCCTAATTTTTGTCATTATTGCAAAGCTTTCGTTTTCTTCGTGAAAATGATTATAATAAATAAACACATTGTACAGAACTTCTCGGGTCCTTTTTCTTTCTGTAAAACTATAATTTCCTCATAAATGTTCTATAGCAGAGCAATCTACTTATCTACTTCCCTATTTAGTAGATTGCATTATTTGTCATTCTTTAAACTGGACTTGAGAAAACCAGCTACACACTATAAATTTCTGTGTTATATTTGCATTGTTCGTGTTGCACATACCTAACATTTTACTTGGAAATCTAGAGAAAACCATCAAGATACGGTTCCAGTGCTATTCAAATGACGTTCTGTTCAAATTAACTTTTTTTTTTTTTAATTTTCAGTCATTACGTAACAAGCTGCACAAAATAATAAATGCTCGCAACTGTAAGGTTGCAACGACGCAAACTCCTTTATCAGGTGATATGTTGTTGGCTAATTATCCGAATCTCAAATCATCACTAACTGAAGAACAAATCATAGATCTCCTGAACAGACAAGATCCTCAACTATCAATCGATCGTATTTCGGATTTAGTTAAACAGAAGTTGGCAATTCCGAAATCTGTTGAAGCAGACATGAAATTACTTCGGAAAAACATGAAGGATGAGAAATATGCAGCCGTAAGTCATAAAAATAATAATAATAAAAAAAAAAAATGCAAACCATAGTTCCATATTTTGAAGTTTTAAGATTCGGAAAGTGAAAGAAGCGCAACATAGACATCTGGAGAAATTGAAACAAAATCATACGATACAAGTAGAAAGTATTAAGTCTCAAAATGATCGAAAAATAAGTGGATTGCAGAGTCATATAAGACGAATTGAGGTGAGTGATCTTATTTTTGTACTAACAATTTTGAATACTGAGAACGGTAGTTTATTTTAAAACATGTCAAATCATTTAACTTATACTATTTTTAGAGACCATTTTAAATCCTAATCATTTTAGGAGGAAAAAAAAATAGTGGAAGGTAAATTAGACAGCTGTGAAAGAAAATTAAGGAGCATACAGGCAAGCATCATTAAGATTGAAGCGGAAAATCGTATGCTTTATGAAGAAAACCGAACATTCAAGCAGGATTTCGTGAAACGACACGATACGAATCAAAACCTTCATGTAACTGATGACCTTAACCTTCTTTTGATAACATTGTTAGATTGGATTTCTTCTGCTATTTTTTTCACAATATTGTTATTAACCGCAATCCTCACGTCAGAGTTAATCTAAATGGACGACGATTTCATACTTTTCAACATCATACTACTAAATTTTCTACTTCCAGAAGAGCGTATTACTTATCAGTAAGCTTAAGGATAAACTTAGAAAGTCCGCAGAAACACAAGAATTGATTCTGCAACAATTTCGCCTTTTAGAAATTGAACGTGATGAACTTGTCGAAGCGATTTATAATGGAATACGCGATGTGAGTCATCCACTAAAAATTTTCTGTTGAAGATTTTCTCAAGAAGCAAAGCAAATTCCCGAATTAGTGTTGTACTCAACATTAATAATTTAGGTGGAAGAAGTAAATCATATGGGCAACAGAATCCTGGCATATGAAATTACAAAAACAGAGGATCAAGTTGGAGAATAAAAGTACGCTTACTGGAAACTACGTTTTAAAAGAAAACTGAATATAAGTTCGTGCCATTAGGCGATAAGTAATGTGGTATACTTCTGCAAAATGTGGTATGTCACTGATCTTTTGGTTTTTTCACATATTTCCGCAACCCTACAGCTCTTTGTATCTACTTTCGCAATAAGGCCGAATACAACAAGAGCTATTGCATCCCTCGCAAATTTTCTCGCCCCGAAAAAAAAGAAAAATATATATATATATAACGAAATCTAATTCCATTTCAGAGGCTGCGTGTAACCAGTTCCAAGCTAGTTTTTAATCAAGTTTCAAAAATCGTCTCAAACAATATTAAACAGTTAATGAATACAATAACTATTATCATTCCAAAGCAAAAAAGACAACACTTTTCTAAATATTACAACAGTAAATATTACTGCACAATGAAAATTTAAGAAACTATTAGATGGAACAAATGCCTTCACGACATAATATTTCAAAATGCTTTGTTAAATTCAATCTCTATTGCAGTTAAATTGATATACGAAATGCCAGCTACCGTGATCACTGCTTCGTGAATGTTAGATTAAAATTAAGTTTGTAAATCCGAATCTCATTTTCAGACTGCTACATTCAACCAATTATAAGCATATCATTGTGAAAGAATTTAACATTTTTCACAAATACAATAAAACGAATGTTCATTAAGAGAATATGACAGTTGTGGAAAACGTAAAGTAATTCAATCTTATGTTGAATAGCGTAATATACGTTTAGGCACACTCATATATGCAAAAAATGCTTTGTGATTAACACGAGATCACTGCGAAATTAAAAGATTAAACAACAGAAAATGTAGGATACAAAGTCAGAATATAAGCATAAAATACCAAGAAATTGAGCAATCGATTTAAAATCATGAGGCATATTTCCACATCTAATTGATAGTCAACAATTACAGTTCAGTTACAAACAAAGGTGACTAAAATCAAGCAATATTATTCACAAGAAATTAAGAAATATAGTAACTGTGATTTAAAATCTAATATTTTCCCATTAAACGAGGATAAAAAGGTTCCGGCGCAGACAGTTCTATTGAAGCATATAATTAGCTGCAGAGGGTGTAATAACCCATCGTAACATTTCTTCATTTATAAAAACCACTTAAAATTTTTGGATCCAAGTTAACATCTCTTAAAAAACGCTCCGTCAAATAACCTTCAACATCGAAAGGTGCGAAATCTAAAATAAATTCTCATTTAACAAATAAAATTTGCCAGTCTTCAAAGAAAAAGTATAGTCTATAAGCCTTATTAGGAAATGGATGTGATCAATTGTAAAATGATCACTGAGAGTTTTAAGGGACTTTTCGACAACGACTGACATATATAACTAATATTATGAGTTTCTTTTGTCACAAAGGAACAAATGACAATAACTGCGATGGCCACTCGCAAGGTCTACAGTAGCCATCATTCAAACTATTCATTTAACATAACTGTTTATATAATGAATGTGTCAAGTAACCTAGGTCAGATATTTAAAGAAATAGCACTAATACAGATAACTAATTTTAAAGAATATGCCAATCGCACAACCACTTCTGAAAACCAATCAGAAAAACGACCTTCTGGTAGCTGTCCCTTTGGTCGATAATGCTGGATAGTTTTATCAGGATGACCATCCGGAGTACGAAGAAATTCTTCAGTTGCTGAAAAAAAATAATCATATTAAGAATGAGAACTTTTCATGTATGTATCATTGATATCCTTTTCATACAACGGCTAGTAAGAAAGAATGATTAATTCAATTTTTCCCTCTGACACTAACCTTTCGTTAAAACCGATACAGTTTCCATATTTATACATTTCGTAGCATCTGATGACATACGAGTATGAATCCGTTTAGACAGTGCAGGGATTTGCGTATTCCTGAAAGATCAATTTCTTGAGATAATTTGAAGGCATGTAGTATAGAATATTGAAGCTCCACCTCGTCCTGGATGACGGAAGATCAAATTTCCAAACCATGGTACACAATACCGCTACCTTTATATAAAATGCTTGATTAGTCCTGATGAACAGATGAAAATAAATCGAGACAAACAACATGAGGACAAGTGTTTTAGAAATTTATTCTTCACCAATAAAATATAGTCATATTTATGAAATCGTAAAGTAAGGAAATATTTACATCAACAACATACATTTCATTTCTGCAAGGTTTTTCACTGTGAACACCATATTGATTCAGTGTTCTCTCACCTGAAAATATTGAAAGAAACAATTGCTAAACTGACTAGCAACATGTGAAAAAAAAAGCTGTTTAACTTAGAAGAAAACGCGTCTATTGATAGTTCTGTCGATATCATATTTCAGCTTCACAAAAAATCAGTAACTATTTAATGAAAACTGGAAAAGCCAAAAAACACAAAATTTTTAAAGATAAAATTAAAAATTTTATGTTTATGTCAAGTTTCTAATACAAACAACTAACAAATCCCTGATCGAGCTGGTAAGTTTCGACGTCCATTATACACCAACGTTGAACGGGGCACTGCTGACGAATGACCCACTTTATACATTCTAAACTATATATAATGATAACAAATAAAACGATCAGGAATAACGAAATAGTTGATGCGATGACAGATAACGTAATAGCTGACAACAGTAATACAGCTGTCAGGTATATATGATAATAACACGAAAATATAGCACTTACTAATAAATAAAGCAAATTCTTGACAACATCTTGCTGATTCTCAAACTAAATATTATAGTAACAGTACATCTTGATCTTTAAATTTAGACTGTTTTATTCCACGGCATATTCCATTTTGTATAATTCTAAAATAAGCCATCACGATTAGATAACCTACTTCACCGCAATATATCTGAGCAAGAACGCACACCGAGCTGGAATGACACAAGGTTCGTTGTTCTCCTTAACGCGGTTCGTTAAAAAATGGTTCTGAAATTCGTTGTGCATTTCATTTGTTTGTTTTTTACACTTAGAAGTAAGTATTAACAGTGATGTCTTTGTGGATATCTTTGCAAGAATTAAAAGCGTAAAGGTTAAAATCATTATGAACCGTGCATGTTGTGTCTACTACCTGTAACATGAACCCGTAGAGAAGGACTTGAGTTGGTTTGATATCCTTCAAAGGATTAATGTTGCCCAAAAGATATTTCATCTACGCGAAATGTGCGAAACTTGGAAGACTTGGAACTTCCAAGTTCCAAGTCTTCCAAGCGACTTTTCCGCTAGCGTAAAATGTATTGATGCTTATGAATTTTCGGATTCAGATAACGACTGAAATGGGTCGTGACTGGCTTTTCACGGAGGAACAACTTGCAAATACGCCGTCTAGAAGAGGTGGAGTTGACCGTGTTGAAGAAGACAAGTTGCGAAGAGAGGGAATCAAGCTTATTGTTGAAATTGGCAGTGGTTTAAAGCTGTAATTTAGAATCTGTATTAGACTGTTTTGCATATGATCAAATGATATTAATGAACTCTTTTCATTTCTCATATTTTGTAAGATTACTTCATAAAATTCTATGCTAAAAGATTGGATAGTTCAGCTTACCAACCCCTCCATTTACTTGTCATACAGTTGAGGATGGTTCATTTCAGTTTGAAATTTAGGATTGTACAGAAAGCTTTGGAAAGTTAATTATTTCAGGCAGCCAAATCCAACGTTGGCAACAGCAGCTGTTTATTTTCATCGTTTCTACATGTTTCATTCTTTCAAAGAATTCCAGAAGCATGTATGTGCTTGACTTTCGTTTTCTACATTATTACTCAGAAGGTCAAAGACTGTGTCTACGAAGAAATCAGATTTAATGTTTAATAATTTTTATCGTTTTCCACTCTTAAATCAGTAGTCAAAATTTTTGAGATTGAATTATTTTATCCTTTATTCATTTCTCTTTTGTTAGTTTTCATTATATAAGCCATCAGAAATGACACTTTCATTTCTTTAATTATGTTAAAGTTTAAGTTTATTTTCAAGGACACAGGGAAATGTTTTTCGTAAGTTTTGGGTTGTTTAGTATGACTCTCAACAGAAGCATTGCTGTAATTAGTGGGATCGGATCAGTGAGATTTTGAATATGAATATAGGAAGTTCATTTCAGCTGACAGCTGTGGGTTGTCTATTCCTGGCTGGAAAGGTCGAAGAGACACCAAAAAAGTGCAGAGACATTATACTGATTGCAAAAGAAAAGTACCCTGATTTGTACAGTATGAAAAATGCAATTGTAAGTGATTATATAATATAAGACGAGCAAGATAAGACTTGTGATTGTGAAGAGTATAGCGCCAAAAGTTTTTATAAATAACATTTAAAAACTAGTATAATTGGAATTAGAATTAAATTTCAGGAGGAGGTAATGGGTATTGAACGAGTTCTTTTGCAAACAATTAAGTTCGATCTTCATGTGGATCATCCATATACGTTTCTCTTGCAATACCAGAAGGTCAAGTTTTTATCATATTAAAGCTTAATTTGGTGCCTTGAAAACCTTGAAAATGTGTTTTCCCATTATTAATTTCTAAAATAATCTAAAATAACTTATTGGAATTCAATAGTTTCACCAACAGTGTTTTAAGGTTTTTAAGTTAGATCGCGAAAAGAAGCAAACGATATTGCAGAATGCATGGACATTTGTCAATGATTCGATATCGACAACGTTATGTCTTATGTGGGAACCAGAAGTAGGGGTTTATATTGTTTTTATCGTATAGTTTAATTCGTCATTGGAATCACTGTCGCCATATCTTAAAATCTGGTGGTAGTTAGGATGATTCAAGCATGCTGTTAATTGACGTAGTAGTATAGCTGGAACTTAACGAGGAACCAAAACAATAACTCCAAAATTCGTCTGAAAATATCTACTGTTTAGTAGATAGTTTTTTATCATTATGACCACTTACTAGACTGGACATGAAGCAATATCGTAATGCAAGTTGCTTATTGCAAATGTTAAATGTGTAGGAAGAAGTTTCCGACATAGCACTTAAATAACCATTTGTCACTATCTTTGTACCATTGAGTTATTGGTGAAGGAAGAGAAATAGATTTTCTACAAAAACTATTCAGGTAATTGCTATTTCGTTAATATATATGGCTTTGAAAATGACGAAACTGGATAACTGTGACTGGGTTGATAGGCAACCAGGCGAGCAGTGGTGGGATCAGTTCGTTGCCAACTTAACTTCTGATATGATGGAAGATGTTAGTTTTATTTTTGATACTTTGATTTCAAAACTTTTTTTATTAATACATGATTTTCTTATCATTTGTCTTATTTGCTATAGTGTCCGTCTAAATTAGTTTGAAAATAGTATTTCTTTGAAACAATAAATATCATCGTAACCATCTATTAGACTGGACATGAAACAATATCGTAATGCTAAGATATTTATGGTTATCTGAACATAACGGTACTTATTTCTAGACAGTCGAAGCAATCAGATAAATATTTTTGTTTTGTTAGGATCTCAATTCAGAACCATCTGTTGCAGACAAATAGATTAATAAGATATTTTTGCTAATAGCTGTGTTTGGCATGTGATCTTGTCGTCTCACAAGCGTATTATACCACTTGATTAAATCATTCTATAAAGTCTTGACGAAGACAGTAAATTTGATTAATACCTGAAATAATTTTAGGTTTGTCATAAAGTGCTTGACTATTATACGATTACAAAAACGGAAAGTCGGTGATAATCGCTTTCATATTTTGCTTGAGCTTGAGTCGATATCTGGCACTGACATAAAGTTTCCATCTGAAGAGAAAGAAAGGATAACAACTCAGTGAGCCACAATCAAGAAATATTAATCCCCTCTCGCGTACGCTATTCTGTCACTGTAGCTAGTGATTGCAGAAGAACTACAGGTTTTGGTAGTTTTTTTTGCTTCGAAGATTGTTTACGTATATCTTTCAAATTACGTTCAAACAACTTTTACATAAATAATGGTGTGTTGTATTATTCTCGGTATGAAGTTTTTTATTCTCATTATGTTTCTCTCGAAAGAAAAAAATGAATTGGTAAATAGTGTTTCAAAAAACTTCGGTCTTTAATGCTATACAATTCATATATTTCCCAAGTGATGGTTTTATTAAAAGCTGATTTTCATCGAAAAAATTGAAATTATAAATGAAATAGCAACAATAAAGGATACTCTTGAGAGTCTTCATAGGTGTAGAATATATGTTGTAGTTTGCTTTTTATTCAGAAATATTTGCTTCATGAAGTAATATATATATATATATATATATATTTGGAAATGGTTATTTACGTCTAGCTCAAATTTTACTTTTTACAGTCAAGAAGTCGAGGAAAACTTACTAGTTCCCAGGGATAAGAGTAAGGAAATTTAGGGATAAGGCAAAACTCGTTGACATAGCGAGAATAAAGAGTTAGACATCATGTAATGCAAGTGAGATAAGATACAGCATTTTATTCAGAAGAGGAGATTATTGTATCAATGAGACGTAATGCCTTCTTCATTGAACAGTGCTGATGGAGATAATCGTGAAGAGGAAGCAAGGATATTTTTATTTTAAACATACTACAGTAATGTTCGGGAAAGCTTAAGGATGCAGATTTTGTCTCATCAAATTGTTCAAAAAATCGTGGACATGTCGTATTGTAAATCGAACCATAATAAAATGAATGAAAAAAATACGAAGAAGATGACAACATTCACGGTATATGCGAATGTAGTGAGATTACGGGAACCTAAGCAGAATACCCAAATTCCGGTGAAAAGTACCACACATGTCCATCCAGCAAGCCATTTCATGGATATATATCGGAAATACTCATCCTGTAGTATTCTCTAGATTCGGTTAAAATAACTTCAACTTCAATTAAAATTTTAATATATGAGATTTTCTCTACTAAGGCTGATTTTTGCCTTAATGCTGAAATCCCTTGATTGGGATTTTAAAAAACATTATTTTTGGTCATAGACCGACTTAAACTTACAATTTTTCCGTGCTTTTTATATCTTTTCATGTCACATTCTCTATTCTTCAGTGGAAGTTTGACACGCTGAGGAAGGCTTATCAGTGCTTCCTTGGCCTTTTCCCAAGATCCAGGCCCATCAAGTCGGTAGACATATGGTGCATTAGCACTAATAAGCAATCGAAGACAAAAACTAGGCTCTGTGAACATGTACTGAAAACAGATCAGATAAAAAAAAATAAAGTAGTACAGGAAAAATTTAATAAAGAAAAAATTTTAACTTAATTTCTTTTAATTAATTTAAGAAAACTAAAATAAAAATATATGTGAGTAGAAAACTGAAGTAAATACAAATTTGAAAAAAAAAATACCTTCTTTAAACTAGGCTTACAACCTATTTGTTCAGCAATTTCGTCCATATATTTAATATAATCCACTTGAAGAGTGTGTTTCTTACTTTTGAAATATCTGTTATAAAAATAGAAAAAGTACTTAAGGTGTTATTACGTTCATTATAGCAAAGTTGATTCCCCATCACATCCTACAATATTTCCGTCATACAATGCTTAGTGGATTCAAGTATAATGAAATAAGTTTGAATCCGTTATCATTTCGAATGATCAGATAAGCGACGTTAGTTGGATTATGTCTAAACAGCACTCGAACACTTAATACCAGACACCTCTTAGATTACACTCACATTGCAAAGAAATAATTTCCAATGAACAGTTTATATTGTCAATTCTAATCTGTTGGAGATATAGCTCTAACCTTCTCTTATTTTGAGCTCGTTTAAGTTTAATATCAGCCTCCATTTCTGTATGAGGAGGTAGACTAATTTGACCTTTAAATACAGCAGCAACCCATCGAGATTGCATTTCCGAAATTGGCAAAATACTTCCGATAGGTTGAATCAAACCAATAACCGCTAAGGAAGGATATTTCAGTGGAAAAACATATTTGTATAGTTCCACTTCATGATCCTGGAAAATATGGCTTGGACGAAATTCATCAATGATTTTAGTTTGAGGAAAACACTTAGGGAATAACACTTTTCCCAAATTAATTTAAATTCCAAGACGCATATGGTTTTCCTCTAATAGTATAAGGATAATAAGATTTTGATTAGAATTATTTAAATTTCTCAATTGGTGATGTACCTTTAGTGGTATAATAAATTTCGGATACAGAAATGGAAAACCAAAGGTATAACCAGTCGCAAAAATGATGACGTCAGCTGGGAATTGACGTCCTCCTTTGACTTGAACAGTCGTCTCTTGGATTAATTCGATATCTTCCTGAATGATGAATAATATAAACAAAAAATCTTTGAAGAAAACATTTCATGTAATAGAAAAAAATTACTGTAATAACGATTCGTCCGCTACAAAGAAGATTGGGCAAATCATCGTTGATAGTAGGATGTTGTTGCAGAAACCGATGGTTTGGGCGAAGTCCATAGAGATCATGATCCAGTCGTAGCTTTGAATTGAAAAAAAGGCCAAAAGTATTTTTGAAATACGAACTTTGCAAGGTGTCAGAATGGATAAGACGTAATTAAAAAAAAAAAAAAAAAAATGAAAATAGGGATGATGCATGATGCAGTGCTTGCATTCGATATTAAATTTCTGGTAGCAAGCGTAGGAATTACATTTGTAGAATAAACAGATTAAACTGTTCTGGGTCAAAAACAAAAAGAAGAATGTTTAGTCACCTGTTTTACGAACTGGAATTTATGAAATTGAAATCTATTTATGTTACTATTGGAGATAATTAAACTCTTTTTTTCACTCATAATTTTAATATATCAACTTGAAACCTGTAAGCGATGCTCCATGAAATCGTTAGCAACTGTCCACGGTAATTTATCCATCAAATAACTGTATAAACGGGTCATCATCTTCAGATCATTAGGAATACCTCCTTGGCTTACACGATTGAAAATCCATGAGCCACGACGGGTAGAAATTGTGACCTAAGTTAAATTTATCTTCCAAATACAAATTATTGAACAATAACCCTTAAATAATTAGTGTTAGATAATAAATAGATAATTAATGAGTCGCTGTCGTCGGATTGCTAGGGAATGTTCCAAGCAGTATCTATCAGTCTTAATCGTGATTCAGAAACCGGCTCTCATAAATATTCAATCACTCTTCATATACGAAAATTTTGAATAATCATTAATTTGAAGAAACTGCAATGAATAACTTATTATTGGCAATAACACTAACCGTCTTGGCAACTCCAGATAATTCTGCAGCAATGTCAAGAGCTGAATTACCAATTCCAACGATAAAAATATTTTTTTCTTCAAATCCTTGGTAATCACGATATTTATGAGAGTGAAGGATGCGTCCTTTAAATTTCTCACTTCCTAAATCGAACTGACCGAGTCAGCTAACTTTTTCAAATAAGTAGTGGTAGCAACCAAGAAAGTTCTATTAAATGTAAAAAAAAAAAAAAAAAAAAAAAAACATTGAAAATATCATGAAAATGCTAAATGTCTTAGTTAAACAAGCACCAAAAGATTTTTCAACAAATCCACAAAAACATTTAAATATTTCTCAAACGAAGATTTTATCGAAATAATGAAGATGTACCAGGTATCTGAGGATACTGCGGAAGACTGTGATGTCCGGTGCATATCATTACATAATCAAATAGCTTCTTATCACCGTTATTTGTCTTTACTTCCCAAAAATTATCCTTCCGTGAAACCTAAAAAAAGTCCATCCTAAAATTATCCGTTCATGAAACCTAAAAAATGAAAACCCAATAAAATTTATAACTTAATGCAATGTAATCTTTTTATTCAAAATAAAAGCTCAAATTTAAGCATGATATGTTCGTTTAATATATGAATTTGAAGAAATTCCGACATTTGAAGATATTTGAATTTTCCTAATATAAATTTAAATGATCTAAATTAATTCAACGAAGCTGTTATTTAGTGCTATTATTAAATAACACAAGAATTACCTGCTGGACTGTGGTATTAAAACAAATGTGTTGGTATAACTTATTCACATTAGCATAATCTTTCAAATACTCAAAAACTTTTGAATGATGCATAAAATTGCAAAAATTAGACGGTGGTGGAAAGTCAGAGTAGGCTGTCATTTCTTTCGATGTATTCATTACTGTCGACTTCATCACTGTACCTCCCTCCTGAATTTATTTTCGAAATTTAAATTTGTTTATATTAAGTTCATCTCTCACTTTTTTTAAATCCTTTTTTTTCGTTTCCATCAGCTTAACAATGTCTTTTGCTTTGTTATATTTTTTCGTTTTTCTTTTTCGTTTTATAATTCTACTTACTCTGCTAAGATGTTAATTCTATGAGAAACTATATCTTTACTGATGAACAACGTGACAAGTGAGAATGCGGAAGAACACTTTTATTTTTTCTTCCCCATTTTAACATTTCTGGAAGATAAAGTAAATATTTATGCTGCCTTCTAGCTTGCTTTATTATATATTTCTTTCTTTTCTTCCTACAATCCACTTTATTGATATGAGTTCTCCAAGATAAAAAATCTGGCAACAAAAATACCAAGGAATTCATAAAGCTTTCCCAAAAAATTTTGGGAAATAATTGATGTAATTGAAATGAAGTGAACATCACTTTATGTTACTGAAGATTACAATGACAATTTTAGCAATAACTTTTATCTAGGATTGCTCCCCTAATTGTCCCATTGGCCTTGACACGAAATGATGAAAAATTGGTAGACTACTGGAAAATTTTAAGAATTAAACGTCAAATGCACGTACTTGATGCTTTCTTCCTGTTTTCTAATTCTTAAGTTCCAAAATGAAATGAAGTTGAGAAGCTAAGATCAACTTACTATTAACTCGGGTCGATAATTCCACAAGCCTCCAATATCATTAGTGCGTTCATAGGCTATCACTTCCAAGCCAGCTGTGCGACATTCTTTGATGGCAGGCAATCCGCTTGCTCCCGTGCCAATTACACAAACTCTCATTGTACAGACACAGCGATTAGTACAATAGCAGCCAAAACAATTTCATATGTGGTTATAGTTTTGTTTCTTCAAGAATCGACAATCTAGGACAAATGTCGTTTCCCTTCTCCGCCTTTCATTTTAATCTATTTCCCTCAGTCCTTGAGATTTAACATTAAAGGTCAGTAGGCCAAGTATTAATCTGCAAAAGGATGCATTTCTGAGCTGCATAAAATGATTTCATGTTCTTATAAATTCTGCGAGAGTGGAAAATAAAATACTTCAGGTTTAGAAAATTCTTTTCACTTCTTTCATAATCTTTTTGACTTCTTGCATGCCAGAATACTTTATGAGCATCAGAGAGTGACTTTACCGGGAAGAAAAAAGGATCAAAAGAAAATTCCTATCTTTCAAACTCATTCTTCAATTGGTTCGTATGTTCAAGTGAATGAACAATTTCCCTTCTTAATCAAAAAAGTCTCGCTCTCTCAAACATATGTTATAAAATTGCAGTTTTTATTATAATAGTATGCTCGATATGTATACAGCTTAATCGTATGATCTTACAGATTGTTGAGCAGCAATTGAAATAAATTACAGGAAAGACGTTTAAAATATACGAAATGTATAAAACATCTTTCAAGTATCACTTTTACTGATAGTAGCAAAAATATTGGTTAAAAGAAACGAAAGAACGAAGGAAAATGATAAAAGCCTGAGCTAAATTTGTAATTAATAAAAAAAAATAAAAAATAAATTTTACAACAAATAAATTCTAATGAAAAGATACATCTTTCAGCTGTGTAAACCGTATACTGATAAAGCGTCTTCCCAAAAAGTAGTTCGATTGAAGAGCATATTATATTTAATAGCAATATTTGACGTTAATAAGGAGCAAAAAACACGATGAACATGGGATATGTACCAGCCGTAAAAATTATTAGGTATAAGAGAAGAAGTAACTATCTTTTGTTGCGTCACGTTATCAACAGTGGGGCTGGCAGACAATATATATCTATCGTTTTTTACCAAGTTGTCTGAAATTATGTAATGTTTGGTAATTCTTTGACGAACATGAAAAATAAATTCAAATTTGTGACATCGTTCCTAGCTCTGTTCTTCGTTTACTTCAATTATCAAATTTCAGAGTCTTAAAATGTTTTCAAAACAAATGGCCACAAAAAAAACGAATTCAGAGAAAACCTCAGCAATACAAGACATGACTCAGTGAAGTCTAAAAACAATGAAATCCGTCAAACTCACGTTGAATACTTGTTGATATCGCAATATGAGGAAATATAAGAAGTGAAATAATCGCAGTAGAATAAACAAAAGTAAATGCAGCAAGTGATAACATTAAAAGCTTAACGCAATCAGATATGATACTTGCCTTCGACAGAAGTATAGCTATTTCATTATAAGTACAAAACCCGCGTTTTTCTAGGCTATCCTTTGCTACCCATACTTCCACTTCTTCTAATATCTGCACAAATTCAACATAACTTACATTGGTGTTCCAATGCTGAAAAATGAGAAACACAAAAAAAAATTCCATCAGTATCGAAATTTAATAATCACTAAACCCGAAAATTGACTTGAATTTCCTTTCGTGAAAATTCAGATAGTTTCAAAAGTTGTAAATACTACACTTGTCGTAGATGCTCTTCAAACTAACAGATTGAGAAACAACTTGGAAAACTTCACAAAATTTCTGAAAAGCCACTCCCCAAGAATACCAAAAATATGCAATTATAAGTGCGAATCAGAAAAGGAAAAAGCTCTTAACAAAATACTAACTGCAGAAAAACATACAATAGCATCTAGAACGCTCAGCTCCATTTCATTGACTCGTTTCAAAGAGATACTGGCTAATGCAGCCCACTCGTCATTGTAAACGAATTCCCGTTGTCCTACATCCTAAAAACCTATCATTGCTAAACAAATTAAACAAATTCATGCATGATATATTCAAAGAATGCTAATAGTAAGTCGATTTTAACCTAGCGGATGAAGTCAACGTGTCAACAAATGCTTTTTATAGTAAAACATTTTGATATAGTTTCATCACTAATTTGAGATACATATAAAATAAAAATTCGTGATGCGAAAGGAATGAAAAAAGAACAAAGATCTATAAACAAAACTCACATGAAGATATTTGCTTGAAATTATAAGAGCTGAAAGATATAATTCGCCCGGGTCAGAAGATTCAAAACAAGTTTTATCAGCAGTTCGTATACGATCAAGATAAACCATTGCTATTAAAAATGTACAAGCGTCCACACATCCATGACTGCGGATAAACTCTTATAAATTCAAAATTTAAAAGAAATAAACTTATTGCCTGTAAGAAAAGAAGAAAAGATCCTGATAATATAGCATTCAATTGACTAGAGCAGTTTCTCTGAATAATCTCTTCTCGGCAGTCATGGATGTGTGGACGCTTGTAATATATATAAATTGGCATAATAAACAATAAATTGAGTTCAGTTCAGTGTAGTAATTTTTTGTTTCTAACAAAGTTTTATGAAATAAAGTAAAATTCTAAATTAATTCACAACAAACTTTAGACAAAATTTACAGTAAATGCATACCGTGATAAAGAGGTTGCTGAATCCATGCTCATGTAATCATACGGACAATGCCTATCGAAATAGTCCATTGCAAGTTCTAAAACATTTTGGAACAGGTGAAAACTGGTCATTCAATACGACTCAATATTGAAATGATTTCAAAGAATTACCAAGCTTTGAAATTTCCATCCTATAATCCCGCTCAAGGCATCTTCAATTTTGATCTTACAATAATTTTGCTATATTTAAAGATGAGAGTAACTCATTAGCATAGCGTATTTGAAAATCCGACTGAAGTGAAATTTCAAGTTGATTATCCTACCGGAAAGTGGAAGCGGCAACGACTTCATTTGACGACTCCCATAACAAAGAGATCTTCGCAAGCGTTGTTGTAAGCGCTTGAACGACAGCGACACTGGTGGCATTACCGCACGTAAATTCTTACGATCGGATGAAATAGCGCGAAAAATCACTTATACAGTTAATCAACCCAACACGTGTCCTTACCCGGCCCGTTCGAGGGCGCCGTAAACAAAGTCACAGTTACCTAATTTCAGGAATGTTCAAATTCGCGCTGCTTTTCAGTGTCTCTTTTGGAATGGCTGACGAGCGTATGTAGTGCGGTCGGAGTATCGCTGTGATGTGCGATGCATTTCGCAATCGAAGAATGCATGTGAAATGAGCCGATAAGCAGCTGGGAGGGACGTGTGGAGGGAGGGATATTTCCAGTGGAGGGCAGAGGTTGCGGTTTCGTCGGTTCTTTTCGGGGCGGTAACCGTGAAGTTAAATGTTGTTGCTCTTCTAGAAAATGTTGGAGGATGCAACCAAAACTGTACATCTGATGGACCGTTTTTGATTATTTGCAGTGTTGTTGAACTGTTTGTTAGTTCACTATTTCCCGTAGATATTCATTCACTCTTACATAAGCATTCGCACCGTTGTGGCGTTCGATTGGCAGTTGCAGTTATTCTTTGACCTTTGAGTGGTAATAAAGTGGTCTGTCAGCTTTATCATATGATTAGGTTATGGTGAATGTGTTGTGTGGATTACATACGGCATGCTTAGACTATTAAGGTTAGTGAATCCTTCTGAATTTTAGGATCCTTAAAGAGTAAATGTAACCGTTGTAGGATAAGTTTTGAAGAAAGCAAAGTTATAAATTAAGATGGCAACAAAAAAATAAACTTGGAGAGGAAAGGGTAATGATTTGTCGGTCAGATTTTATTGCATAAGCATTTTCACTTCGTTGTTAATGCTGTTTTGAGAAGGTCCCTTGTTTTCATTGTTACCATATATTTCTTAATGTGTTTACTTCTCTCGCTCCCTTTCACCTTCTTATTGGCAGTGGTTTGTTTAAACAATTGTTGACAACAAATTTGCACTTTTCACTAATGTGTACGGGATTTTTCGTTCTTAGGGTTCTGTTGAACTTTCAATTTTTCAAAAATGATAATAATGTTATTCGATTCTGAAGTTTTAATCTGTCTTGTTTTTTGTGTCTTTTTCAAAGTGTGGTACTATCGTCGTAATTAACTTTTCAGCTTTATTATTTTTATTTCTCCTTTATGTCTTCAATATTCCGTAAATATTTCTATCGTAACAAGCCATTCTTTATTTTCTTTTTCAGTGTTTAAAATCGGTTGACAGCTTTTTAAGGCATGTTGTGTTTGAAGTATGATTTAACTAATCATTTTGTTGTTATTGTTTGTTAATTATTTCCTTAAATTTTAGGAATGTAAACTTAGGTTGTCCTTTACCGGCATAAATTAACGTTTTTCTCATGTCATATTGCTGTAAAAAGTAGCGGAGAAGGGGAGGGGACAAGATCAGTATTCATTAAGCATAGTTCCGCATCTGAGAAAATTGTCGAATTAAATTTTGGAATATTGCTACGATTTTCCATTTTTCCACTGAAGTTGTAATTATTATTGCTGTTATCACAAAAAACTTTATACTTTCCTTATCGTTGCTAGTCTTATCACCGTCGTCACTATTATCATTTATTACCGATTCTTCCGCAGTCATGCACATTGTTGTTTTAGATGGCATCTGCACTTTAAATAGCTATCAGTTATTTTGATATTTCAGCAATAGATCTAAGATTTCTGATTCTTACTTGCTTTTAAATTACGTCAAAAAGTTTTTGTTTGATTTGTGATCGATGTTTACTTTTCCATTCAAAAATTCGATTTAGTTTTGCACTTGTCGTCTTTTTCTGGAAGCGGGGAAATTTGTTTTAATAAACATGACAACTTCTTGGATGAAAACTTGTAGAATTTCAGTCATGATTCTTTTAATAATAGCAGACCAGTTAAAAAAAAAAAAAAAAAAAGGTTGGTGTAGGTAGCTGGTTATTAGAAGTTGTCAACTGTATACTTTGATGAAATATGGGACATTTGTCTTTTCAGTAGGATCATTGAGCTTACAGCTACTGGAAAGCAAACTAATAATCCATCTTATTTTATCCTTACATTTTCTTCCGTGTAGTCATAGTTTAGTATTTTGGTATATTTACATATGCACGTGTTATCTTTATCTTCTTTTTCTAAAGCTTTAATAATACTTTACAATACACAGGAAAATGGTCGATCGAAATTAGTTATTTTAACTTAATTTGTTCGATTCAGTTATGTCGTACAAATGAGAGTTTGAAAAGTGTCTGAGCGGAATGTTTTTGAAGTTTTTTTGTATCTGCTTAGTGTTTTAGTAATATCGAGCGGACTTGGTTCAAATAAATAATCGGTTGTGATTGTAAAGTTCAATGTCGTCAATGGACGCCGAATCGTCGGAAAGTTTCCCGGGAAATAGTGAGAAGTCGGTAGATCGTTCTCGTAGTGATCCACAAGTTGTGGGTTTTTCAAACGGTACTTTTTGCAGTACTCAATTGTTAGATTTGTATTAAAGAATTAAATTTAACACTGCTTGGAAATTGGCTTAAAAAATTATGTAGCGGTTTGTGAAATGTGAATGGAAATTTAGCGTAGCCAACAATTCTCATTTATAGCAAGTTCAGTTAAAACTGACACGGTTACAAATGGTGAAAAAGTCATGGAACAGAAGCAAAAAGGAGGATTTGCCCAAATTTTGAACAGCGAACACGGCGATAGTCTTCATGCCATTTCTGAGGTTAATGGAGCTTTTAATTTTGTTTGGATTTCTTATACACTTTTTTCCAGATGGTGTTACCGTAGTAAAAGTATAATGAGAGATGTTTCGCTTGTTTAATTCAGGCTTCTTCGGAACAAAGGACTGAGGGATCTGCAGAAAATGTACGTGATGAAGAGACAAGTAAGGATGCTGCTGAAGATCAAAGAATTGAGGTTCATTTTTGTTAATTTAAAGCAATATTTGTAAAAACTAGAGCGACTTATAGATAAAAGTAACAAATAAGATACACTATATATGTGAAATTTTCGTATTTTCTGTAGCTAAATGTATTCTCAACCGTGAATAGAGCAAGCGCTTCTACGTGGTCACATATGAAGTTCCAAGGTAGTTTAACATTTTAATAATAAAGTTAATATACGTTTCGGAAGATTAGTTTCAGCTGAAAGAAGGATCAAGCGAAAACACTAGTGAAGTACTCGAATCGGAAAAACATGACAGCGTTGCAGCTTCAGCTGGTTCATCTCCTCCACCAGTAAGTTTTTTATCGTTTAAGCTATGCTTGTTTTAACGGCGCTGTAGGAGTTATTACATTCTCAGTTAGACAATACAGTGATTCCTTACAGTGTCTTTCTTTGTATATTTGTTTTCTTGTATTTTGTATGACTTTCCAGTTTTGCATTTGTAGCTTTTAACGATTATAAAGTTTTCACTATCAATGAAAAAGGTCTTGGCGTGACTGATTATCATCTAATTGAGGTTTTGAAGGGCAATCAACTTTCAACTTAGAAAATAACAAAGGTTCCTCGATTCACATTTCCTATTTCTTTCAAGTTTGATATGGTCTATTTTTGAAACATACTGTTTTTATAGAGCAGCGCTGCTCCAGATGAATTGCACATGGATACGGATACGAAGAGTAATTCGGAAGAAGATGATAATAAGAGGTCGAGTGAAATCAAAAATAACTCTGGTAAAGATATCGATGATTCTAAGACTGATGATGATGATGATGATGATGATAAAACAGATACTGAGGAAGGAGAAGACGAAGCACAGAAAAAAGAAAAGATGGATGACGCAGATGCTTCAGACAAAGGAGAAGATAAGACAATTGATACCACTGATAAAAGAGAGGAAGTGAGTAATACTTCGAAAACTAATGATTTTCCTTTTGAAGTGGACTACATTTATTGTGTTTCATAATGGTAATTTTCAAAGAATTTTACTCATTTGAAATATGTTTCATTCATGAAGAATTGAAAGGATGGGAATTTCAGAGTGGTGCTAAACGTGTTTTGCCAAAATGGATGGTGCAGGATGCAGATGCACCACCAAGTCCAAAAGAAGAGACAGATGAAAAAGAGATAACCTTAGCTGTCACTGAAAACGAACCAGCTAGCGGTGCTCGAGGACGAGGACGTGGTAGGAGAGGGCGTGACACGACGAGAGCTGTAGCTAAACCTCATAATGTATGTTAGCACTACAAAAGGGTGAAGTTCATCAACAAAGCTTGAAGGGGAAGATGGGTAGCATTTAGAACCTTTTTTAATCAACAGTTTGTGATTTATTATAAATTCAGATCTTTACTAGGGTTGTTGGATGACTTTCACGTAGCTCATCGTAAATTTATTACGGGTCAGTAATTTTATTTATCTTATTGAGATTTAGGAGGCTGCTACCGAACAACCGCAACCAGAATCATTGGCATCTGGTCGCCCTCGTCGTTCGACACGTTCAAACGTAGATTATGCTCATCCAGATGTAGCAACTGTAGTTGCTGAGCAGGAAGACTTGGAAAATGAGGTATTGTGCTATGAAATTATAGATTTCTGATGATCTTAAATACACTCCGCAATTTCTTATTGTAAGGCACTCTTTTTTGTTAGTCCTGGATAGCAACTATTTTAACTCATGATGTTTTCCTCAGTGTTTTCGGCTGCTTCACTGTGCGGTCATAAAATGGATTTAACAAAAATACAAAGTAGATTTCACTAACTAAAGTTAGTAAATATTTTCGGAATATTCAGCGATTTCACTCTCACTGATACTATCACAAGCTTGTTACAGTTTCAGCTTCAACAAAAAGTTAATCGTAATCGTGGAAGGGGCCGTGGTCGTGGTCGAGGTGGACGTTCCAGTGGTCGTAAACGAGCTGTAGCTGATAGCGATGATGGTGAAGATAGTGATTCTGAATATGGTAGCAACAAAAAACGGAAACGAGCTGGAAGTAGTGGTTCACGGGGCCGAGGACGAGGTAGAGGTCGTGGAAGACCATCTCGAAGTTTGGGTCTGTTTTCATCTGATTTGGAAAATTTTAATAGTATGCGCAAAATGATGCATGAAGTTCTTCCTTTCATTTTTTTTGAAGCCCTTTAGAGGACAGTCGCCATTTTCGCAGTGTTTCCCAAATTATGCTTCTCTATTAATCTGTTTTTTGCAGGAAAAAAGAACAAAGATGAGAGCGATGATGACGATGAGGAAATGGATTTGTCGGACAATGATGCCGGTGGTTCAACTGGTTCTGGTGAGGAATCCTATAAGCCTGCTCCTTCGAAGCGACGCGCTGCTGCTTATGCTGCCGAAGCTCACTCACCTAAAACGCCACCTAAAAAACGTGGTCGTGCTCCAGCAGCTAAAACGCATTAAGCAGTAATTTTTATACGCATTTCATTGCAGTTAATATGCTCATTGCTTATTGCAGTCTCACTTTTCTCGGGGAGGAAATATACAGTTTAAATTGGAAAAAAAATAGAGGAGTCCTCGAAAGTTATTTGATTTATCACGATTTTTATGCTTGCGTTTGCTCCATCATTTATGGACAGTAATCATGGAAAAAAATTATCTTCTAAAAATGTTAAATTATTTCAGGAGGAGACGAATGAATGAAGAGAAGTTGATAATTGATTGCCATTATCATTTTATATGGGAATACATGACATTGTTGAACTTGTTACAGGTCAATTCATTTTTCGAATATTTTTATTTTGTGTATAGGCTCACCATGAGTTTTTATTGTTTTCATTTCTCATGTGGCTGAAAGGCGCGGAGTATATAACGCCATGATTTCCAGTCATGCTTCGTAAGCTTCATTCTCTAAGCTTATTGCTTCACTTCTGAAATCATATTATGGCTACAAGATGTGCCTGTACTGCTGCCCTCTTGGAGTGACATAATTATTATCACACTTAGTGTTCCTTTCTGATTTTTTTTTTTCTTTGGTTTTCTTTACTTTCAGTAGAGATCAGGTAGCGTTAAGCTGCTGATAGTAAGAGATTACTGGAATAGATTGGTAAATGGAGTGTTATCCGTTATAGTAATGTAGTTGGGTCTAATTAAGTGATGTGGTAGTTTTTTATAAGGTATTCTCGTGTTTTCATGTTTCCCAAATTTTTATCCAAAATTTATGCTGAACTGAAAAAAAGGGATGACATGCACACTACGATAACATTGATATCTGAATAACGTTTGAAAAAAATTACTCGCTGAAGGCCCATCATGTTTATTTATAGGGATGTTTGGTACTGTGGTTATTCTCAGAAATAGAATTCTAGTGTTTTGATTGAAATTAACAGAGCTTGTTAATTTCAACATACATTCATGTCACATAGAGAAATGATTGATTATATGGAGCATAACTGAGAGGAATATTTGATTATCCGTTGCCTCTACACCGTTGAGAAAGTATCATGGTGTTAGTGGGGGAGGAAAAGACCACGCGGTAATATTAGTTGGCATTTTTTCTTATTCTCATAACATAAAATGTTATGTAGCTGTTACTACCCCATATCCATCATCGATACCAACAAGTTCCTTCTTTTTCGAATGTTTATCTACCTCTATGCGGAAAGCAGTTGTAATTTGAGTGATGCGTGCATGTTTGTCTGTTTTCATAATGTCTTTTCCTCCCCTCTATCTCCGTAGTCTACTTTTCTTAGAACCTCCTTTCTTTTCTTCATTCATTCATTCTTTAGAACACATGCCGTAGAATTCCCTTATTAATTGAATGTTCTTTTAAAAAAATTTATTGTACATAAAATATCATTTGTAATTTTTGATTTCGATGTTTGGAACTAATTTGTCAATGATGTATCTTGAAATTTCAACTTCTCTTCGTCACAATGTGTCCTGTTACTACTTTCGTTGTTGGAATACATTTTGTAGGGAAATTTTAGAGATCAGGGAAGGAATTTCTGGCATTCGTTCCCACTATGCTATATCCGTTTTATTTTTTGTTGTTTATGAAATTCCTGGTTATTATTATTGACGCATTCTAAAGTGTAGATGATTTTTCATCCGCAATTAGTTTTCAATTACAGAAACAATTTTTTAAGCCAGTTTTTACGCATTTTCTCCATTCATTATTTCATAAAGGTAAGGAAAAGTAATTATTCAGTGTTATTCATTGCTAAAAATGGCTACTAGTGTTGGTACTTTTTACGATTGAGGGACGTGACTTACATATAGGCAGCGTATTCCACTTCGAGATTGTGGAAGTGTTTTTGGCAGTAAATATAAAGAAGTTTTATGAATATGTAGAACTGTCCAGAAGTAATCACTTTCCCTTGAAATCTTAGTGTGGAAGTGGGAAATTCAAGGGATGATATGGTGTGTGAGCCAGCCGTCATTCTATGCCCATTGGTTAAGTGATTGCGCAAATTGTTCGCTAGTGATGTAGTCCAAGGAATAGGAAGTAAAGGGCGAGGGAGAATTTATTGGAGTGGTTTGTGGATATTGAGTGTGATAATAGCCATAAGCAGATGGTATATCTAAATAAGCGAAATGAGCGCTGAAAATGTTTCATATCCCGTAACTAAGGGTTACTCGGGGATATTTTTTGTGCTTTGTTGGACCAATGTAGAGGGTTCTGTTGGTTTATCGGTTAGCTTAAAGATAAATTGTGTTTGTGCGATATTCGAAATGTCATTTTCTCGGCATTTTGATTAGATTTGTGAATATTGGATTTTTTACTTACAAACTATATTCTTTTGTTTGAAGCATTTATGAGTGTGTTGCATATCCAAGGGCTATTTTAGTTACAATAATAATCATTAATGCAAAATTGATTCGCCCATTTCTGTTGTGATCTTTAAAATTTTGATATATGTAATGTCTGGTATTGAATTCGAGTTTATTTGGTAACACTTTTTGCGAGCAGACCTTACACAGAATTTGATGTATGACAACGTCGTTTAGCAGGGGTCGCAAATTTTGCTGATGGGAGCTATAAATTTCAATATAAAGTGAGATTTTGTTGATCTCGTTACTTTACATTTTTTCTTTGTCTCCACCTGTTCAATTTCATGTGTTCATTTTTATATGTTATGTGGCGCGTTTCATTTACGTTCTGTTTTTTGGCACAATAATTATGGCATTGTTTTGATTAATGCGATACTTTAACACATGACGATATAAGTATTCCTATATGTTTGCATTAGATGAAGAGCATTCAGTGATGCAACAAAACTGAATCGTACTGATCCGTTGGCTGTGCAAAAGAAATCGAAATACTGGGTGTGGGATGACAACAATTTGGGAGGTTAGTTTACCCATTTAGTAATTTAAATGGTGAGAATTATGAAAACAAACAGGTTCTGGTCGATCTCGGCATGGATTAGCATACATATATGTTTTCTTACACAACTGGTTTTTGCATGTGCACCACAGTTGAACTACTCGAAGAGAGCTGGAATACACTGAGCGAATTAGTGCATGAAGTATAGCGTTTTTAACATATGGTAATTAAGGTTTTTATGAAGTAGAGTGTCACTAAAATGGCTACTCTGTGACGACATTTATCATCTGTACTTTTTTAAAAGCAGATTATCAGCATATGAATATCTTTACAAGTTACGGTAGTGTTATTAGAACTCTTATTAACATGTTTTGCATAGTTGTTTTGACTGGAGTCATTTTATACTATTTTCACTGGTTATTTCATTTGAAAATGATCATTCCATTGTTGTTCTACCGGGGAATAAATGATATCAGAAATTTCAAGTTATAACATTATATAACTCTATAATGAATATTTGTCGCCGCTGGGAGTTTGCACTACATAATTGGAAGGATGGAAAAGAAACATGCGATTGTACATTTTTGTCAAAAAAAATTGTCCACCTGTCGTTTTCTTTGATCAAATAAGTGACATCTATCATTTTTTTATGAACTAAGTGGCAGATATATGTTAGTTGTTCTTTAATAAGAACCATTTTATTCTATCATGAAACTTCTATTATTCGTTAATTCACTATTACGATTGCCGGAGAAGTCCCAGCAAAGTTATCCGAGGGCTTACTGTTAGTTATGAATAGGCTTGTAGATTTATTTAGTGAAATTACAAATTAGTAGAGAATTTGCAGTGGAATCCGTTATTACGAACGAATAAAGGAACAAAAACAAATGTATGCTTTGTTCATTAAGTTGTTGCATTCAGAAAAGTGTTACAAACACTGTTTCTTGGACGGATATTTTTGGTTATATAATTTTTAAGTATGTTAGAGTTCTAAAAATTATAAATTTGACCATTGATAATCGATCCAGTAGATAAAAAAGTGTATCTTCAGTTTCACTGTTATTACCAAAGTGATGCAATTGAATGCCATAATCCTGATTGCATTACTTTTGTATGCGTAGCACATTTGTTGATGGGACTATGCTATAATTAAACTTAACTGAACATATTGGCATTTCTTTAGAATTTCCATGGATATTATAAAAGATGATTAACATTACTATGTAAATTTAATCGTGCTTTGAAAAGTTGATTGTGTGAATTTAATCTTGCTTATTGATTTCTGTCAGGTGCTCTATCCGTTGTTATGGTTATTACTGCCTTGGTATTTAGATTATAGTCTAATAAAATATGAAATAACGTCTCACCTACATACTTCAAGTATTTTTTTCTTTTTGAAATAAAACATTGAGTTGTTAGAGGAGTAAAGTAATTTGTTAATGAAGTTTTTTATATTTCGGTGAGATTTGTTAACCTCATCGTAATGCAATATATATATATATATCATCCCTGATAGAAATGATGTCGTAGAACGATCAAAATGTAATTTTAGAACAGAACATATGAACAGTTCACCTGAGATTTACTTATTTAACTAAATTTTTTATCAAAAAGCAATAAGCATTGTGTTTTTAAAATCATATATATATATATATATATTGACTGCTCTTGGGATTGATATATGTTTTAAGAATTTATTCAGTATTGAGCACTTGATTTTGAGGATAGATACAACGTGGATGACAATTTAGGCTTACTTTTTTGATTTAAGTAAGTGATGGAAGCAATCATCGTTACCAATACTGTAAGTCATTTTTTTATTCCAGTAATTTTCGTCGGAACTTTTATGAAATTTATTGAGCGTTTTAATAGAATGACACTTTATTAAATTTGAATTCTATTAAGATTAATTACTAGGAAACTTCTTGAATTTCCTGAACCAGTGAATTTATGTCAGGTTTGATGAATCATTAGCAATGTTTTATATACACTGTGACACTTATGTTTTGCTGCAAATGTTTCAGTACATTTCTTGAAAGCATTACACTGACATACGTAAGACATACTGCCATACATATACAAGGTATCCGACACAAATGACTCCTTGGCTCTGATTATTATTTGTAATGCTTGGCTATTTGCAGTGGAAAGTGCTATGGAGATATTTCATATGACATTTCAAAAACTTTCTGTGTTGAATGTAATTGTTTATATTGGACGACGACTTATTATTGTTGACTTATCTTCACCACCTAAATTCCAGTTTTAAACATTGTCTAACTATTACTTCAATTCCAAAGCAAATTTGTCTCATCACAACTTTTATGTAAATTAGTAATTCGATTCCAATTAAAGTACCGGAGACTAAATCGATCATATGGCAATAAACTTTCTCTCTTTCTAGCAACCCTGCCATTTCTTACCTCACCCTGAAGACATCTGCGCAGACCCTCTCCAGCTCTGTTGTGATTCTCTTGTCTCCTCTGTCACATCTAGAAGATGCAGAGAGAGAGAGAGAGAGAGACAGACATATACAACAACAATGCAACATGTACATATTTGCGCCGTAGTATGAATACTTGCGTTATTGAATGAGGTAAGAAGGGTCGCGGAGTGAGTGAATGTATTGGTGGTTGCGATGATACCTATCGGAGAGGTGAATCCTTCTTTTCTCATTTTTCCATTTTCATTTTTGTGTGCATGTCTTGAATAGAACTTGCACAGAACTGTTGCATTTTGCAAGTAGAATATGAGAAGGCTTCAGTTCTCTTCTTGCAACTTTCATTCACTCTATCAAGACTACTGATTATCAGACATTTGGATACTTTTGGCAGAAGATTTATCTTTCTTCCTTTTAGTTTTAGTTTTCTAGTACTTCTCCAAGATTCTTGAAAAGTAATTGTTTATACTTCAACATTTTGATAGGAAGATATGAGTAGGCTTCTAATTACAACACTCATCAAAATGATACATTATTCACTCTACATAACCACAGTCTTATTTTCTGGTAGAAGATAATTCAAAAGAACTTAATTACATATTATGTAAACTTCATGTTGTAAAATGATCGGTAAATTACAAAAACGAAAGCAAATTGAGATAGCATATAGTTTACAGCATGAAAAATATTTCCCTACATTGTAGTGTACGTAAGCGAAGAATTAGCACATAAAGTTATAGAATGTGGTGAAGGTTCACTTATGTGCGTTCGTAAAATCATTTGTAAAAATCAAATTTCAGACTCAAGATGGTCGTGCTGATATGACCAATTTTGAGATGGATCTATTCGACACAAAGATAAATTCATATGCTCTGGAAAAGGTCTGTCATCATTTCTACACTAATAACATTTCTGATGTTCGAATAAGGACTTGTTTATTCTTGACCGTCAGTTTGATTTCCTCGATTTTACTTATCAGTTATAGAAAATTTGTGCAACCTGTTGTGGTCAAATATCATATCTACACTTTCTGAATTATGTATAGGTAGTTTGTACATCAAATTAATTTAGATTAAGCAGTTGATTTAGATTTGTTTTTGTGTATTGCGCTTTATACAACTGAATCTGTAAGCTTTAATTAATAATGGGCCATGTTAATTCAGGAGGATAATTTAGTAATTGATTGCGCTCATGTTTACTTCCGATAATGAAGTCGTCTTTCAGATTATGTTCAGGAATAAATCCTTTTGACTTTTTAGGAAGAAAGTGAACAATGTTGTCAACATAGTATCATTAAACCAGCATGCGTTCCGGTATCGATTATATCATTATTTATTTTTTTAATTGTGTTTTTCCCATTATTCAATGAAGACGGCTTTGATACGGGATCTGTTCGTTACGACCGGAATGGTTATTGTACCGATCAATGCAGGCTTGTTTCTTTTTAAGTTTTTGTATTTTTGATAAGTCCATCTCTAGTTGTTATGGAACTGCTAGTTAAGGGTGATTAGTAAATTAATGAAGGATTGTGAAATGGACTGCCGAATGGAAGATCACAATCAATTTGATCGCTTATCTAAGTAAAGCTTTAAAATACTAATGCTAAAACATCTTTACCGATGAATTGGAAGAGCCATAGTGCATCAGAAGACTTCCTAATGAGAATCATTACTCTTTATTAATGTTAGTTTAGCTTCAGATCACTGGTAGTAGGCACTAATCATTTTGCTATAATTTCCAAACAATCAAGGAATAGTGAGCTTCTGAGTTATGATTATCAAACATCAGTCCGTATATTCTTTGACTCGCTTTCCAACTGTGTTTGCATTCTTATTTAATTTCTAAAATCCGTTTTACTTCACTTCGTTTCTAGAGAGAAGGATGTTAAGAATATTTATTAGTTGACAGTCTACATTCTTAATCAATAGATCAATTCAGAATGCAGTTGGTTGAAACTATACCATCGATTTTGATTTTTGACAATAGTAGCCTTACGAGTTTATCAACATACGAAGTCTGGAAAAAATTGTTGGATGATGCACAAGTTTCAATTGATGTTGCGTCCTTCTATTGGAATCTCCGTGATCCTGTAGCACATTCGACTTCTTGGCAGGTAATTGCAATTGTGTACACCATACAGAAATTCCTGAAATATTCTCCAACTACTCGAGTTAATTAGAAATTTTTTCTGTTTCTCTTGTGCATAACTGAATTTTTCCATTGTCAAATAAATATCCATGATATTGCATTTAAGGGATCAAACACTTTCTTATCTCAAATGACTTAGAAAATAGATTTCTTAGCATTGCAGGACTTTAAAAATATATGCTTATGTCCTACCAAATTACATAGGCATTGTTATACTTAACTTGGTAGGTTGAAAGGGAATGATAAGGGAACGCGAGACCAAATGATGGATTCTTTTATGTGATGACGAGATATTTAGGACACATAATGAGAGGATGGGTATTGTAAACAGTCCATAGAGCTGTACTTTACTATTGTTTGCGAATTTCTTGTTTTGCAGGGAAATGATACATTCGAAAGATTTATTGCATCTGCTGAGCGTGGTGTGCGGGTTAGCTGTTTTTCGTTTTCATAAACTGAAGTTTTAATTTTATGCTTTTTGGAATAGTATTTTTTTCTTTCCACACTTTGGTAACTTTCAACATTTACTTCGTCTTTAATTATTGGAATCTGTATTAGTGAAAATAGCTCTTCCTATCTGTTATAGATACGAATAGCACAAAATCAACCAACCACAATATTTCCACAACTCGATTCGAAATATTTTGCTGAGAATGGTAAGACTTAAGTGCTCATCTGTACATTGACATTTTCGTTACAAACATTGGAAGCTTAACCATTGAATTTGGATTGCATCCAAAACTCCATATTCGTGATCTGCATTCCAAATATGTAAAATCTTTTTTCTTGCTTCAAATCCCTCGTTTATAAATCTTTATCCTTATAAAAAATCTGACACCATCTGGCCTGAATGAACGATATCTTCTCCATTACATGTAACAGTGACATGTCATAAAATTCCGATTAGAAAGTCAGAATAGGTAACATTTGCCGATAGTGTATACCAGTTGGTTAATAAAGGGAACAGTTATTGTATTAGTATTTCGAGATTTTCCTATGTGACTAAGTTGTCTGCTGCTTTGCGCACATTTCGCTATTATCATAAAATTGTCTGATGCGCACATTCCGCTGGTTATCACTCACTCTATATCATTGAATTGTTGAACAAATTCGGCAGTCTTCGTCTCTTTTTTGTGGGTTATGCAACTGTTCGGAATGTGGATATGCCGGAACTGATGGATGGTAATGGGATTCTTCATACCAAATTTTGGATTGTAGATTCTCGGCATGTTTACATTGGATCAGCTAATATGGATTGGAAATCTCTCACAGAGGTACATTACTGTAATTTTAATAATATCCTTTGTCATTTGTGGTTATTTTAGTTCAGAGTCAAAAAATATGGTAATCTTCTATCTTGAACCTATTCAAGAAAGTAATGTTAACGATTCCGATAGAAAAAAATTTTTTTTCAGGTCAAAGAACTAGGCATTGTTATTTGGAATTGTACTTGCATAGCAAATGATTTATATAAAATTTTCAATATTTATTGGCGCCTCGGAGTTAGAGGAGCAAAAATTCCATATAAATGGCCATTGAATTTAAGAACTTATTTCAATTTTTCACATCCACTTAAACTTCTTAGTGCTAAAGACGCTAGTGTGTTCATATCGGTATGCTTTCTCATTGTCGTTCTGTTAACTGTTAAGTTATTCATCTTTAGTATGATATCGTCTCTTTTGAAAGAGACTTTAACTGCATTTTTGTTAGAATCATAAAAATGGCTCTAATCTTGCTTATTATTATTGTATGCTTCCGCTTTTTTTTGAACTTTGTTTTAGAGTCTTAGGAATTCAGATTTTAGGCACACGGTCTTACCAGCTTGTCTTTTGCTTATTTCTGTATGAAAAAAAAAAGAATATTTTTTATTTGGGAAATTAATTTGCGAGAGAAGCAATTTTTATAACGAATAGTTTCGTATTCAGAGTTCTCCTCCTCAATTCAATGCAAAAGGACGTGAAGATGATAGTGATGCAATCGTTGCAGTCATGGATAATGCACATGAATTTGTCCATATATCAGTGATGGATTATATGCCTGCAACTATTTATAGAACTTCTAATAATAACACGTTGGTTTCTAAGTTTCAACACTTATAGTTCTGCTTATCGATAATGAATTTTAGTTATGAAGCACATTATGGCAAGAGCCATTTTTGCATGCATTTGTATATCTGTTTACTCAAAACCGCTGCCATTCTCTTCCTTATTGAGAGTTTTGTAGTATCAACTTTTAATATATCTTTGTATAATGTAATGTTTGAATGAAGAATGAGTACAGTTCGCAATTCATCTAGAAGTTCTTCGTAGAGAGAAAACAAGTGAAATGAGAAGTAAATGTTAGGATTGTATGGAGGTGATTACTAGTTTAATTTTATTTCAATGCTTTTCAATAGTAGTGAAAGAAATTTTTTTTTTTTTTTTTTTTTTTTTTTGTGCAATTTCTTCTGTCTTTATCTGCTAGTAACGTGTAAAAGACAAAGTATTTTAAATTCAGTGATACTGAAGCAGTTATATTATAAATTAAAGATGGATAATTCGTCATTTGATATTAGTGAGGCACTTAATACTTTTACGGTGAAATTCTTATTGCTCGCACTCGTTCTATTCCGTAAATTTAATTTTGCAGATATTGGCCAAAGTTAGATAATGCAATACGTGCAACAGCTTATCGTGGAGTGAATGTTCGGTTACTGGTGAGCCACTGGAAATATTCCCGACCCGAAATGATTTATTTCTTGAAATCATTGCTAGAAATTAATGATGGTATACCTAAAAAAGCAAACCATTCTGGAAAAATCGAAGTAGTAAGCATATTTAGCAAAGTTATTAACTTTAAGTTTGTTTAGCTATATCTCCATTTTAGTTATAATTGGTTCGATTTGCATTTTACCAAAAGGAAATATGATTCTAGTTTCAGCATTGGGATCTGCATTTGCTGATGGTTAAATAGTTAAAGATCGCGTCATCTTTTTTGAAATTTTCTTAAATCTTTTTGTGAAAGATTGCACTAATAATCCTTAGCTCTATTCCTTTAACGTATTTCTTCATTATTTCAAATTCAAAAAATTTTTCAGAAGCTATTTACCATTCCAGTGGATCCATCCCGCGAAGAAATCCCGCACACTCTTGTTAATCATAATAAATTCATGGTTACGGAGAAGATCGCCTATTTTGGTTAGTTCCTTTAAATTGTTTGTTTTGATGGTCCCTCCACTTGAATTGTATTTGAGAAAATTAGGTCATGTATAAGTCAACTCTACAGCAACTTTTCAGGTACATCAAACTGGGCGGGCGACTACTTTATCAATACTGCTGGTGTTGGAATTTCTTTTATCTCGTCAACACATGTTAATTTGTTAAATGAGATTTTCGTGAGAGATTGGGCGTCCAAATACGCTAAAACTGTTAGGGAATTTTTATAAAGTGGATTTCCTGCTTAGCTTTTTTCCTTACAGTGAAACTTTCTATTCTATAGAAATCTAATTTTGTTAGTATTATTCTAGATATTTTGACATAAATCCTTCATAATTTCTAGAGCATTCTGTCGAAGCTGAAGGTATTTCTCTCAGAGCAGTTTTTTTTTTTTTCTTTTTTTTAAACTTTTTTTGAATTCTGATACTTTGGTGATGTAAAGTGCATAGGATTCACTTCATCTTAATTTACTCAAAAAGTGTTAAAGTTTTTTTTTGCACGGAAGCTAATATTTAACATCTTTATAATTGGATTTTTAAATTTTCACATATCACTGAGATGTTCCTTATCGATCATCGTCTTGTATGATTTCACCACCGATTCACCATCGAAGTGAATTTAAATTTCACACTGTGTAGACCAAGGTGTCATAAATGTATCTCATTAATGATCTCAACATTTTTTCGTTGTGTTGCATGGATACTATATCTCTTGTACATAATATCCCTGGCCACGTAGTCAGTTGTTATTAGCAAAGGAATATATTTATTGGAGGAGTATTATTAAATGTAAAGTTCCACAAATAAAAATTTTCTCACCTTTGCATAGAATTCAGAGAAAGCTTGGGCAATGGATTAATAAATTTTGGCTTAATCAGTAAACTGTCAAGAGATTTGTATGTTTTTTACAGATTTCAGAACGAGAAGCAAATTTTGGTAGTCACAATTGTTAGCAGGGAAGAATTTGCGTCAACTCTAAAAATTTCGGGTGGATTTTTCGGTGGGACGGATTATTGACTTTCAGATTTTTTTCATCGATACAGATGTCGATTCTGATAAATTTACTATACTTTGCTAGTTATGGGTGAAATATTGCTTTGTTAAAATTCTAGGAATTTTTTGAAACATTAAAATTGAGGGAGTACTCCCATGTACACACATAGCATTAACTGTTAATAAGAATATGGCGCAATGTCTTCATTATTCTCAACCATCCATTGAGTCGTGCCACGTTTTTGGATTATTCCATTGATTAATATCACGCTTTCTACAAGAAATAGGTAAATGAGCGATTTTTTTAATTTTGAAGCAAAAAGTTTTAGTTGCAGTATATTATCGTAATTAGAAAAAAGTGACTTGCCGTAACTTATGTATTCGTCTGTATCGGTTATTTCCTATCGGACATGAATGATGACAACAAAATTGCCATGGTCTTAAATTCAGTTTTGGGATATTTACACAAGACTTGTAGGATTGAGGATATCTGCCGACAAACACGAAAACGTCATTCTAAAAAAAACCCCAAATGAACCAGGAACGTGAAAAAAACTTTAAAAAGTTTTGAAAGGTGGTAAGTGTATTCTAGTGGTAACTATGGATAGATATCAGTTATCGGAATCATAAAAGCAGACATTCACTCCACAACCTAATGAGGATGAGTGGAACTTGCTTTTCATTTATTTGTCTTGAATAACCGACTGATGCAATCCGGAATCTATTAGTTCCAGAGCCTGCATGTTGTAATATGTAATTGCAGATTAGTGATAAAGAAAATAATGGACAGGAAAAATGACTAAAGTATATGAATAGTGCTTACCTGTATATTACTGATGTTATCAGCATTGTCACAAATAATTCGACCCAATGATACTTTTTTTATCTCTTCCCTTTGAGCTTCGTTGAATACACCCTCTTTTTCATACCTAGAAGCTGTAGCTTACTTTTCTGTAATTCAGTACTGAAGTAAATGATAAGATCCATGAAATTAAAGTCTATTTAAAAATTTAACGAACCAAAATCTATCACCATCACGTACGCGCCTAAATTGTTCAGCAATGATACATGAAAATGTTGGACCAATAAGTGCTCCATCGAGTCGTTCCTCCGCAATACCACCAGCGAACAAGTCGATATTGCCTAGTAAGTACAGAGACAATGTATTCTCCTGGTTAGATGCGCTGTTCATTAATTCTACCACCAATTACACAAATCTTTAGAAGAGGTTCTCATACACATTCATATATAACTCAAAAGTTTGCTTCTCTTAATTAATCAAATTCTCTATAATCATAAATAATAGAAGTTTCGACCTGGATGACCATATAAATCTTTCAACTTATAAATAACATCACGTGGCATTATGTTCTTCAAATCATTCCAGTTTTCCACTGGTGATAGGTTACACCAACTTCGGAATTCAACGTACCTAAAAAAATATGAAAGTTCCTTTAAGGATATGGTTGTTAAGTATATCATTAAAATAGTTCATTTAAACATGACTCAAAAGTGCAAATTTTTTGCTTCAGATGTACATTTTGGATGAATGAGAGCTCTCTTTACCCGGGAAGAGCGTGATCACGACCTCGTTGTATATTAATCGCAGCCAAATCCAATGAAACCTAACATAAAAAATTTTTGTTATAAAAATGAAAACTTTCTAAATATTGCTATTAAAATTCATAAGCTCCAATTCATAATTCCAAGAAATTAATAGGGTCATCATTAGAGTCAGTGAGACCAATCGAATGACATTCTGCAGTTGTATAAAAATCATTTGTATTCCGTTTCTGTCTGGAATTTGAGGCTGTTCAACTTAGCCCTCTTTTACTAGCTATATTCTTGTATTAAAGAGATTTGAAAAATCAAGTCCGTAGATGAAGAGAACCAATTGATTTTCAGCTATACATTTTTAAATTAACACAAGTTATATAAAATAATTGCTAGACTTCAATGATAGCCTGGAAACGTCTATTTCAATATATTTTAAGCTAGGCTATAAGAAAATTAAAATTTTGTCTACTTCATGTGCTTGGTTGAATAAATTTTCAGTGAGTTCATCATTGAGCAACTCATTCGGTATTGGCTTTTTCATTGGTGTAGCAAATAAACCACGCAGATATGGATCAACACTTCCCGTTGACAATAGCATTTCCGGTGCAAAGAATGCATCTCTCAAGGGTATATGTCCTTCTCTAATTGGTGCTAATTTTTCGTCAAGTCTGAAACACGATTTAGAAAAGTTGGAAAACTTATCATTAATTGCAAAATGAGAACATATAATGGCCTAAATCTCGCGTTGACAATAACATTTCTTGTGCAAAGAATTCATTTATGCTTAATGTATACTGATACAGAAATGATTACATCGTGTCATCTTGATTGCTTGAAAATTATTGGGACTGAAAATATATGAATCCCACCTTATTCAAATAAAATAAAAGTCCTATTCTAAGCCATCATTTACATTAATTAATATATACCTGTGAAGGACCGGATTGACCAGTGTATGTCCAAAGCGAAAGGCTGCTGTCGCAAATGCGTTTGATATAGTAGCATCTAGCAATGGTTGATATCCTCTATATGGGCCAATTAGCTTGTCAAACTGTTTCTAAAATGTCAAAGTTTGTCGATATAATCATTTGCTTACAAGTATCAGGCATTGTCAGGGTTTGGCAGTGGTTTGTATTTCAGTTGCAAATTATGACAGAATCAGATCTTTCCAAACAAATTCAAATTTGACTTAATCCATATTTAAATTAATATGCCAAAAACAAACTTTCCCAAGAACTTTTGGTAACCAATAATGAAATGTAATATGCTGCAATTCAGCGCCAACAATTTTTCGAGTTTCGTGAAACACTGTTTCACCGTCCAGATCAGGATTTAAACTGGCAATTTCGATTGCCAATCTGTTGTGTTCTCGCATAAAAATTGTATGCATAGTTATTAATCCCAGCTGTAAAGAAATAATTTTATGAGGAATGGTAAACAATAAGGCAATATAGGACTTAAAAACAATAATTTCCTTTCTAGACGAACACGAAAACCACTAATTGGTGAATATATTACTTGTATTTGTAATATGTTATTAACATCGTTTCCTTTAACCTGTTCATTAGCTCTAAAATCTCCAGCCAGAAAGCATCGTATTGGATAATCCAAAGTCCAGTTTCGTCGACAATCAATTGGTGAATCACGTTCAAAAGGCAGATAAGGCTTATTTGCAGATGATACCATATCATATCTGTTTGAACTTTTTTTTTTTGCATAAAAGATATAAATTAGCAAAATCCTTTTTAAAATGTGAAACAAGAATGAAAAATGACAACTTACTGAACAAGAAAATATGATTAATGCAAATACTTATTTTCGTTTACAAAGTTCGAATATAACTCTGCTGTTTCTTCATTTTGTTTTTTGTTTTTAGTCCAAGTACCCTAAGGTATTTTAGATTTCCAGTCTCGACCAAATAAAAGTGTCCAAATAATTCAAAAGAAAAAGAAAGCAAATGATAATATGAAAACAATCATCTACTACCTCAGTAAGCCTTGGTCCGGACTCAAATTACGTAAATCATACGCATCTTCCTCTGTGCTACCGTATATCCCCGAAGCGTCAATGTAACTTGTAATCTGCAATATGCCGCTCTCAGTAATGATGGAAATTTCTAGTAACGGTTTTGCTGAGTTAAAAAAAGGAACTTACAGTGTTCATTTGTTCACGATAAGTAACATGACGATAAATAAGTGATGTTTCACCGGAACCGCATATTGCACTCGAACGCTCAAATTCAATACAGGGATATTGCGGACTGGAAAAAGATTCTGATGGACCAATCGCTAGTAGCGCTAAACATCGTTGTTGGCAAATATATTTTGTCCAAATTTTTGTCCACTTATATGACTATTGGAGATTGTAAGAAAATTTTAATCCGTCTCTTTTTTTTTTAGTAATTTGTTTTTGACAAACTTCGAAAGCATTCTTGGATCATCATACGACAGCGGTATGTTGAAACACGGGTTGAGGTGCTGGCAGGTCCGATTACAAATAGCACCCGTAGCAAATGCTTGGCGACTAATTGCTGTTGCAGTGAAGTCCAAATCATGATCTGAATTTTTTTTTTCTTGCAAGTAGACCAATTCTAAATCCTTGGATTCGAATTTCTAGTTTAAAAACTTAATCTTTCTAGAATTACCAATAAATTGCCCCCATTGCATTAGCATTGCTGAATAAGTTTTGTGCGGAGTAGTATGTTTGGTTCCAAGGAGCTGAAATATAATTACATTAATTTAGTTCTTCATCTTGCACGCAATTCTATTAAACCCACAAATAAGCAACCTTCCTGGACACGCTGCGTGCATTAGGCTTGCGATAACCAAAATATAACTTGTTCGGATCCCACCCAACTGGTGTATTGAAGCCATTTTCGTATATTGGTGGTAATAAACGTCGAAAACGCGTTTGACTTGCACCCCACATTGTGTGAATTTCATTGTTGCATTGTCCATCATAAGTTCTGAAGATTTTTAACAGTTAAAACTTTTATTAATTAAAAGTGCATTACTTACCAACTTTAACATTAACTGATATCTTGCAAGGAACTTTTTTCTAGTAGGCGTGAGTCAGATGCAATTTTTCGGAAAGTCGAATTTGATTTTTCCAGGAATTTGGAAAAAAGATACACTGAACAAGGAGCGGAGGGTATTTCCGAGGAATTCCAAAAAGAGTACTTCATACCTGTATCCAGAATCGGTGAAAAAACATACGAATCAAAAAGAAGTTTCCTAATTGGAATTGATGAAATCAATAGGAACCTGTAACGTGAATGGAAGCAGTGATCATCACAAGGATCTCGAGTTTGTGCTCCCGAGCAACCAGCTAGTTGCACTAGCATATCAACATGAGATTTGGCAAGGACAGATTCAATTGAAACATTCGACGGAAGTTCATGAAGAGATAAGGTTAAACCTAAACAATCCAAAGTTTATCAAAACTGTGATTACCTAACTCCTCAAATAACTCGTAATTCGTAATTCAAAAATATCATACGAAACAAATTTACAAAAAAAAAAAATTCTTAAATACTTCTTCCCCACTATAATTTAAGTAATATTTGATCGACCAGATGATTCTGAAACCGTGAAATAAAGTCCTAGATAAAAAAAAAATTCAAGGCCGCTTTACAACTTCATTATTAAACATGTCAGCGCAAATTTTGCATAAAAATTGAATCTCTTGAATGCTGAAGTATTGGTCTGGATGAAAAATAAGGATAAATCTGACACACCTTTCTCGACATGTTTTTGGATAAGACGTATGCTTTCCTCATAGATTTCTCGTGCACGACTAAGCTCTATTGCTTGAGGAAATGAAAATTGAAACCATCGTAAAAGTTCATGTGGATTAGTTATTTTTGATAATTTTTCACGTGTTTGTTCGATAGCACTAAAATTAAACATAAGATTTATAGCAACATACATTAAAGAATTATACACATTTCCTATCTATCATGAATGTGTGATTTTTATCATTATTAATTTTGATTTCAAGCAAATTATTAGTTTTAATTTCAAGCAAAACCTATCAACATTCTGAGATGCTTGATGGAATATATTGTGAATGAAATGATCATTTATTGAACCATCTTGAATTTGATTCTGATCGATTAGTAAACGAGCGTCAGCAATCATTGAACCAACTGTATTACCGGCCATGCATGAATACACACCTTCATCATGTTTTGTAACCCCCGAAATGGTCAATTCCATTTCATCATCTGATACCTAAAACGAGGAATTGGTTTTATTTTGGAAAGAATAAAAGACATAAAGTTAAAAGTAGAATAAAAATTAATAAATGTAGTGAAATATCTTACGTAAAAATGTCCTTTAAGTATGGATATTTCGCCACCGTTGAAAAACCATGTAATAAATGGGCGAGGTTCACCGTCAGCTCGACAACGGAACGTTACAGTTGAGCCCAATGATACTTTTTGATTTTCTGGACTCTCTGTAATAACGGGTGGAGAACTGGAAACAAGACGAGCTTCAGCTGAAGTTTCAATTCGTCCATACGCATTCTCCGCAATGCAAGTGTACCTGAACAGATAACTTTAATTAATTAGCTAACTAGGTTGAAAAACGCAATTTTCTTCTCAGAAATTTAATTGTTTATCAGTTTGAAATTGGATTTTGTCTGTACAATAATTCTGAATCGAAAAACCAGTAAACTCACTTTCCAATATCTCTTTCCAAAAATGGATAAATGTTCAAACTGGTCTGCTCAAGGTTCATTTCATACTTTCGAGATCTCTTTAACTTTCTGCCATTAAAATACCAGGTTATAGATGGTCGAGGCTTACCAGTTACCTACAATATTTTAAACACTGAAGATTTTTTTCACATTTGACCATTAATTAAAGATTGTTAGAAGATTTTCCTTTTAATTTCTAAAGCATATATATGCTGAACTCAAAAGAAATCGATAAAGAAAAAGAACCTCACAGTCAAGCCGAACAGTGGTTCCTTCACGATATGAACGATCTTTTGGTTTCAGCGTAAATTTTGGTGCAGAATGAACGTCAAGAATTTTACGTGGAAGACGAGATTTGCTATAATTTATTCCTCAAAGATGTTAAATTCAGCTAGCAAAATTTTAAGAAAAAATTGTATTTCAAGAAAACTTTACCTTATGAAAGTTGTGTTGTAATCGATAGTGCATTGCAATTCCTTCAATGAAACACCAGAATCTAACGAAATTATACCATTCGATAATATTTTGATTCCTTTCGTATTATTATCAACCACTCTTTCTCTTCTTCAAGTTATCTTACAATTCAATCAAAATATGAATAAATTCATGTTACCTTTCAACTAATATTCATTTCATACTTATTTTAAACTAATTACTTTCCAGAACATAACGTCATCCTTCCTTTGTTATCTTTCATAATTCGCATTCATACTAAGTTTGTATTACTCTCTTTTTAGGAAAAATTCAACATTTCTCGTTATCTCTATTTTCCGTAATACTTGAGAAACATTTAAAGACTTTAAACTTTTAGTCAACGTCCAGAAAAGTCTGGATAGTGAGAAAGAGAGGAGAAGCGGAGAGAGAGAAGGAAAGACGGAAGTGCAGCAAGATTTCAATTTGAAAAAGTTACTTGTAGATGAAAGTAACTGGTGCTCTGTCGACTTCACATTTCGCATTCTGCTTATTGTCTAGCAGTTTTACTCCAAAGCATTGAAGCTCTTCGTTTCTTAGTGATGAGAATTGTCGCTGACGAAGTATATCTGGATTGTGACACACTGGTGACACATTGCATCGTTGATTAATAAAATTAGCCAGTGGTAACCACCCGAAATGATAACAAAAAAGTTATTTATATATAGTACACTCGATCCACTTCTTGAGCAAATATACCAAGAGTTAAACTATTTGGATTTAATAGATGTTTAACATTCAAGAACACATCACACATTTATTAGAAATGAAATTTCTAATGCAATTTGTGCCTCTCCAATCCGTGCAATAGCAGTTGCTAATTTTTATAAAATGATAGTTATGTTAAGAATATAGCTAAAAAGTTCCAAATGAAATACGATTTCAAGATAAGAGAGCGGTAATGCTTAAGAAAACATATATGCGCTGAAAATATGTTCCAAGACGCTATTATACTCAATGAGCATATTACAAAATATTAATATCTAAAAGTTATAGTACCATTCTTTATAAATTCTAAAAAAAATATCAATGATTTTTAGGTGTTAGAAACCAACTGTCTCCTTTCTCTTCCCAAATGATCTGAAAAATTTTGGCTTCGGAAAAAATTCTAAATTACTAAAGAATATTACTACTGTTCATAATTCATATCACTAATTAATTTCAATTAAGCAAAAATGAAGTAATCTATACCTGCAGTCGCAATTCAGTGGATTACCACTAAGAATGAGTGTTTTGAGCTTCTTCGAATAGTCAAAAAAATGCTGTGAAAGTGTCTGAATAACATTGTCGGCCAAATTCAACACCTGAAGATTTGGCACATTCCATAATGGTTGCTGCTCCATGAAACCAATATTGTTAATCGATAAATCGATGTGTTGTAGATTGGTGAGATGATGAGAACTGAACTTAGGAATTGATTTCAAACGATTTCCAGCCAGCAATAACTTCCTAAGCTTCAGATTTCTGTCCAATGTTCCCTGAATAATAGTTATAATGCGAAGGAAAACAAGTGAAATCACTACCAATCCAAGAAAAATCAAAAACTTACTGATGACTTATGTAACAAAAAATTTGAAAATGTTGATAACTTTATTAAGAAATGCCTCTTCAAAAGTATGAATCTGATTCCATGAAATCAACAGAAGTTCTAATTTCGCCAAATTCTTGAAGTCACTCCTGGAAATCTTCATCAGTCGATTATTTCGCAGATCTAACACAGTAGTATTTGCCGGTAAATGTCGAGGTACAGCAAATAATAACTGTCGACGGCAGTCAATCAATCCTTCGTGGCATAAGCATCGTTCTGGACACTGTTCCACTACTGCTTTACTGTTTATCATTAGGATAAGAAATGAAATAAAGGATAACGAAGACATTGGTAGGACAAAAATTTTGTTGACAGAAAAAAGAGTTCCTGAAGCTCTGAAAATAAGATTGTCCAATTGCATGGCTTACCTCATTCATACTTACTTTTTACTTGACTAGTCTGACGCTTCTAATATTAGAAAAACTCAAAGTTACAGTTCTGAGAAATGTAAAAAGAACTCTACGGGTAAAAATTTAAGTAAAAAATTTAAGGATTTTTCGAAAACCCTTATCAGAAATTCCACAAACCCTCCTTCAGTACCAGGCGCAATGAAAAAATGTAAATGTCTTCCTTTCAGACTCAACAAATGGCTGTACGCTATCTCGTAGAAAATAAATCTCTCTTGAAGCTCTTTTCACCAGTTGCTCGTCCATTTCCCAATACGAATTGCATTTATTCTTTGATTGATAATGTCGAACAAAATAAAACCTTCCACCCCTCTTTCTCTTACCTCTTCTTATTTCCGTCTTAAAATTTTTCAGCATAAATACAATAAAAGAAACTTTAGTGCCGACTCAAATGTTAACATGCTTTATTAAACATCCGTATCATTTTAAATTAAATTGAATTTCCACCGCGAACTTAATCCTTAAAGAAATAATTTTGTTTATATTCAGATTTGTAAAGGAATATTTATTTATACTAATTCAACTAAGAATAACTGATGTCAAACATCTCTCAAGTATGTAAGTAGAATTTTTCATGAAGTTGGTTGTTACTGGATGAGATTCTCATAATAATTGATTATTGACTCGTGTTTAAAAATATACCTTAATTTTAATTTTGATAAATCTACTAAGCACTGAATTTCTTTCCATAGTTTCTATATTATCATACCTATAGCAAAACATGTAACAAACAAAATGCATTGTTTACGATTTGCAAACAAATCCATATGAAGTACCATTTTTACTACAAATTATTGCCCTGCTTAAAAGAAATAATCTTCGCTTAGCAGGTTTTCCAAAATGCTTTAAAATATTAGGAAAATACAGTTTACAACGAATTCTTTTTAATAATTTAATCATTGTATAAATTCCATATTGATAATTTGGTATCCTTTGAACAAACAAACAGTAATCGTTGGCCATCAATTTTAGTCCAGCACAAACAATTGATGATTTCAGAGTGAAAATCTAGAACGGCTCGTATTGCTCCTGTTTTCACGGAATTTACACGCACAGTTCCATTCCAATATCCAGAAGCAAGCTCTTTGCCGCAATTTGAAAAGGATAGAGAAGAGCAGCCACCAGCTCTGTATTAAACTTTTTGTTAGAAAGAACGAACATATGTAACGAAAATGCGTGGCGCTATTATTCTCAAACAATTCAATCTTCGCGCATTTCAAAGCGCTCTCACCAAAATATTGTGAAAATTTTCAAATGGTCTTAAAATTCGATAGTTTGCTCACAAGCTGCTTCACAAAACTACAAAAGTTCAGCAAAAAAAGAATGTGATCATAAACTATGAAAATATTAGTAAACTAACAATAAACCTTCCGAGAAATATTTTTTTTTTTTTTTTATTCAAGAAATATTTTTTTATTCAAGCATAATCAGATGGTCATTATTTTAGTTATCATTATTCTTAGCCCTTCGCAAAGTGCACATAAAATAAGTATTCCATTCAATAGCTAGTCATCCAAACAGTTTATCAAGAACTTACTTTTGAGGGAACAAAATCTCCTTCTCAACAACGATTTCATTTATTCTCACAGTGACCAACACCAATGGAGATTTAACAGATGACACGGCTAGTGTGTTAGCAAATGATGCACAAGCAAGAACAGGTTCGGGAAAAAGTTTTTTCTGAAATACGCAACATGAATTGTTTGAAAAAATTGACCTACGAACATTTGGAATAAACAAAATTACTTTAAAAATCATCGACAAATTAATCAAAGAATCAAAAAAAGTTAATTAGTTTCAAATTTACTACATACCTCACCTATAACACTGAAATCTTCAACATTCACAACTTTTATTTTTCCCGTTTCTAAACCACAAGCTAAATATCCATTATTAGATATAGAGAAGGCCATGAAAGTGCTAGCATCATCATCAGGAGACCAAAATCGAGACATCTGTTCTGTTTCGTCGGTAAAAACGCCGATCAAACATTTGCTATTCTCAACACAAACACATTTTAAAAAAAAGGAAAGAAAATGAAATGAGAGATGAAATTAGAATTGAAGTTACAAAAAAAGAAGACAAAGTGAGCTAGAAGTACCTCAAGAAATGGACAAAATAATTGAGATTCATAACAAAATGAACCACAAAAGCCGTAGAATTCTGTTTTTATTGTCCTTGTGAGACAGAAACTTAATATCTAAATAACAGAATTAAATAAGATCATTCTTACAAAAAAATGTTTTACTTAATTCAAGATCACATGTGTTAAAGAGATCGTTATTTTCCTGAATAATTCAGTATTCCAACTCTTCTACACAACGATAATGAGAAATTTTGACCTTCGAAGCTTTATCCACAGATACTAATATAATTGCATAAGCACGAATATGCACAAATAAGCAGTCTTTTGTAAATTGTCCCACCGCTGCTACTGAACGATTATTTGGGTCAACTGGAATATAGATGAAGTATGATGAATTACATACTGAATTCTTCCAATTCTTCTCATCAGTAGATAGTCAATACAAATTACTCGGACGAACCATATAACAATTCAAACGTTCCAACAAAAAACATGTCAAGAACCGATAAGTCTTCCATCAAATATGAAAATTTAAAACTCAGTTCAATAGGAAAATGTCTGTACTCGATGATGTGAAACCAGAAATATATTTCAAAAATAAGCACTTGAAATACCCTCTAAATACGTAATTAACATCTGCTTACCATTAAAACTTTAACCTTTTCTTAATCTGAAAATATTTCTAAAGCGTTGCTTCGTTATGCATAAAATATATATTCAAATCAGTACCTTGAGGGTTCGATGTAAATCCTTCCAACATTCATCAAAAACTTTCAAAATAAAGAATAGTAGTGAAATTCGTAATTGACAAAAAATATGCCTTAGAGAATATAGAAAGATTATAGTCTATTAAAGAACTAAAACTAACTGTAAATTATGGAGGTGCGCAAATGAGTTCTAGGTGAATAAAGCTCACACTTTCCATTTGTGGTGCCAACGGCCAAATAGGGTTCATTATTCACCGAAACAATTGCGGAACAAGAAATACCGCCAGCGAAACCGTAGTGAACAAATAATGGAAGCGGTTTTCTCATTGTTCTTGACATATTAGCTCATCGTATTCTCAATTTCTGACTCTTCACATACGTACCTGCCTACATCATACATATGCCAGAAATAAGCAGCAGGACTATTCTCATGCGCATTTCGCATATATCGAACTAAACTACATTACAATCATAAGCTCTATAATTCCCGCAACACTCGCACCATGAGTGGCTATTCCTACAAGCAAACATAGCCGTCGTCCACAATTACGCAAATCAATCACTAGTGCTACGATTTTTAACAAAGCTCTTCATACTTTCAATCTCATTCCTAAATGTCACTGGAAGAAAAGAAAATTAGCGCACATTCATACTAGATAAATCATTCGTAGTAAAATACAACACATTTACAGATAACATTGTATATGCTTGCAAAATGATTTATTCTTTAATTACAAACTTTGCACAGAGAAAACAATCACAAAATTAATATCATCTGAGATCCTTAGACATTCTCCTTGTTTTCCGATCTATCCTGAAATAAAATACCATGATTTCTCCAGCAAAAGAAAACTAAGAATGATATTTCATATCAGATTTAAAAACATTCTCCTTGTTTTCCGATCTATCCTGAAATAAAATACCATGATTTCTCAAACAAAAGAAAACTAAGAACGATATTTCATATAAGATTTAAAAATACGGTAGATTTTCCTCTTTTCTGAAAGAAATCTATCAATTTTTTTAAAAAAAAAGATTAAAAAAAACATTAAAAAAAGAAGTGCAACTGACATTACGCCAAATATACATAAGAAAAATGAAAGAATTTTTTCACTTTCTCCATAAAATTACGAAAATCTTCGTTTTATTAAATTTTCCTAAGCAAGAAATAAAAACTGCCTTTTTACCGATTTATCAAAAAGCTTAAACTTGGATTCATTTACAGAAACAGAAACTCCTTTTATCATAGATATAAAATCACATTACTTATAATCACTTAATTTATGAAGTTTATTTGTCTAACACATATTTTTTGAGCATAAAAAGTAATGTTTATCATATAACTCGAAAATAACGCAAAAAGGAGCAGTTCTGCCATTACATCAGTTATATTTTTTTCATTCCTCGCCTTTATCTTTAAGCACATTCTTGTTCTCCTCATAAAGACGGATATATGTGTCTCATTCGAGTAATGTGTAATTAATAACTGTAATTATAATTGGTTCATAGAATCATATTATTCATAATTATGTAACTTACAAATTTCAGTTGTTTAATATTGTTTTTGTGAATAAAAAATATTTGTCACATAGTTTTGAAGTTTCTCTCATTCCTTCATAAAATTATTAGCTTGTGAAGTTTAAAATTTATAGTATGAAAGTTAATATGAAGTTTAAAAATTCTGCGAAAAAAAGAGTTGATTATATTTTTCTCACGACTACGCTCATTCGTTACGGACTAAACAGTGAAGAAAGGAAAAAAAAAAACAAAACAAAACAAATGCGAAAACAGTTTGTGATAGTCACTGTCGCTAAGACGAGGTTTTCGTAAAATAACTTTTTTATTTCATAAATAACTTGAAGTTTATTTTTAAAGTTTTTTACTTGAATCTAAAAAGCAAGAAGTGGGAAGCATCTGACAGTCTGTGAAGCAAAAAATGCCCTCAAAATTATCCTCCATCCATTCAAAAACCTTAAAATTAAGAAGGAATTAAAAAATAAGAAACTCACCGGTCGATATTCCATAATAATTTCTCGAACATGATGATCAATTTTCTTCTGCTGATGTGCCGATAATGATGGAACATAATCTCGTAATGACCCCAACACATCAGTACCTTCCTTTCGCGATTGTTGCAACAACTCATCAAATTCATGATTTGTTAAAACTGTTAGTATTGCCTGAAATTTAAAATTGCCTACTTGTAGCAGATCAAATTTTAAAGTATACAAATGTGAAATTTTAAGATAACGCTTCAAAGAAAGAATCTATGTGTCCAAATTCGTAACTATCTAAACTTATTTACCGAAACGCTTAGTATTTGTTCCGTCTAAAAATGTCTAAAATTTGTTCCGTCTCAACCCCATTACTGTAAACTACTAAACAGGATTTTCTTATTTCATATCTCAAAGAAAAAAGAAACATTCTGTAATTTATCATATAAGTATTACGATTACATTTCGGAATACATAATATCTAGAGTTTCAAAGAAAAACACCATTTAACCCAGACCTCATGTTAACTAGCGAAAATATTCTTTGTTCCTTGCCGAAAAAAGCTTGAAACCATTAAAATATTGCACAATGTATTGCACAACAATTTCTCTGAAAAATTCTTTAAAAATAACTAACGAAGTAGGAATGTGGAGCATTTGCAACAGCACAGCGTACAAAATGAGGCCATAAATTTGGATCATTTTTCCATGGTTTTTTGTTCGCAATTTTCACCAATACATTTGAAATAAAGCCACCTAGAGCAGGAAAAATTTTATGTGAACGTGTGACAGTATAAAATAATGTTTCTGAGAAGATTCCATCATCACAAAGCTGATCAATTGCTGAACCAATAGCATCCTTTGTTGCCGTCAGTTGTGTTAATAAGACATCAATATCTGAAAATGCACTACAGTGACATCACTATAGCATAAAATGCACTATGCTCTTTCGTGGAATTAATCACAGTTGTTCATCTCCTATTTAATGGGAATACAAGAACTGATAAAAGAAAAGGCGTTAATAAAACATGCAATAAAATTCAAACAAGAATTACCAAAATATCATCCTAATATTCTTAGTAGTCTTCATCACGCTTTTCCTTAACAGCCATAAACTAATCAATATTACCAAATTATCGGAACAATATAACCAGATCTCGAAGAAAGACAGTGTGACTGTACAGTATAAATAAACACTAACTCTGCAACAATAAATCGTTCTCCTCTTTGTTTTCAGCACAAATTTTGTGCAGCGCCACAAGTAGTTCACCTGCACCCATTGGATGAAGGCCAGTTTTAATACCTAAAATTTACCGATCAAAAAGATTGATAAATACGGTAATTAAGATAACCTTAGTTCCTCCAACAAATTTTAACTTTGGACTTACTCCTTCCAGCCAAGAGTTTGTTGAATACAATAGGTACTGATTTTTGATTAACTGGCGTGAGAACAAACTTAGGCAAAATGCTCAATATCTGATCCTGAAAATTTACATTGAGCGGCATATATAATAACTCGCCAAATCAATACGAATCCACAAACATGATAAATAGAACACCTCCTTAATCATATTTTCAATCTTTTTCGTCAAAAAAATTCTTCCTTCTTTGAAGATCTGACGAAGATGACTGAAAACATCAAGGTTATAGCTAAAGTTATCTTAAATTATCATCTTTTTGCAAAACTATACGTTCCCTACTTACAACACCATATCTAAATCATAACCTTATCGAGACCACTCAAAACTGGTATCATTGAGCGAACATCGGTTCTTCCCTGTTCATACAGAGCAGTTATCCTATTTACAAGATCTTGAGTTGGAGGATCTATAACGAAGAGTAAATTAATTTCACTGAAACTATAAAAGATTTCAAATAGCGGTTGTTCGAAAAAAAAAAGGTTTTTTAAAAGCACATTATCCATCAACAAACAAATAAATTGCAAAACGCACTCCTTTCAGTGAGAAGATGTACTATTCTAGCAGCGAATGTTTCAGCTCCTTGTGGACAATTTTCAATCATTTCTAAAAGATGCTCACTTGTTGCACCCATTGACTTTATAGCACTATCAATTGTGCGCAGTGTAACCTGAAAATATATACAGATTTCTTCTTTCGAAGCAATAAAATCTTATAAAAATTCAGTCCATCTCTGGACTATTTTAATTTCCCAAACTTTTGAAAGGTTGTTAAAAATGATCCCTAACAAAAAAAGAATAACTTCAAAACGATCGTGATTGATCCATGGATTTACAGTGTCACCATTAATCAGTGGAGCAGAAAGGATATACCTTAAGCTTATTTTTTCTTTCTCTCGAAAAATAGCTTAAATTCATGAATGTTTTAAAAAAAATCTTTAAGCTAATCTTTTCCCCTAGGCATAATTCCATTTTTCTTCTTCTTTTACTCCACAAATTTAATAGATTACAAAAATACATGAAAACAAAGGTACAGTAAAAACCAGCTTAATAAGAATTTAAGTTTTACCCGCTTGATATCATTTGAAGATTTCGCATAAACAGCAGCCAAAGTATGTATCAGTGAATGGTCAAGAGGAAGAATGGATAAAAATAAGTTTAAGGTAATGCGTATTGATGCGTCATCCCAGTCAGATTTGGTACTTTCTTTTTCATAGGTATTAAGTTGCGCAGGCGGGATTGGTCTTGTGCAATAATTTATTGAAGAAACTAAATATTCCCTGACATCTCCCCTGAAAAAAAAGGAATTTTTCGAAAATTCAATAAATAGTAATTATAATTCATAATGAGAAATAGTTGCCTGACGTAATCGATCTGATATAGTTCTTTCGCCGTTTCAACACTTTGTGTACGGACATCGGCTCTGTCATTATATGAAAAATCTAGAAGTATACACAACAATTCATTTCGTTGTCTTGCTCGAGTTAAAATTAGTTCACGTAATGTTGTCATTCCAAATGCTCCAAATACCTGTAATTCTTTAAGATCTATTTCCGAAAAAAAAAAAGGACCGGAAGATTACCAGTTATTAAAAATTTTGCTATAAAGAACGAAAAAATAACACCTACCGAATCAAGACAAGCAGTTCGTAACCATACAAGAGACTGCGGTGTTAGCAAAGGTGCTTCTAGTAAGATCTTATGGAATAAACTGTAAAAAAATAAAGTTAAATTTACAGGTACGTTAGGATTTCTGTCTTTCCTATGCAGAGAAATGGATGAAGGTTAAGGAATAAGAATGATCACGTTTCTTTGTGTTCTCCTCGTTCATATAATGTCCTTAATAAATTGCACAAAACTGCATCGTAACGTTTGTAACGCTGAGATTCATTGTGATATCCATCTGTGGCATAAGAAGTCCGGCATACGGAATACCTGAATAATTTAATCCGTTTCTTTTTTATTAGACTTATAACGAATAAACAGGTTAATGTAAATGTAATTCTGCATAAAATGAACAAGAAACATAAATATATAACTTCTATATATTTATTTCTATTATATATATTAATATAAATTTTTATTTTATATTGTTGTAATTTTGACCAGAAACTGTCAACATAAGTACCCTTGATACTGCGCATAAAGTTCTGCTATCCACAATAATGCCAGTTCAGTTCGTGACTTCTGTTCTTGTACAATAAACATCATGAGTAGATTTTCAAAGTCATCACATGAATCATGATCGAGACGAGTTACAAGCCTGATCAACAATTTCTGTTGTGCAACACCTACACCGCCTTGAATTGCTCTTTCTATAAGTAACAAGTACTTCATACAGCTCATACAAAAAACAAAAATTTTACGAAAACAAATGAAAGACAAATTAATACAAATGCAATCTGCACAGAAAAAGCAGATATAAAATACATGAAAAACACTCGGTTTGCACCTTTCCCATGTGTCTTAAAAAACTATTAACAGTGCCAACTGATTTTAGACTGCTTTAAACACTGATAAATCTAACTAAAAAAGATGAAATAAAGAAGACAAAGAAGTACAAACTTTCATTGGCTAATATCCTTTGAAATGCAAGAAGAATAAGTTTCAGCGATTGTTCTCGATCTAATTCTTTAGTAATAGAAAGCAATCCAAACTGAATCTTTGGTCTAGTTTTTGCTGACAACGCCTGAAAAAAAAAAAAAAAAAACTTAAAATGCAGCAGAAAAGCAATTCGAACAGCGCGCAAAATAATAGACATTTCGCAGTAATCAATTTTAAAACAAATAAATGATAGTACAGATTCAGATTGCTGCGCTTGATTTTGCTGCACAGAAGGAAATTGATGCAGTGGAGCGGATGGGATGACGGCACCTTCCATTTTTGCGGCTTGACGTGCTAAAGCAATTTAAGCAATTTTATTTATCATCTCTTCACGATATGTCAGAAATGTACATAATAAAGTGCTACCGCAAACTAAACGACGAGATTGGTTCAGCTTTCTCCAAAATAAAAATGATTATTAAATTTAATTCACAAGAAAATTCTTAAGCAATATTCAATTCTCTACCACTTATTCCTATTATTTTTGTACTATTCAGTGATCATAAATCTGGAAAAATAACCGATATACTGTTGGTTTTCTGCCCGAATTTTCTCGATTCCTGGACCTAACTCCATGTTAGTTAACTGTGTTGCAATCATCCGTGATAAGTGCCGAATCTGACTTTCCGTACCAGCTGCAGCAATAGGAGTATATGACGATTGGAATGCTGCAGGCATTTCGTCCGGAAGTGTTACCTGAAAGTATAAATTAAACCTTTTCTTCAACGAGATGTTCCACTTTAGTTAAACAGAACTCACTGACTAACATATGATTCGCAGTGTAGTTAAGAAACTGCTGATGACATAATTAACTCACAAGGGATGTAAGAACCAAGTTTGTAACCAATTTTGGTTTCAATCGTTCGTATACAAATTGGGCAGTAATATCAACAGCAAACTGAGTTTGACTTTTTTCGATCGGTATGCTTGGACCAGCCTCATCTTCGTATTCCTCATCATCTTCCTTTTCAGCAACTGCCGGAGTTTCTCCGATACCCTTCAGAAATGACACAAGTCAAATGAAAATATTCAAAAAAAAAAAAAAAATACATAATAATGCTAATGTAAATCAATAATCCAGCTGTCGATTTTCAGGTTTGTGTGTTTTTAGCCAATTCAAGCAATGATAATATTTCATATAAATTAAAATGATGGTCCGCGCTCCAACAGCAGTTAGTTCTATAAAAATCTTACTTTCATTCTCTTTGTTTCCGGTTCGTCACTACTCTCATTATGTCGATGAGACTTTTTACGCTGTTCACTCGCAGAAGGTAATGCGCGTAAAACCTCCTGAAAATCGTTGCAAAACTAAGTGTTGAAAGAAAAAATTAAAACACATTATTCTTATTGTGGCATTTTAACTCCATATTCAGTTCTTAAAAATAGCTTTGTCCAATGATAGTGTTCTTTAAAATGAACTTGGAATTACCGATTGCGCAGCTCCTAAATCTGTTAATAATGTCATTATTCTTGGGTGAAATGGAACGCTACTAGAATGTCGCAAAAGGCGTAGAAGATGCATTTTTAATTCCTTGCGTACACTTTTCACTTGACTTGTTGCTAAAGTTGGAGGAAGATTAACGTGTAAAGATTCCAGAGCTCCTAAAATTTCAGTATATGATCAAAAAGAATTTAAAACAATTAGCAAGTGTATATTGCAGTTCAATTCATAAATAAAAGAAAGAAAAACCTTCAGGACATTTCACAGATATTTATTTCTGGACTAATAACTATTGAAATGAGCAGAAATAGAAATTTTTTAAATAAAATGTACAAACTGAATGCAATAAATTTCAAAATTCATACCAACAACTCTTTGCATAAACTGCGGACGCTGTTGAGCGATATTACAGATACAAGTTAGACAAGTTAACAAGTTAAGCGAGGATATATGTGCCGAAGAAATATGATCAAGCAACGAATTGAAATTTAGCGTCGCTTCACTCTCCATTTTACGATATGAGATAAATCGATGGTCGCGACCAATTTCGTTTAAGCACATATTATCACCACGACCTTTTTCACTTTCCTAGATAAATTTAATAAAATATAAGAGATAAGAAATAAGTGTAAATGAAAGCATACACCAAATTTTTGATGCTAAAATATCCAGTTCTAACAAAATTACAGAATAATTCGAAAAATTAGCTCACCTCAGTTCGCAGTGTTTGAGCAAGGATTACAGCTTCCAAAAATCTAATAGTTTGGGTGCGTATGCTGTAAATGTTGAGTATCTATGAAATGCAAAATAGACAGGAAGTTAGCTAAAACAAAATCAATTTTAAAAAAATAGAAAAAATAAGACTGCATACCAATAATAAATACTATAAAAAAAACTACACCCTTCGTTATCAGAATCGATGTGCTGCATGATACGTCCTTTCAGTACTGAGAAAGCTTCCCAACATCGTGCAATCTCAGCACTGCGTGATCCAGCTGCCCATTTTAAAATAAATGGATATAACTGCGAACATACAGTGATTACCTTAATAACAGCACATCATGGGACTTTCAAAGAAGGGAAAAAAAACAATTCAAAAAATGAAAATTTAATGAATTTGTTACACAACAATAAATTTAAAATGTAAGTGAGACGCCGAACCTTACACATTTAAGTTACTGCTACTATAAACACTCTTCCCCTATATTAAGTTTGTATTGTTGTGTAATAATATATAAACAAAATTTCACCTTTTTGATAACGGCAACCATTCCCAGACCAGCAGCTTGAATGAGATATGATAGCGAGACAACAGCCTTTTTCATTACTTCGCAATCCTTTTTACTATAAATAAATAAAAGTCATATAAAGTGGTCTGCTGGAACTGTGAAACATGAAATGTGAACATTTTAGACCATAAACAGAAATTCTTGATGTACCAAGCTTTTTCAATAAAGGATGCAACGAAACAACGCATTTTCGAGTCATTTTCCACTACAAATTCGAGCATTTCATCGAGAAAATTGTCAAGAAGAGAATTGCTTTTATCTCTATGTAGTAGCAATTCTTGAGCCTACAAATATTTGTAAAATTAAGGTACAAATAATATGTTCTCAATGAAATATGCAATTTGGGATAAATTTAAATTTCACTCGATATTAAGTGGATTTGCAAATCATTAACATGTTCTTAATAATCTAAGCAAAATTATCCGGAACAAATTCAAAAAACTTGATGTTGTTTTAATTCTTAATTGTTGATAGCTTAATTTAACTGTTAATTTAACTGGAAACAAACACATAATAAAGAATTAAATCAATTCTTAACTTCCATAATCCCAACTTAATAGTTTAACAAGACGAATTTCAAAGAGTAATCTCCTGTGTATTCACTGTTTGCACTTTTCTCACTCCTATTCCTATTCTTTTTGCTCTCATAATAATGAATTAAAAATAAATACTCTGTAAAGATGCTTGATGCGAATATCCACTGATTTACCGGACGATTGATGCGCTTCACGTATTTCATTTCCAATCTGGAAATAATTTCATCCAAAACTTTAATTTTTTTCTGATGATAGCACATGTAGGAACATTTCATACTTTTAACACGCTAGAAATTTGCTTTGGAGCGAGAACTGAGAAAGTTTATAATGAAAGAATAAACTTACCTCTTCGCTTGTATTTTCACTATCTGTCATCTTCACTATATTCCAACGATTCTTCTTCGAAATTAACTCCTTCCTCTAAATAATTACACTTCTATGCATATCTGATAAATGAACAAACTTAAAAAACAGTAAAGCCACTTTTTCTGTTAGATCTTTATCTAGAATTACAAGTAATGGATAGTAGCGATAGAAAGGCGAATGGGACAGATTAATGCATACAAATGTACTAATCTCTAAATTTTTGAAGAAAAAAAAATTTGAAAGGCAAAAGAGAATCATTAAACCTTTAAGCCTAAGCCAATAATAGGCTAACACTCATCACTAAGCTTCTGCAATCAACTAGACGTATTTCACCAACCTTAATTTAATTACTGGTTTTTGGCGAGTTACGCCTAAACCGAAATGTCGGCAGCGAGGTTTTGCTAATGGATGTGGTTAAGCTGCGGTCTTTTGGTGGGGAAGGTTTGTTGTACTGCCTAATATGTACATATTTTAGGGCATGGCTAGTACTAATACCGATAGGGTCAATTCGAATTTATTCGAGACGTTCGGCAATAAATTGAGTAAGCTTGATTTCAATATATTCTGAGAACTAAAATATTTATTGTAGCTCAGTCTCTCTAGTGAAGCGTTTATCCCTCAGACGTGTTCACCATCTTCAGATGTAATTTGTGGTCGTCAGTTCTAGCAGAGAACATATGGAAAATGAAAAAATTAGTTGAAATGAGTGCTGAAAATTGGAAAATGATCATTTAGATACAGTTCGGTCGAATCGCTCATTAGTTGCTGCCAATCAACAGCTTCGAATTCAGCTCGCATTCTCCAAAGCAGAGATCAGCCGATTACAAAATGAAATCGTTGACTTGCAGAGACGAATTGCAGGATTGGAATCAACGAATGATGAAGAACGCATCGAAATGATTGTAAGGAAACGACTACAGGTTTGTTTTTACTCTTTTTTTTTGGAGCATGAAGTTTGGTTTTGGTGTTGTTTTTAGATATGAATCGTTGCACTAATTATTTTTAAATTTAGACGAGTTCATTGGGAGAGAAAAAGCTGAGTAGAGTAGTTGAGTATTGTATAGTTATTTGACTAATTTCCTTCTTTTTTCTGCAAGAAATCTCAGCAGTATCTTTATACGCATGTTTTTATTTTAAATTGAAGAAAGAACTGCAAGGATTAAATAAAGAAATAATTTATTCTGCAGCAAAGAGTGCAGCATTTGAAATCTATAGCTAGCCGTACTGTGCAATATATGAAGAAAACAAAAGAAGATTTTGATCACGCAGCAAATCGCCTCGATCACGCTCTGTTAGTAAAATGTTGCTTGTCAGTGAATCTTACTGCGTTCTACTTTCTCTGCGATAAAATTATGTGGCTTTTTAGGTTGTGCAGTAATTTCAATGGGGATGACGTTTGTAAAGGCGAATGCAGTCAGAGTGTTGTAGTACCATCTACTTGCGAAACAGGTATTATTATCATGCTTCAGAGTTTATCAAATTTTATATGAATTTCTATACAATTGTTTTTATGGGCATAATTTAAGAAAACGAAATTACTGGACGTCGTGTGCAGCGACCACCTGTTCTTGAAGCTGTGGAGGAAGTGAGTTATTTGCTTCTGATTTTTCTTGATTTAGTCTAACCGTCAACGTGCATTTCATCTTTACAAGTTGATATTATTTCCAGTGTTTAGGATATTTACGGTGAAAAGGACGGAAATGAAGACATTATTTCCAGTAGAGGTCTAATCATGCCTGTAAGCAATGATGGATTTGAGCCAACGCCAGACGGTCACAAATCTAACCGTAACAGTCGACGACAAACTTTTTTTATTAAAAAAGAGCCTCATGAATTTGGTCAATTTTTACCTATATAATAAAACTTCGGGAATTTTTTCAAGTATTTTTGGATACTTATTTTTTATAGATTTTTTTCATTTTTTTCAGCATTTTTGCATTTTTTGCATTTTTTGATGCAGAAAATTTTTATAGATTTATGTATTTTTAGAAAATGACGTCGAAGCTTCTTTTGTTGAAGTATCTTTTCCTAAAACGAATCAGACAATTTCACCTTTCTTAATTCAGAACGATGAAGGTCGTTTATTCTTATGAATCCGTCCAAGATTATTTTTGTCTTAGCTTTTAATTTTCGCTTAAAACTTCAAAGATTTGAATTCAATAAGACTAAAGTTGTATTTCAGATTCGTCCACTGCTGTTGTTCTGACGGAACATATAACCCCTACTATAGTCCCTGCACGTGGTTCACTCACAACATTTCCTGAACTTAAAACATCTACTGAGAAGATTTCATCTTTCTCACCTCAGAACCATAAAGGTAATTCATCCTTATGAGTTTGTCCAGGATTATTTCACTTTTAATTTTAATTTTCTCTTTGATTTTTGAAACTCTGTTGGTAAGCAAAAGCAAATTATATTACAGATCCACTAGCTGTTACTGTTATGATGGGACCTATGACGCCTTCCACGATCTCTATACCTAAAATTACCACCACACTCCCTAAACCTGAAACACCAACTACTCACTCTAGATCAAAACTTTGTATATCGAAGGCAATGCATGATGAAAATACACCAGCGAAAAGCAACCAGATCGAGGAGTCGAAAGTTGTAATGCATGCCAGAAAGAAAAGGAAGATTTTAACTAGTGAACCAAGGTATGTTAGTTGTTTGCAAACTTGAAAAGTATTGATTAGAAGTATTTTGGTTTTTTTTTTTTTTTCGTTTGATCCTTTATGATTGCAGAAAATGTAAAATGAGCTTGGAAAATAATACAGAGATTACGGAAGAAATCAAGATTCTGACAACTCCAACATCTACACCATCCACTTCTATTCTGAGCGTAGCAAATTTAAATGAAAGTGTCCGATATAAACGTGCTGCAGCAGCGAAGATATCATCTTTCAAGGAACCAAACTTAGTAACTAAAATGCGCAATCCAAATGTTAATTGAAAAATTTGGTGTAAGTATGAAAAGGAAAGAAAAAGATCTAATCTAGAAAAGGATCTGTATAGTGTATTTTAAAAAGATAATTTAAACAGTTGATTTTTAATTGTTCAGTTTTCTATTTTTTATTTATTTTATATATATATATATATATATATATATATATTTTTGTTCATTTTCTAGCTATATTTGTTCAAATGGACGAAACGAAGCAAGCTTTTCTCATATAGTTTACGTGTCATGTGTTTGATTGCATAAAATGAATCATTTCCTTAGGAATTCTCACTGGAATCTGCACAGCCTTATTGAGTTATTTGTTTGGTTTATATAGGTTATTCTTTGCAAATACCCTATAAAACGACCTACTTGTTTTTTTAAATATGAGGGAAAACTTCCACTGTTTAAAGTGTTTGTGAAAGATAATTTTCAACTTGGAGTGGGAATGGTCTGGAACTTTGCATTCAAGAGAATGTGAGACCTGGATTATGTGCGACCTGAATTGTCATTCTCAAATCTAATAGGTTAAAGATCATATACGTTGATACAGTCATGTAGTATGATGTTTCGATGCATCATTTTAGTTGCACCATTTTGTGGTGTTGAACATAACAGAGTTATGCTGATTTACTTCGATAATTCGTAGATTGGAATGCGAAGAAACGTTTTTTTTTTTTTATTTTTCTTATTCATTGCCTATATCCTTTGAAATTGCTGGCGTTATCTTTACAGAACACCTTGATTTCATTTTTATTCGCCAACTGTTTATCGTTTTTTGAATCTAAACAAATGACTTTCGAGTTTGAATTTTGTTTTGAAAATCGTTTAGAAAAATGGACTTAGAAATTATATGGTGAGCAATTGAGTAACATTGCAACTGTTATTATCCCGAATGTAACTTCCGAAATGTAAAGCCATTTACAACTAAAACCCTTTGAAGATATAGGTAGAAGTTGCTTCACTGCTTGTGAAGAAATTACATGTTGCAGATTACTGTCCGGAATCGCCGCTGCTGTTAATGCTCGAAATAGGTGTACCCCACGTCATCTTCCAGTCGGGGAGTGCGCTGAGTGAAATTTTTTATGATGATGTTAATAAAAAGGTACGATAATAGAGAGAAATGGATAAATTAGGAAAGAATAAGATGAATAAAGAGTGAAGTGTGGCATGTAAAACTGCTGAGCTTACTGTGGTAGCAGCGTTGCGAAGAGGGAATTCGTTAGTTTTTTTGTTTAGATTGTAACAGTTCGTGGCGAAGATGTCGTGGAAGTAAAGGCTTATGGACTAGAATCAGATGAGATCACTTCATTTCGGTGATTTTAATTTCCAAACTCGAAATAAATGTTGGATATTATTGCTGTCCTTTTTTCCCATTGAATTTTTTTTTTCGAATCACATTATCCGATTATCTTCAATAAATGCAGTCGATTGCATCCCATTTTTAAATTTCTTGTCGCAAATGTTATTTGGAATTGGTTTCCTATTGAGGCAAATTTTTATAGTAATTCTCTTTGTTGTAAATTTCAGATTGAAGAACAGGAATAAAATTCGAGCTATTAAATTTTCTCCAGACCAACGCTTGATATGTGTGCAATATGATGAATCTACTGTTGTAATGACTGAAATTTTAATTTTAAGGATAATTTAGGGTACACAAAGCACATAGTTCCAAAATTTTTAATGTTTACATTTTTGGAAAGGTACAATGTGATGTTCAATTAATAATTAATAAAATTTCAAGTGCTCTATAGTAAATTTAAGTTAATTTTCTGAACTCGGTTTTTCAACAAATTTAATAATTAAAAAATGTCTTAGGTCCATATCAGCAATGATTCTGTGATACTTTTGTCATGTTAATATATCTATATACAGAATACTTTTGTCATGTTAATATATATACATACATATAATCGTATAATATTTCATTATACCTTATTTTAAGGATTTTATAAACTTCACAGCTCTTAGTACCAACTCTTTATCTACATGTTTCTCACAGTCAGCGAAAAATTGTTCAGCACATATCATCGGCCTGGAGTGGATCCTGAACAGCCAGATCCTGTTTATTACAAACCAGGTTTCTGTTAACATTACAGTTTGCTTCAGTTCTTATAATTCGGAAACTCATTTTTTTTTAGTTAAAAAATTTTTTTAAGAAGGAAATTGATATAGCCATTTTTCAGATAAATCAAATATGTCTGAATCCACTTTTCCACTTATTACTGTTACTCTCTTGCATTTTTTTCAGGGATTAGAGTTGTATCAAATAAATCAAGGAAAGAAATCAGTGAAGCTTTTGAAATCGTATAATATTTCATTATATTGGTACTTATATTATGTAAGCTTTAATATCTACTTCAGATTTTTCCTAGATTTGCTTTTATTAATTTTTGATTCAAAATTTTCTGACTACTAGTTGCCATTTTCCCATATTTGAATGATTGTATGTTCTCATTATTTCTATTTATTTATTTTCTATTGTGAGGATTTTCGTGAATTTTCGTAGCCTGTACTGATGTTCGATGTAAAATTTTAGCCTTATTCACAGCTGATTATTGTGTCATCTGGAGTTGCTGGTGCTTTATTAAATCCATTTGCTGTTCAGGTACTCTTACTATTTTTCTGTTGATTAAAACTAGGCGAATAGGCGAATAATGTTTAAGATTTAAATCGGAATTGCTATGGTTGAAATTTACAAGCAGTGAAACTTTTGCGTTCATCATGTTATCATAATTAAAATAGAAGTATACATCGATTAATGAAGATATTTAGAATGGAAATATACATCGATTAGTGAAGTTCGAAGTTGAGTTTAGTCGTTCGAATACAAAACCGCGATTATTGGAACGAGAAGTATTCGTCATATCTTTGTTTGTTTTGTTTTTTGTTTTTGTTTAGCACATTAAATCCATTCCTTGATTCTGCATAAATAAATTAAATCACAGGAGAGCTTTTTGGTAAGCTATAAGTTATTAATTAAGTAGTAATTTAGTAGGCAGTAGAGATGAATTATTAATTAAGAAGTAAAGAAGATTACTTCATATGTTCAGTAAGCTCTTTTTTTCATGTCTTGCGTTTATGGCCTCTGAAAACATTTCAATCTAATGAATTAGCGAATTCGAAATTACCAAAATATGACTAGCTTCTCACGTGAAATACTTGTAAAATTATTTTATCCACTGGTTACTTAAAAGCATCCGAGCTCAGTTTAAAATATTATCTTTAAAAGATAAAAATCACAAGCATACTTAAGTAAATCAGCTTTTTCACAAAAATTTTTTTTTCAACCTCTGATATATCGATTGCACTTTCGGCTATCTTTTTCTAACTTCTCTTCTTTTTCAGATGTTATGTTGGCAGAAATTAGTGATGGTTAAAACATAAGCTTCTGTACTGTATTTAAATAATTTGCTCCTTTCAGATTACAAATGATTGTATACTCTTTTACCCAATATTAAAATAACGCAAGACATGAAAAGAAGAGTTTGTTGTTTTTAACTATCTATCTTTTTCCAACTTCTCTTCTTTTTCGAATGTTATGATGGCAGAAATTAATTAAAATTACAGGTTTAAGCTTAGCCTATAAAATTATTTATAATTCGTGCATTTTCAAATCTCCGTGAATCTTAATTGATGACTTCGTTTGTATATTAATCGAAGGTATTTTATAAAAACTACTGTAGAATGATAGGATGAAGTTTATATATCATTATGAATTATATAATATTATGAATGGCTTTATTCAGGATCATTGTCTTATCCTAGCAAGTTGATTTAAACCTTGTTTTTGTGAAATGTAATAATACGGATTACTGAATGAAAAGTCTGTAACCAACAAGAAGTTAAGTTTTCCATGGAACAGCATTATTGAAAAAGTTTTGTCCCCGAAATATTACTGATATGCTTTATTTAAAATGAGTATGGTTGGAACGGAGGTACCAAGGATATAGACTCACATTAACTTTTTCCAAGTATTTAATTAAATCTTTAAGTTCTTTTAAGAAATCGTGAATAAAATGTAAAATGATGGGTTTATATGATGGTCATTATGAATTATATAATATTATTATAAATTCTATTATTTATGTTCTTGAAATTGTAAATTTTCCAGATATAATACGTTATACATAGCAGCGTTACGTAGTAGTACTCGCGACTCCACTAGTACTGATATCGCTTTGTATAAAATGAGTACGGATGGTATGGAAATACCAAAGCTTGCTCATATTTTGTATTTGGATATGGTTGGTGCCTTTGCTTTGCACGGATTTAACAACTTGGTTATTGTGCACCATCAGGTAAGATTCTGAATTAGAATTTAGGGAATCCTGCTAGTTTAATTTTTTAATAATTCATGTTGTTCAGAGGCATTATTTTGGTAGATGGAAAATGAGAGCATTATTTATACTCACATATATCCATTCTACTAGGGATATTTCTGCTAATGCATTTATCACTATCTTTTCAGAGTTCAAAAACATCATTAATTTTTGATATTGGTTTGGAAGAAGTTCCAAAAGCTGGTTGCATCTTGCATCCTCTTTTTAAAACTTCGTTAAATTGTTCGGATTCGCTAAAAACCAAATTTAATCACGAATTCAAGCTCTACAGTCCTTCTTGGGTGATGTTTCAACCAAACTTTATTACGGACGCAAGTGTTGGCGTTTTCACATCGGTTTCGTTAGATCCAGTTGAAGCTGGAAATTGTATTGAGGACAAAGTAATGCTTTTACCTCTCATTCCATTGCTTGACATGTGAATTAGTTTATGTTTTAGTAGTAGTGGTATGTAGCAAAATTTTCACAAAAATGAAGAAGTAAAAGTTAATTCTTACCTTTATACTGATGAAATCTTTTCAGTATCAGTACTTACGTTTCCTATACAATAGATGTATTCCGAAGTCAGCATTTTTGGATATTTTGAGACATTGCATGGTTGATAATAAATTGAAACTAAAGCAGCTGGCACATGTTTTCAATTGGTTTGCGAAAGCGATTGCTAAACGTGCTTTACCAGTCTTGAAACACAGCGGTAATTCCATTCTATTATTCATTTTATAATTTTTTTTTATCTTCTCAATAATTATAGTAACTATGATGCAAAAATATGTTTTTAGTAATGCAGTCATTATATTATTTTATTCTGAAACTGAAGTGTTCTGTAGATTCGGGTTGGATGGTTGGAGTTCTTATAAAATTTTAACCATATTTTTCTATGGCATTTTTGTCTAATTTAGAAAAGTTTATTCAAGATGGAAAATATAGTAGGAAGTATTCCATTTCTTTGTTTGATTGTCGAATTTTATGGTAGATAGAAATTTCAAGAATTCTACAGATAGTGGTGTAAAATATACTTTAATGGCTGAACCATACGAAGAAATTGCTATTGAACAAGGAGACGTTGTGGGTAATCTATTTCTGCTGCCGGATGACTATACGTTGGATCAGAAGCAGCGTTTTCTGCAATATATGTTGCGCTATCTTACAGCTTTGCAAGAAAACAAGTTAGAAGTGCAGGTTCGTTAGTGTAGTTGTTTGTTTAATCACTTGCTCAAATTTCATAGGGAACGACTATTTAACTGAAGTTCAGCCATCTCATAATCCCTTAACGTGGTGACTGAAATGTATTCACTTTATCTGATTCCGTAAAATCCAATATAAATAATATAAAATTGAGAGAGAATTCTTATTCAATGTGAGGTAACGGTAGGTCACAGTTCCTAATTCCAAAGACTGCTTTTATGATTTCATCTTTAATCTTTTCTTCTGTTACATCGTATTGAATTTTTCCCAGTAAATACTGATTTTTATAAGCATCATATAATTGGAATCTAAATGGCTAGGATTTTATAAGTTGTTCGTAAAATGAGGAAAATTAAATCAGGAGTACAAGTTTTATTGCATATATTTTTTAATCTAGCGATTTCTTGCTATTTTTAATGTGTTCAATGTTTTAGCCTTACTTTCTCAATGAAATATTGGTACCCACTATGATTACAATGGGACAGTTGGAAAGACTTCATCAGTTGCTGTTGTATCGCATTATTCCAGACTCCAAACAACTTGTTTGTCCCATCAATGTTTTGAAATTAATAATTACAATTTTACCAGTTCACCTGTTTTTATTTCGACAAAGAACCAGACACCACCGCAATTTAAATTTATACCGTTATTGCCGTTAAATGAAAAGATACTCGTTTCTCCGAGAGTTTCCACTCCTTACTTTTAGGCATTTCAACTTCTCTCGCATGAAGCAAAATATTCTCCCTTTGTTCAACTCGCTCTAGATATGCTCTCAAGGCTTGGCACTGCTACCGAAGAAATTGTTGAAATTTTAATATCTAGAAGATTGGTTGTAGAAGCCATCAGGTTAAACATGCTGTGATTTTATCAAATTAATTTTGAAGTAAGAACACTTTATAATAAAAGTGGAAATCAAATAAGCATGTATGGTATCATTTGTAGATTCCTGGAAAATTCACAATCAGCAGATAAAGTGAATGGCTTAAAGCTCATTGAGAGTGCATGGAAGGAAAATCGTTTGATTCGTTACGCTGTCTTCTCATACTTCCTTGAACGTGGTTCGAAAGTTAAAAACTGCAATACAAATTGTTAGTTCCTCTCCACTCGCATTATTTAGCGAGAAGTTGCTTTGTTTAAATAAATTAAAAAACTCCTCTGACAAATATATGAAAACTTGCTGATCTTTTCATTATTCAAAGTAATTATTTTATATTTCCAGCCGGACAATTCGAAGAATTTTCCAAGAAATTTGAAACTTTATTTAATGATGAAGAGATTAAAGTTGCCAGAAGAGAGTTTCATTTCATGAGCACTTCCGGAAACGAACTGTAGCAGGAAACTCTACTGAGGACAAATTTGACTTTTCCCATCTTATGAAGAGTGCTGTTGAAGACACTTAATACCGGACAATGATGTAGATGCATGCGATCTTGGAAACTTTTCCAACTGTCCCGAGAAATTACAAATTTCGTTACTCTTTCGATACATTACACTCAGTCTAGAATAGTCAGATTTTATCTACCTTATTAATCAGTTATATTTATTTTATCTCATCTTCAAATTGTTCCTATGTTCAATTCACATTACTCCAAATCACCGTTATGCATTACCTCTAAATAAGTTCCAAAATGTACATTTCCAGTGTGCCTACATATTTTTCATTTCAAAAAACAGTTTATAATTTCATCTTCATGATTATGTTCATTTGATCACCAAAATGTCTTTCGCAAAAAAAATTCCGAGATATATCAAAGCCCGTGTAAGGATGTACAAACATTTTGTGCCTTTACACCACATTAGCATGAAAACTGAGTCTAGGAATAAGTAAACTCGCTTTCACAATAGTTCTTTCAGTTTTGCGTAAAAAATTAAACGGAAATCTAAAAAAGCTGAGATATAATAAAACTAAAGATTTTGTATCATAATCCTGCACGCATTCATTATCAAAATATTTTTCTGTTACTGAACTTCGCGCTTTTTCATCTTAATGACCAGATCTTGCAAATTAAGTTTTTTAGCATGCCCGAGTGGTGTTAAATCAAAATAGTCACTTTTGTCTGGATCAGCACCTCGACCGAGCAGATAATATATTAGTTGCTTATTTCTTGATTCTACCGCCTGCAAAATATTTCCACTAGATATTTTGCACAAATTTTATGGTAGAGAAGTCGTTCCACGAAAATAAGTGATAGTTGGTAAAGAATATTTATAAAAACAACTGTGGAACTTTAAAAAAATTCTGGAACATACAATATGCAGAGCAGTCCTACCACCGTAGTCTTGTTGATTTATATCAGCTCCAGCAGCAAGCCAAGAATTTAGTGTCTCTATGTCACCACAACTGGCACATAGGCATAGTTCAACACCTTCAAATTTGTTCAGTAAGGGAAGACCCTTTCGATAAAATCTTTGATTGAGAGGTCCGTCAATACTTCTCGAAATAAATTTTTCAAGGACTTACCTAGCTGGAATGGACTTATGGAAAGTACTGCTCCTGCAGACCGCAAAGTCTCAATGCAAACCTTGTTTTTTGTTCTTACTGCAGCTACAAGGGCATTCTCGTCTCGCTGATCCCTGTAAAATAAGGATCATCACACAGAAGCTTTGTGTCTCTTCAAATTAAAAAAAAAAAGATCAATATGGAGTTTTGAAAAAGATACTATGGCTGGGATGTTAGGTAAAATTCGTATAGGGCCTTGGCACATATAATCACATAGTCCAAAGAATAATATACTGGAAGAACTACAAAGTTTTTTTCACCAAATGCTTTTCATACGACTCCTTACCTAAGTTGGAAACTAACGCCTTGAGTCAACAGGTACTTTACAGCGTCCACATGTCCTGCACTAGCTGCTATATGTAGAGCATTACGTCCATTGTAATCGATAGCCGAAAGATTAGCTCCATTTTCACGAAGTGCGCGAAGCAGCTCAACATTACCACTATCAGCAGCATGACACAGTAATTGTGGAAGAATAGCGTGGCGTAGAAACTCCAGTTCGTGAGAAGTATTTAGATGCAAGAACCTTGCTATCTGTGAAACTGTAATACTTCAGCAGTTAGAAAAATATAATTTTGATAAAAACAAGAAAAAGTTCAGCAAAGATTTTTTTTTTGGAAATCTACCTATTTCAAGGTCTCTGAGTGGTTTTGGTTGTGTAACAGTTAATTCGCCTCTGATATTTTTGACCATCATTGCTTTCTTCTTTGAAAGTCCCCAACAATCTTTGCTTAGTACATATGATAATTTTGTTAATGCTGCTTCCGTAGTCATATCTGAACCAGGAATGACTCCTATATCATAAAGAATCTGAAAAACTAGTGGAACAGATGAAAATACATTTCAGGAGCAACCTATTATGCTAACAAGTCATATCCAATAGAGTGATAGTGATAGGCAAAGCGCACTCAAATTCAGCTTGGCAAATTTAATAAGTTCAAAAATTTACTCTAAACGCAAACCATGTCAAGTAAAAATAAAATGAAATAAAAAAAATCAACGAGTGCCTGCATTATCATTTTTTCAAGTGATGAAATAAACGACTTAAAGTTTTTTTTTCAGTTAAGCATAATATGAATGAATACAGCATGCTAACTTTTCCTGTTAAATACTGAACATCTACTTGTCCCCGGACACACTGTGAACAATTGATAATAAGACATCCTCGATCAATAGCTTTTTTCAATTCATCTATTATATCTGTTCTATGGGATGGCATATTACCAGCACCAAATGTCTGCAGGACAACACCTTCGGTGGGTGGTTGCAATGATGCTCTCACCTAAAAGTTCAATTCCATCACAATTTTTCTCGAAACTTGAAATATAAGGAAAATTTAACGAGCTTTTCATTTATTGCAGAAATAAGAATTTTTTTTTAAATCTCTAAAAATGTATGATACAAACTGCACTTAATTCATTCACTGCAAAAAACTTCTCTAAACCTGTGTAGAATAATTACTCAGGCAGGCACGAACTGCCTCCAAAATGGGTTTCGAATATAATTTTTAGTTGAGTTGAGTTGCTTTTTAGTTGAGCTGATTTAGAAAGAGCTACACAAGTATCTCAAGGCAGCTAAATTAATTTAAATTCATTACGAAGCAAAATTATGACCTACATTTTCTATGGATATTGATGGAAAAATTCGTAACAATCCAACATTTCGACATAATCGATCGTGTATTACAAAAGGAGCTACTGAGGGAGAGCGGAATATTGAATCATAATTAACTGCAAAGTAGCACTTTCAAAAAAAATAAAAGTGTTATACAGAAAAATGTTACATAGAAAAAAACCTAATTAAAGTAAGAAAAAGAAACAGAGCTAAAAGAAATTGAATTGACTTCACCAAACGGAACACATTCGTTATCGAATCAGGGATATCATAATAGGCTGCCATAATCAATGCTCCGATCAACTTACCTTTTATATCAATATCCATGTGAGCAATTGGGAGCATATTCGGGCTTTCAAATGCTTCTAACGAGCTGTTATCTACTTTTATTGTACGATTTCCCCGGAAGAGTTTATTATTAAAATATACAGTAACTTCAGGAATATCATAATAGGCTGCCATAATCAGTGCTCCAATCAAATTTTCCCGACCATCAGATCGAACCTCAAACACTGGGATCTGCAAAATATCAACCACAAAAAAAAAAAAAAAAAAAAAAACACGCCGTAATGGAATTGACTGAATGCATTAGAGTTTCCGCAGATTTTAAAGAATATTTTAAAGATGATGTCCAGACAATAAAATTATCAACAATTATAGGGAAATTATTATCAAATTAATTTAGTATTTACTGGTATTAACTGGAATCTCCTTTAGTTTAAAAAAAAAAAAAGAGAAACAAAATTCCGATTATCCATTTATTTATAAAAAACAAATATCAATCTGTTTGGCATATATTTTCAGAAGAGAAGATTTAAAATTATTGAATCATTGAAAAATTTATTGAAGACTGCCTTACTTGAGCACCCGTTATAACAACGGGTTTTCCAACATTCTCAAGCATAAATGATAGAGCACATGCGGTATATGCCAACGTGTCAGTACCATGCAATATAACAAAACCCACATATTGATCATAAGCTTCTTGAATGTCCTTACCAATTTTAATCCAGTCATCAAAAGTCATGTCTGATGAATCCAAAAGTGGATCATACTCGACCACCTGAAATGTAGCTTTAATGGACTTGAAGTTATAATAGCTGTAATGATGCAGCTTTTCAATTCTCATTATCCTTTCCTCAACTAAAATTTAAATAATTGACAGTTATCCGATAGAGGATCGTAATAGTCCAGAACACGGTAATAAGTGGAGCTATGGACAAGTAATCCACTGGATTAGAGAATAGAAGAAAATATCTGCTGTTATGATTATTTACTGTCCCGAAAAAAAAAAAACTTTACGGATAAATTTAAATTCATTACCCAATAAACAAGACGTTTTTTCGAATGCTGTAGTGATGGCAAACAATACGGTTTTGTTTTGGCATCAGCATAATTTGTGGACACATAATCACAATCGTTTAATAGTGGCATATTACGCATAGCACGCAGAAGATAATTAGCTTCCGGACGATATACTGCAAGTTATTTTCTTAAATCAAACACGCAACTCCACAACTGTAGGAGAAATTTGAACTGAAACACTATATGAGTGATGATTTCATTTTTAAGTTTACTATTATAAAATATTTAATGGAATAAAATCTATTATGCTTCCAAACCTCCATCAATGCATTTCATCCCAATCGTCCCACCTGTATACAACACCAAAACACGTGCCTCTTCACCATGTATTGTGCTCATGATACTTCCTTAAGTAATGCTGTTAGATCTTCCGATACTTGATAACTTAGTTGCAGCAACAGTTCCTTTCCATATCAAACTCCATTTTTTTTTCAGCCAGTAATACCTAGCAGTAAATTTGATAAAATGTTTACAATTCAGCAGAAAATATCTATTATCTTCTATAAAATGTTTATCTCAACAGCAACTTTCGTATGGGAGCCTAGTTAATATCATGGCATAGAAGACTTTCCGATGATCAGAAAAGCGTACTACAATATGGAATATATAACTATTAACAAAAATGTTCTTTATTTAAGAATGATTATGATGATTTGATCATTCAGTTAAACTTAGATTAATCCCACAAATTAATTTCCCGAAAAATTGTTACGGTAATGATGTACAGCAGTTGAGCATGCCTGTACAGAACAGTATGAGTAAAGTACATAGTACCTGCCAAGATGCTTTTTGAAGTTCGTTGATTTCTGTTCATTTATTGGATAAGATAGCATTCTGAAAAACATGAAACTTGGAAAGAATCATGAATATTACTATGTATACCAGTTACTCCACAGTCATCTAATCCACCATGCAATCTTTAAATCCTCATTTAGTAAATCCAAAGTTTGTTTGGATTATGATCAGAGCAGTTATGACTGTTCGATCTAGTATCTCTCTCGTTTGTAACATAGGATGTCAACGGACAGACAACCCTAAAAATGCATGACGTTGGAAATGACTTTTGATCAGGAAATGTAACACCACAACTATCCTGAACTGATTTTTAAATTGCGCAAAAAATTTTTCCTTCGTTATCATTCAATTATATTTACAATATATGTAAAATACCAGAAAAAGTGAAACCTTATTTCATCGGGTCAACAACACCAATTATACATAGTATGCCCACTGATATTAACATAATTACTGGTACGAAAATTTTTACTGCAAACGCTGTATATGAGATTTATTCTCTCGTTTAATAAAAACAGCTAAGAAGAATGCACTGAACAAATGATTTTCATTAACATTATGCGTATTACCATATAAAACTAATATCTGAGCTTCGAAGATATTATCCTGAAATTTTGTAACTCGTTTCTCCGTGTATGAACTCCTTCAGTGTACTAGTTCCTGGTCAAGTTTTGTAACCATGAAAAATCATCAACGAATCATCATCAAGAAACCAAACACATGATTTTATTCATGATTTTTTCATGTTTTAACATAATCAATTTCATATTCTCTTCCCATGCTATTATTCTATTATAAGTGTTTAATTAAGAGTTCAACAACCAACAATATTGACTGTTCTAATGTTTGTAAAAGTAGATCATCTATCAAGTAGATAAACCATTCGCTTATTTTGTTCAGCAATATCAGAACTGAACTGTGCAATATTAATACCAAGTTCATTTCAATAAAGTAATCCATACAGTGAAAAGTCTAATTTATAGATGGCGAAATATTCATCAAGTACTAAAAGCAACTATGCAAAGCAACAAACTGAACTGAACTGAATTGCATTGATAAAGCAATAAATTCATCTGTATAAAAATTATGAACTAAGGAGACAGTGAGCTAATATGATTTTTAACTGGTTAAAAAACCTTTGAGAGGAACACCATCAATCCTAAACGTTTCCAGTTGATAAACAATGTATCCTTAAAAATACTCCGAAAAACTAACTGTTTAAAATCAATCTTAGTACTTGAATTAGCACTTCTAAAATAAAAATGAAATTCTATAACATACAGTCAAATGGAGAATAAACTAGATTCATCTGAATTGAAAAACAAACAGAATTTTCAGACATTAGAATAAGAATTGTATGATACAGAAAAGAAAGCAATCGATAACACTGTCACATCTTTGATGCCTATACATAGATGATTAAAAGATAACACGTATGATAAATTATAGAAAACGATATAAGAAGTGATAAAAGGAACACTACTTAAAAAAAATACTGCTTTGCAGATATTTGAAATTTTCAAACGGCTCCTTCAGACCATGCTATTATCAGATTAGTATAGATTAGTACTCGCCAATTATTTCAAGTAAGTGATGATCCTGAACTGCGAGCGCCTTCATATTCTTTTTTAACATAGTCCACTAAACTTTGAGAGGATTCGACAAGCTGAAAAAAAAAAATTTTATGAAACTAGTTTGTTTTTTTCCAGATCTACTTCAAGCTGATCAGTGTACAGGGATTGACCAGAAAGTGATACTTTTATGTAGCGATTAAGGTAAACGTCGAGAATAACTAATGAAATATTTCACCACTAATCTTAATGAAGCTTATTGCATAATAATGACAACAAATTATGCATTAATTCATCTTAACATGTTAGACCTTAATATGAACAGGTCCCACTTAATGAAACCGTAAGCAAAATGTTTGAAGTTTCCAAGACATTGAAAGAAATTGTGTTAGACTGTGACTTATAAGTAATGCGTATAAAATACGCAAATCCATACATTCATCTTTCCCTATTCTTCATGCTAAATTTGAATTACTATATTTACTTACTTTTTCATATGTTTCGTTTGCGTGCGCTATCGTTCTTTCCAAACGTGAACAAATCTCTTCCTCTTTTCCTATTCTCGTATCTAACGTGTTGAGTTTTATACGTAGTTCATCAATCTGAACAACACAGAAATCAATCAGAGATATGACCAATAACATTCAGCACGCTGTTTATTACTTCAATTACTTGTTACAAAAAAAACTCTCAGATTTCCTGACCAAACAAATGCAATGAAAATAACAAATACCTGTAATGAGATTAATTCTCGTTCTTTTTTCAAATGGCCAATGATATCTTCACTTGCTTTCCTTTGTTCTCGTAAACCATCTAGATCTAAATTATTTAAACTAATACAAGCATGAAATTGTGAAAATTAAATAACGGGCATAGTGTTCGTTCACTATAATATAACTGCCTTACAAAGAAAAGAACTTCATCGATAACAGACTGATATACTGCGAAATACGACAAACAATCATGAAACAAAGTGACAAACATCGCGATATATCTTCCAGTTGATATCCAATTCTTGCTGACATTCCTGGAGAACTTTCCTTGACAAGCAGTGCTTTTCCTTTTATTCCTGAAATTTCTAATTAAATTTGCACTTCTTACTTACTAAATCATTTCCAATTTCATGGACTGAGCTGTTGTTCCAAATACTCCCATCAATCTAAAAGATTTCATCTACACAGTGCATAAACTTAATACTTCTCACATTGGTGGTAGTTCGTCCATACAGATATCATCTACAGTATTCAAAAAGTAATCAGATTCAAACACTGAAAGTTTACCTCTAAATCCACGGGACTACCAGCAGCAACCAAACTATCTGCATTAAATTTTAAAAATCTTCATCGAAAAGAAGGACGTGCCATTTTCGACTATTCAAAAAAGACTGCGACTCGGGCAGAATTTTGTAAGGAATACTGGAACTCGAAAACATTTAAACTTTGTGATATTTTAAACGGGGGACAGCGGGGATAAGAACTGACATCGCTTCGAGCTTGACATACTAATTCCTTTTCCAAAGTAAACCATCTCATCATGTCCCCAATTATTTCTTTTAAATATCCATTTATTCTGTCGGAAAAAGCTAGAATGCCTAAAAGTGAATAAAAACTCTTCTCTAGTTAGACTTTCATTCATTTTGACATTCTTGTCTTTTAGGATTTCTGGCTAAAAAGTTTAAAAACAACAAAGGTATGTTATGTTGCATTTGAGGAATCAACTGAGATGGAAACGTGAACGAGCTCTCTTTGTCCTTCTTATTATTAGTTCTTATGCATTTTTATGTTTAAACCGTGTTATTTGCATATTAGATGTAATCAGTTTACATTCTTCTTTGAATTCATTATAAAAATATCATGATAAATTGCATATATCACTTCATCGTTATTTCTCAGCATACAGTTTACTTTTCCCTCTACTAACTTTTCATTCTCATACGTTCGTATCCAGCAAGATCTCCCGACTGGCCGAATAATCCCCTGTAAGCCCTCATTTTCTGTTTCAAGATTGTGTTTCAGTCCGCTCTTTAATTAGGTAACAAAGTCATTTCGTGCAGTAATTAATCGATTCATTCCAATCATCTTCCATAGTTTCGGATTTCTATCTCATTTCTCCCACACACCCTTATTGTTCATCTCAAGGACTGTTATTAGAAGAATCAGTGTGGTTGACGAGTTGACATTCAGAGTTTAAAGTATAAATATTTCCTACGGAATCTCGCAAGGGCACAATGTCACATAGAGACATCCGGAACTATTCATAATTCTCTCTCCTCTCTCTCTTTTCTACTCTACATATTGACTTTTCAGAAATTGTCAGCCCTTTATGTAACATCGATGCGGCCAACTTCATTTATTCATTTTCTGGTAAAGTGACTGAGTGAATGCAATTTTGTCCATTGATGCTTTGTTTTCGAGACAGAATCCACTCAGAATTCAATGATTCGTCTCTCACATCGCATTTTTCTTTTTCGACTCTTTGATGCAGCAAGGAAATCATACGAAATTTCAGTTTTGCTTTGCTTCATTTCATGACATCTATCGCCTCCTCTTCTCCTTCCTCTTTCGCTCCACTACTTATGCATATCAATATTAGCAACCATTCCATACTCACAGATGCATTGCATTGCTGTTGATAGGATGGATGTATTTATTTTTTTAAGCCGCTTGTAGCGATCAATATAGCTACAAACTGATCAATTTTATAAACCGTGCAAAATTCCTTTTTCTTTCCTTTACTTTTTTTAGCTTCTCACTTTCATCATATTTATATATTTTTGTTTCTGGTTTTACATTCTGTCAGGTCTAAGTTGTTTACCAGTTGGGAATTTCTTTTTCCAACCAATTGCGAAGAATGCGATAGCGAAGCGTAACTGCTTTGAGTGACGTAGACACATAGTTGCAATATTTAGTATTTACTATTTTTATAATCCTAGGGATACTCTACATAAATTCCATTCCCTCTTAACTGCCCTACTCTGTCCTTTTTTCCATCCTTTTGGAAGTTTAAGATGAAACCTCTCCGTAAAATGTTAATGCTGAAATGTCAAATTCATCACATTTGGAATAAACATGAGATAAAATGAATAAACAAAGTGTTATACTAGCGAAAGCAGTTTCTTTACTAAACTTCCGGCCTTCTTACAAAAACTTTCACACAGTTAAGCACAGTCCAAAATCGCAGTTATTCACTCCAAACTTTCTAAAATTCATTTTTCTAACCATTAGTATGGCTGATTCCCATGATATAGATGTAAATAGTGTTTTAATATAATTTCGTTAAACTAAAGACCCATACCAAAAAATAATCATTCTTTTTGCTAAATAAATTGGCATACACGAAAGAGGTATCAAAGTATCATGATAGCATGTCTGATAGTAGTTAAATTTTCAAAGGATATATTCCCACAGTATCAAGATATCTACCTCACTTCGCACTCTTTTTGATGGATTTTGCTTTAAATAAAAAAAGGAAAAATGCATGGACGTGTAAGAGAATGATGGATGTGGATGGATGGATGGATGGATGGATGTGTGGTTTGAGGAAATGTGATATATCAGATTTCAAAATGCCTCGTATTAAAATCGGGAGATGGGGTTCCTTCAGATATTTGTTATTTGTTGATTGCATACTAGTATTGATGCCTAAAAGCTTGGAAATTTGTGCCTATTAAATATTGCTTAACTATGTTTGAGAATAGGCTAAGAATTCATTAGTCTTTACCTAAGACTAATGCTTCAGTGATGGTCACGAAAGTTAGGCAATTGCCGAAGTGATGATAATGCGATGGTCAGTGATAAGCATGGGAAAGAATAATCCAGGACGTATCATTACTCATTTCACTTTCCATTTCATAACTTACTCAGTTTTCAGACAGTTATTTCAAATATGATGAGTTTCATTGGAACTAGCTAGTATCGGCTGATAATGACACAGTCACGTAGATGGGTTCCAGTGGAAGAAATTGTTTATAATTTCAAAATGTTTAAACTGTCAAGAATCTATAGTTTACTTTACTGCTTTCTTGATATCTTTGAAATATTTGTCCGCCTCATTATTCTGCCATAAAATGTTAAATTTTGAAATTTAAGAGTTGTGGAAATTCTCAGCAGTAAAAAGTAGATGTCATGCTGCGTAATTGATTTCAAATTGGTTTACGTAATTGGTTTACGAAAAATTGCGGGTTGAAAAATACTACGCGCTATTTATAGGTTTAAAAAAAGGTGTCCTTACATAATTTGGGAAAAGGAAAATGCGAAATACATAAACTTTTGAGGAAAAATTGCGTCCTACATTCCGGCGACGGAAATTGAGAAAGCTCAAACTAAGTAAATGTTTGTTAAGAAAGAATAATATGCCACCTGCCAATATAAGCCTTCCGTTTGAGTGCTCTCAGTCTTCCACTGAGCATATTCAAAAAATAACCATTAATGCAAAAAAGTGCAATACTTAGTGAGGGCTCTGAATACAAACAGTTATTTTTCACGATCGATTATAAACTTTGTTTTACCGGTTGTGACTTTAATCTTGCAAATTTGCGAGCAGAGCCCCAAGCAAATTCCATGAACAATTGTCCGCAATCAATACACTCACCAAAAACATGATCTGATTTCCACTCGGGTGCATTTCAATTCAATATAACTCTATCTTATCTCCTTGCACTATAATCCAATGACTAATGTGATGTTCCTTTGTTTTATTCGCAAAATCCTCACTCATCCAGCCTCAAACTGAACACCACCACAGCTGCATGTAATTTCTCGTACTTGGTTGTTAATTAAATTTTGAGCAGCTTTTAGCATGTGTTCTTTTTTTAGTGACAGCATAATGCAAGATGTATCACTTCGATGCCTCTAAGCTTCTGGGAACCATGGAAGAAGGGGAAATAAAAATAGGGTAGCTTGAAGTGCTCTTGTCTGTAGACTGAATAACTTCTGAAGAGGCATTAAGCCCATAGGCAAGAGTACTTCACAAAGTTTTAGGGTGATGGGCTACATATGAAACCAAGAATTTCACGACGTTGGATGTCATTCATTCATAAGATGACCATGTTCAACCTGTTCCATTTTCACAACTTCACACCATTTTACATAATTCATTACTATTATTTGAACTTCAATTTTACAAGACATTACCAAATGGATAGAGATGATCGAACGTAGCAGTATATTTCCATTGGGTAAAAAGTTTCCTCATCCAAAGAACTACATCTGTATTTTAATTGAAGTATGGATGGTACTTACTGTAATCAATTCTCTCTGTATGCACAACCTTTTTTTAAAGAATTTTTCCAAACACAATAGGAAGATCCGCCTAATTACATCTGTTAATGTCAAAGGTGGTCGGTCATCTATGGGATCGTCGTTATCTATGAAATACAAACGCTCCACCATCACTCAGTGGAACCTTCATAAAGCAGCGCAAATGTCCTCACAGTCACGCTAATAGACGTAATTCCCAGCCGTCCTCAAATTGTCAATACCACTTGATTAACGTGAAATGAGCACCAGCTTGACATAGATTGTTGTTGCGACATTTTCGTTTCTCTGCATTTGTTCATCCACTCTCCATCCAAGTCTCTACTCGTCTACTCCATGCCAAAGAGCAGGAGGAAGACCGTCTCCATAGCAACAGCACATTACGCGGCGCAATTGCTCACTACACTCATTTACTGCTATATGGCTCTCTTTCACTTTCTCATCATCTTCTAACTTTACTTTCTGTAGTCTTTTTAAGAAAGTAATTTTCTTTGTATCATTTGTTCTTTCATCTTGAATTATTTTTTTCTCAATATCTCTTCTAGCATGGTGCATCACAGAATATCTTTATCTCTCTACCAATCAGCCACGTCTCTCTTATCTACTATTTCATTGTCACATTGCATTATATGTGACAGCAGTGGTACTGGACTACACGAAGCGCTATCCTTTTGAAATATTTCTTCTCTGCTTCTTCGCCCACATATTTCCTTCCAGTCTTTTCTATTTCTCCCATCGCTTATCAATCTGGAAGAATCTGAAGGATAAAC